TGTTTTATTATTAGACATATTTTAAACTTACTGTACTTGACAAAATAAATTAAGATTAGCATTATAGACTGTAAAGTCGACCAAAATTGCTCGGGTACCAAGTGTAATCCAAAGACTATTTAAATAAAACATAAAAAAATCAATAAAAAAGCGAAAAAAACATTTGATAAACAAATATTCAATATGACATCCTACAGAAGCATTATATGAAATCGATTTTATGAATTTAATTGTTCAAAACGATGAAAATTTAGTTCCGTACCTATTAAAGTCGTAACCTTATTCCTATTTCGTGATGTATATGAACAAAATCATTTGTTACCGATGTGACTGCACAAAATTAAAATACACGTATCTTGGGACAATAAACTTCCCTAGAGCTAATTTTTATATGTTACACGTATGTTGAGTAAGTTTAGGTACTCTGCAAAAATCAGCTCTAGAGACCTTTGTTCAGAAGATTTATCAGTAAAAACACTAGCGTTAGCGCTGTGATAAAAAAAGAACATCGACTTTCACTTCATGCACTTTAGTTTTGAAAATCTCCGAATTAAGACAACGCCTGAGTCTACTAAACCTGTTTTCAAAGTTTTTTCTAAGTATGTATAGATTTTTCAAAAGCACTGATTCACTGTTCGTTAGCGCCGTAACAGAATAAGAATAAACAAACGAAAAAAATGTTCTTATAACCGAATCAGGAGTTCAAAACCAATTCTAGATAGTAAATTCCCTTCTTCGGAATTTCCGAATGATAGTAAGACAAAAAGTTTTGTTTCGGGACTTGATAGGGTCTCTAGAAATTTAGTTTTTAAAAGGAAGATTTTTTGGAGTCTCATCTTGTTGAAAATTTCATTACAGGTGTGGTTCATGCCGTAGGGTTTATTCTGAAGTTTTCGAATAATTGTCTCGTTTGCTTAGAGAGATATTCACTAATTGATGCTTTAATTAATTAATAATCAACTGAATGGAGCCAACATTTTTGCACAGGTCTATGCTAAAAGAACTTATTCAGAAAATAAATCTTGCCAAGAATCAAAGTCAAATGAAAAATGCATGCATTTCGTTGTATCTGAAATGGCTCATATAGTCATAAAAAAAAGAGACAAAAATTCTTCAGTCTACTGTTTTCTGTGACCCGTATGATACATCGATTCGCATTGTGTTAATATTGAATGAGCACACGCCAGAGTGTGAGTGTGGGTGTTGTTTTCAAAATTATTATTTGTATTTCCTTCTGTTTGTCTATACTCTTTTATTTCTTTAATCGAACTATATTTTCCGTCACAAAAAAAATACAGTCAAAACTATGTTTATTGATCTAAACTTCTCAATATATTTCATAAATGTTTCGCTAAAGATAAGATTTAAGTTTTAACCATTGTTCGAAGAGAAATATTAAGTTTTTCTGTAAAATTTGAGTGAAGAAAATTTAACATTTAGGTTTAAAAATCAGCTATTCGGTAAATAACTCTGTCTTTCTCGACATAGAGAAATGTTATAGCTTGATATTTGGGAAATCCTACAGATGTAAACCATTGTAACATAGTGTTTCCATGTGAAAAATTTGTAATAATCTGAGTAAAACTAAAAGTAAAAAGGAGTGTTCTTTGAAGCCACTTATTTTAGTTCATTAAAAATGACTTAACACAAGTTGGCTGATTTTCATCAGTTGGAATATTTTTTAAAATAACTCTTCATCGATCGCATCGGATTGTGTTCGACAAGACCTAACCGATTTTAACACTGGTGCATATCGATGTGCGAATAATACCGATGTTTCGAAACATATCAATAACTATCGGTTAAATTTTCAAAAAAAAATTTCTCTTACTTTTCTTTAAGTGCTTCAACTTCACTTTTAAATTCTTCTTGTGATGAACCAAATATTTTTACAAAACCACCTTGATCATATACACCTACTTTTCCTGTTGTACTGTGACGAATTATCGAATTAGATGGTGTATGTTTAAATCTGAATAACCCAACAAAACAAAAGAATTTCTTTATTTGAAATAAGAATACGATTCTTACTCTTCTTCAGTACAATTTTCTGCATCTAAATTTACACAAGGTCCAAATGAATTCTTATCTTCAAATGCTGGCGCATATGAATTGTAACAAAATTTTATTTCTTGTTGAAAATCCTTAGCAACTACACATGAATTATTTCGAACTTTTTTTTGACGCATTCTAACAGCACCTAATAATCGATTTTCATATAAAACATAACCATAATTGCTAACATTATCATTATTGTACCATGTTTCTGTAAAAAGACCAGGTGCTGCAATTTGTGTCATATACTATCAAATAAAAAAAAATGAATATTTTTTCAATCGTTATTAGTTTTTTTTTTTTTCTTTACATCCCAAAACTCTTCCATTCGAGTAATTTCAGAAAATGATGGACCTGTATTATTAGTTGCTTCATCAATCATATTTGAATCAACAAATACACCTTTCAATGCTTGTGTAAGTGTATACATGTTACTACTAACCATACCAAAAACAACTAAAAAGTCAAAATTAATAAAAAAGAATTCAAAATTTTTTCATTTTTTTATTTACCAATGGTTAAAATACCAATAAAAACCATATAAATAAGAAGCTCACGAATGGTTGTTCGTACATATTTATCATTGTGCTCTTCATCATTGAATTTTTCCGTTTGTTGTGTTGCCCAAAGTTCTTTAATATTATTAAACAATATTCTTTTATAAGATACAAAAGAAAAAACTTAAATTTTTACTTCGAATTAATCGTAGAAACTGCTTGCATGGACTTTTTTTACGTTGACGTTCTGTTACATTATAACTTCCTTGTTCTTCTTGATTAACAGGTACTCTATCCGCATATAAAGTACCATTAATATATACTTCATTTTCCATACGATTTGGTATTGTATTACTAAAAGCTAATATTGGTTGTGAACGAGATGATTGTTGTTCAACGAACATGATTTCCAATAAAAAAAAATTTTCTTACCTTCACTATTCAACAACTGATAATACAATGAATATAGGAGTTTTTCTCGATTAAAAAACAACGAGAAAAAAAAAAACTTAATTTATTATCGACGTCATCTCATTTCTTTTTTCTTTTTTGTGCTTCGATTGTCCCTGTAGGATAAGAAAATAGAAAATATTGTATTGACGACATAGGTAAAAGAAATAGATATGAGAATACAAATGGGAAAAAACCTGTAGCACCATGTCTCTAGAAAAAGAAAAGTTATGATACCTATGTGTTGGCAAATGAATGTAATTTTTAATAGTAGTATTGTGTGTTAAGAAGGCAAAATAATAATCAAACTTGTATGTATGAAACACGGCAACACCATTAATTGTCAAAGGAATTGCGTTCTTAGTTGTATTACATAGAAAATAAACAATATATAAAAATAATATATTATTTGAATTCGATTAAAGAGCAAGATTCGTCAAATAAAATTAAGTACTATAAAATAATTTGAAGTTCTCCGATAGACAGCGATCAACAAATAATAAGTCCAAATTTTCGTTGCAGATTAAGCAATATAAATACGAAGAACTTTGATCAAATCACTGATTACTTTTCCATTTGACAATAAATATGTGAAAACCTTATCCAAGAGTTCGAAAAATTGTATTGATGACTTGCATTAATAAGATCAAAAATAACTGTCAATATGATGAAATATATCATACAAGTAATCAAACGTAGGCACTTGTTGGTACAGTAAAACTTTCTTATAGTGAACATCTATCGAACTTTTCAATAACAGACCGGAACATTTCATAAAATCTCGTTCTGTGTTTTTATCGTTGAAAACAATGTTACAAATCAACGGTTGTTAAAATGATCTTTGATAAAGCTCTGCTTTGAAAATGCTGAAGACATAAGTGTATAGTTTAGGTTGTTGAATGGGCGTAGATAAAGCCTATTGTCAAAATGACATCAAAAACTAAGTCAATCAATATANAAAAATAGCTTAGTCGAAGTCAATAATTATTTATCTTATTCAATTATGTGCCGCTTGAGTTCATAACGAGTTCACAAAGATGTCTCAATAAGATTAGAAAAGTCCTAACAGAGTTCGTGTTCATGGGCCTCTGAAACTGAGTTATAACCGTTTTACACAATTATTGATCCAGCTTTAAATATTTACCGAACAAACAAATAAAAGAATTTCAACCTCAAACTTTGCTCATAGATAAATCTGATTACTATTGGAATATCCTGAAAGTTTCAGCCGGAAAAATATTCCTTTGTTGAGATGTGGAATTTCCAAGTAAATTTGCTTTCTTTATGACGTATCTCTGGCAAACAACCAGTTTTGGAAATTCCATATCTCAACAAAGGAATATTCTTCTCGGCTGAAACTTTCAGAATCATTCCAAAGTCATCCGACCTATCTATGAACCAACTTTCAGATCGAAATTGGATTATATAATTTTTCGGTAAATACTTAAAGTTGGATCGATAATTGAGTAAAATGATCATAACGCGGCACCCGAGGTCAATAGGCAAGATTCCTTTCAATATTTTTCTAGTCTTACTGAGACATCCTTGGAATCTAAGATGAGCTGAAATGGCACATAATTGAATAAGATAAACAATTATTACCTTCTTCTATGTTATTTTTTTATATAGAATTGTTCGGTACTTTATTAAAAAAATCATGTTGATCGATTGTGAAAAATTTATCCTGACATTCTCATGTTTATAATTTTATTATTACAAGAAAAGATATTACCTGATAATATGTTATTTGAAAGATTGACATGAGCACTCAAAGTTCATATGAAAACATTCGGTTAGAAGCTAATTTTCGTTTGCATATAAATTAATTTTGTCACATCTCAAGACTTATGAAACACTCTATATCCTTTAAAAACAACTATAGTTTGCGAGAGATTTTTTTCACTTAACGTATTTTTTATTAGTATGATAAGGCTAAAGAACATATGTGACTTCCATATTTTAGCTCCGAGGAAACTGCGCTGACAAGGTTGTTATTCCTTACCAAATAAATAAACCAATTTTGACATTATTTTCAAACACAAGAATACCAGTTGGAGTTAAACCAAGTGTATATTCTAAACCATCTTTACCCATAACTGTATGTAGATCTACACCATACATTTCTAACCAACGTGCTTTGTTTAAAAAATGAATTTCACAATCAGCCGGTGTTAAACCTCTGTTATAATAAATGAAAAATTTTTAGTATTTTTTTCTCAAAAACGAAAACAAAAATGTTGCTAAGTTTTTACTTGTATGTTGCCCATTTTTGTAAAACTTCTCGTTCAAATTCTTCTGTTTGTTTATCATCTGGTAGAAAACGAAATTGTGATATATTTTTAATTGAGTGTTCATCACTTGTATAATCTCCTAATTCAGCTAGAAGAGAAAAGAAAAACATTAGCTCTTTGATATTTTGATTAATACGTATATGTCATCTAGTAAGAAGAAAAATACATGTAAGAACGTAACTTATGGCGAGAGGCGGTACATGACGCCCCAGTCTTGTAGTGTTGAATTACTCTTCTGAATGCATGATTCAAATTCTATAAAAATAATTCATTTCTGAATTCATTCTATCGTCGAAGATATGTGATAATATTTGAAAAATCTCGTTGATTTTTTTTCTTTTTTACAGTTATGACTAGCTGTAATTATAAATTAAAATTAATTATATTTTTGATTTCTTTTACTCAATGTACTAGAACTGGGATGTATTTTTATGTTCTTGATATTTTTTCAAATTAATGATCTGAAGACGTACTTCAAAAAGTCATAAATCATTATTAAAATGAGCCATAGATCATAAAATAGAATCCATGACGTTAGGTTTTTTCTCTTGGTTTATTGTCATTTTAGTGCATCTTTCAGAAAAAAAAACAATGTTCTATCTTGCATCTCAAATGATAGCCAATATCGTCTTTCGAATTTCAGCTCTGTAAAAATAAATTTCTCATTGAGACTAGTTCATTACGAAAGTATTAGACTTTCTACTATTTTCTAACTTTAGATATAAATATTGAAAACTCTGTTTCGTGAAAAAGTGCACTTTATTATCGACTGAAAGAAAATATAAGAAACTCGAATATGTTCACAATGAGTTTATTGTATTGAGAACTTTATTTATTTCAATATTTGATCTCAAAAGTCGATATTGATGATAATCTAGTTAGGATTCAAAATATTTTGTCGAAAAACTCATTAAAATTATCATAACTGAAGAAGAAAGATTCATAAATATGAATTCTTCTAGATTTTCTTTAACAAACAGTCGTTCATGTCTAATACACTCATTATACAACTAAAATGATTTGAGTTCGAACACAATATCTGAAAACCGAATGTCAAATAACTCAATCATTAGTATAATGAGAATGAATTATAGCACATTTTTTTCATCATTATGTCATGATCATTAATCAACTCGTTTTGTCAAAACTGTAGATTTGCATTGTAAATATTAGTTTTCTATGCCATCAAATATGAGCGACATTAGCTCGACTTATGCTTCATCCTTAATTACACTTATAATCCCAAGTTGGAATTCCTATCCAGCATTATATGTAAAACTTCAAGCCGAATAAATTTTATCTTCTGTTGTAGAAAAATGCTTATTGAATGTTTTTATTATTGTAAAGAAACATAAGTATTTGAAATTAATGAAAAATTCTATTTACCTTGCATAGATAATGCAGCCAATTCAATATCTGTGCCAGATGGACAATCTAATTTACCCGCATGAATATCATCTTTAAGTTGAAGTACAAACAAATATCTTCATTGAATGAAAAAAAAAGAAGAAAACAATAAGAACGAATTATAACAATGAATAAATATTCTTTTCTCACCTGGTTAATTCATCATGAAGATTTAGTGGATCTGATGTATAAAATTTTACTCGAAATCGAAATGTATATGGTGGTCCAACTAGTAGAACATTAGTTTTTATTTTATTTTTTTGTCTTTTTTTTAATCTTTTAATTATCTTTTCTACTTACTTTTACATTGTTTTTTAATCGATTTAGTCGAATCAAGCCATTGCTAATGAAAAATAAATATAAACATAGCAAAGAATATCTTATATAACCTACAGTAACATTATGTGTATCAGTAAATTGAAGACCAAAGTAAGCAGATTCAACAAGTTTTGTATGAGCAATGACTTTATCATAAAGATTTTTGCCAAGAGCTTTACGCTAGATAATAATAAAAAAAAAAAACAAAGAAAAATATAAATCAATGATCATCACATATTATATGGATAAATTAATATAATACAATAGATCAGATAATGTTTCATAATACTTTTTTTTTTTTGCTAACAAAAAGCCTGTCATTTTTTAAAAACTAAATATCATATATACACTTATCATTCGTTTCGTTCACACCTTTTATTAGAACGATTTTTTTTTTTGTTACGAAATCGATTCATTTCTTTGCACGTATGAAAAGTCTATTTGATCATTTCATTCTTTTATTTCTTTATTCAGCATGACAATAGAATATACAAGATTGCTTGTAGTGATGCCATGAATGAAAGTGTATGCTTAGACTGAATAAATAAAGTTTGATCAATGCTAGATAAAATATAACAGCTGATACATGCTTATACATGCATATGACAATATGTCTGGACAGGTCAATATGCACTTCACTAAACCTATTAATCGAAAATGGATGTGATTGTGTTTATAATATTCTGAACACTTGAATATCATGTTATTACTATAGAGATTCATGTTAATAACTTACATCTACTTCAAAATTCACGTCTTCACCATCGAGAAAAACAACAGTACAAACAAGACCATTTTTAATTGGTATTATTGATTGAGGCTTTTCAATTAAATCAGTTTTTGTATTAAAAAGAAATTTTGATTTTGAATGATGATTATTATTATTATCATCATTTAAAATTGCTGCTTGAGTTTTTGTGTGTCGACGACTGAAAAATCGAATAAATCGAGACGACGCCATAAATAATGTGCCATGTACTAACGGATTCGACACATACCCCGACGATTACAACAATAATCTAAAGAAAAACGACAAAACAATGACGCGATCAGTGAGTCTAGTAAACGTAGTTCAACGACGTAGCTCAACATATTGTTCATCGGTCAATCATACACGAAGGAGAGAAAAAAGAAAAAAAAATGAGGCCATTGTATGATGGTGGGGTGCAGTTAAAAGAAAGAAAGGACAGAGAAGAAAAAGGTGGAGAGACAGATGCCAAGTTAACGATCTCGAACATATCTTATCAGAAAGAAAAAAAGAACCCATTGATCGTAGAGTGTCTAAAATGTGTTTGTGTGTGATTGCTTCTGCTTTTGTCGTAGGTCAGCTCATATACATACATATATATATATATATATAAAGTTTTTTTGTATCCTATTAGAAAGAACAGCACTTCTTATTATGTTATTATGACCTTGTTTAAAATAAACTCCGTCGTCTAATATTCAATACTAAAGATTACATCATAGAAACATACACATAGTTATTGTCCCGCTGCGTCTGTATTCAATCAAAAAAGAAGAAACCAAGAAGTAAGCGTATATAACTTTCCGTTATTCTCATAGTAAGCAATCGAAGTCAGAAGAAGAAAAAAAGAAAGAGAACGACAGCTGCCTCTAACAAATATGAATGAACAACGATCAATCCATATGTTTACCTAAGGAGAAAAGATAAAGATATAAACATATATTAACAGATGTAGCGAGGAATTTGACAGAATATTTAATAATAGATGTATTTTGTTAATTTAAAGAATCTGAAAAAGATAATTGACAAAATGAAGTAATCAATAAAGGCCTATCATATTATTATGATCAATGAAAAGGTTATGATGATACAACATTGTTCTTTTAATAGAGAATAGATAACGAAGAACAGATCTGATCTATTGATTATTATCGAAGAGACGAATAAACATACATATAAGAAATAGAGCGGAAGAAAGTAAGGATCATTCTTATTTCTTCCTATCAATGATTCTTTGAATGATCAAATGAAGCATATAAATATGTTCAATAAACGAATCTGGCGACATCATTCCAACAGACAATCACTTCTCAAGGATTGTTTTTAAATGCTAGTATTTATTTTAACATCAAACAGAAATAGTTCGAGAAAACTCATGGTTTTCGAATAAGGTTCTCTTCAGATGCGGTCATGTAAAGATAAAAAGATAAATCTGATAAATCTTGATAAAATAAGTTCCAGTGGTTATTCTGTATGATTCATTGCTTCTACATCTTCATCAAGAAGATGATGCAAGACGAATATCACAGTCGAACTTTTAATTAAAGTCACCAATCAACATTTTTCATATGACAATTAGTTATTCTGCCAAACAGCATTTTCAAACAAAAATGGTGTGTGCAGTCTGGACCAACAATGATATTTACACGTTTCTAAACAACTTCTGTTATCAATTATAACATATTGCCTTCATTGAGTTAATAAATCAAACAGAAAGACTTTTAAAATGAGTTAGACTTTGTACACATGCATTCCGGCATTCATTGTTTTTCAAGTCGGAGCACAGATCCAGAAAAAACTAGTTTCATTAATCTTTCTATAACAAACTTTTGAAACGACTTTTAATCAAAGTTTTTTTTTCATGTAAAACGAAGTGAATAGCAATAATTAGTTCATGGCCGTGATATTAATTAACTACACAATGACTAATTAGTCATATTTACAAAAGGAAACGATGAATATCAGATAAATCTGTGAGAACTATCAAAAATACTTATTGATGATAATAAGAAACCAGTTTTATTTCTCTATCGAGGCGGACAAAACTGTCCCTCGTATTAAATTACATATCTAGCAATTATAATTACAATGTTCTTATTTTCTATTCCAATACTTACTTCTTAACTTACCTTGTTTAATTCGAATTTATTATCAGACAAAACAAAGTATGAAGAAAACAGTGATTTTAAACTTGTGACAAGTTTTCAAGCATATTTTTTCTAATTCACCTAAAGTGTATTCGAAATAATCAATGGTACTATTTTGCATAGAATAAGAAAGTAAATTAGTTTTTTTTTGTTTCTTAATCGGTAGAAATGACGATTTTATATTTCCACGATGATGTAAATTCTTTCGATAGCATATTATATAACAGAAAGATACATCTCACTTTTTATCTTTAGTAAACAATTTATATTTTGTTTCGTATATTTTTTGTACTTGAAATGCTAAAAACCTTTTTTCTACTTTCATATAAGAACTTATGCATAATTTCATTTGTTTTATTTATTGTACCTGCCATCGGGGCTTGTGTTTCATTAGAAACAAGAGACCAACAAGAAGAAAACACTATATACTAAAGTTTTTTAGTTTACATTCGATGAAACATAACATAGACAAAAAAAGAAGAAGCATCGCTATACAACAGAGAACGAGGAAAAAAGTGTCAGAAAGTTCATTCGTTGCTATCGCATTGCGAGTTAAACTCAAGCACGATCGATATTATTTTGATAATTATTCGTAGTTATGATATATTCAACAAACTTTTCTTGTGAAACACTAAAATAAAACACAAAATTTAAAAAAATTTATCACAAATAAAATAGAACAAACTAATCACTGCTGTTATCACTAAGTTTACTTTAGTGTTGTTCTCAAGTAGTTGTATTTTTTATGTCTTACTAACTGAAATTTAAAAGAAATCTTCTATTTTAATTCCGTATAGAAAGAAACATACTTACGTATAATATCGCGATAGAAATGATTAAATACTTGTTCAGCTTGTTCTTGTGAAATATAGCCTGAAACATAAAATGAATATAAGGTATATGGGGGTTGAGGAAGAAAATATCATCATCCACAACCACTTATTTTCATAGAGACGTTAGGGACACAAGTTATGCCAGCTGAAATCGCGTTCTCGCAAAAAAAACAGAGAAGAATGTTCAGTTTTCCGAAAAAAAAACTTTTTGTTTGTTACTGAGAAACTGCAGTATTTATTAATATTAGAAATAACCGAAATTTTATATTGAAATAATAAAATTGTGATCGTATTTTATTGGAAGTGAGGGAGAAGCCGAACCTCAAGTTTCATGAGGTTTTAGAAATCATCATCAGTAAGTTACTGGGAAGTTCCAAAAATAGCGGGGAATTGACGAAAAGTTGTATAGTTTAAAAAGTGATCTTCGATAACTCTATAGACTGATCACTTCATTTATCTCTATCGATGTGGAAAACGTTTTAAAAATTTCTGTAATTTCCAGAGAATTTCTAAAATATCTTAAATGATTTCCTTAAAATTGCTTTCTAATGAATCACTAATTACAGAAGATTCCTAAAAATTACCTGCTTATCTGTTAGCAATTTCAAAAATTTCCTTTTTCAAATATTGGAATACTACTGTAAAATCACTAAAAACTTTTTTGTCAGGAAAATCAGATTTCTCTTACCTGTATCTATCAAGTGTTAGTGAGTTGTTCTGTGTCTGTAGCGTAAATTCTATCTAGTGTCTCCATTCTTCTGCTCATCTCTATGCAGTATGAACGACCGAAGTGACTCAAAGAACAATCGAAAAAAAAATTGATCTAGAAGTACGATCTAATTGTACTAATCATCAATATTACAGCATGCTTATTTCCAGTTTTTCCAATTCACTGAGGAATAGAATATGAGAAAGTGAAGCTGCTTCTCTAATATTCTGAATCGTTCCAGAAACACATGAGAGCTCACAATGGAATTTGCTCATCCATGAAGTAATGATATTGAGAGCAAAATGAATAATCAGCAGTATTTTAGTTTATGTGAGAGAGCACTGAAACTTTCTCTCAAAGTAGACTCTGATCATCAAGAATGATTAAGCACCAGTGAAAAACACGAGAAACTACTGTTATAGTTCGAAAGAAAGAACCTGAGAGTGTGAAGTGTACATGGAGGTATAGGTGTGTGGATGTCTATATAGCAACATCCATATTCAACCTCGAGACCGTTACCGATACATTGCAAACGTTGATCTTTCTTTGCGTGAGTTTGTAGCTCAAAAAGACTTTGTATTCGAAATTTTGTCATTGAACACTTCTCGTCGTAATAGAGACTGCTCTAACGCTGGTTGGTTAGCTTGGTCGGATTTGGATTGGTCGTATCAGCAGTAGTGCAACACGCTGCTTTGAGATGATAGTATAATTTAAGACTGCTAATCTGATTGTTTGACCATTCGATCGCAATCTAATAAAATAGCTCATTCTTTTCTTTTTGATTAAATATCTTGGTAAATCGATTTAGAACGCTATTGGAAAAAGCAGATGTCTTAGTGTTTTACTGGCCAAGTCTCATATATATGTCATTTGTTTTTGCTCGAATGTAAGTTGTTACAAGTGAGAAGGTTTTTTCTTACAGCTTTCAGGAGGCACTAGTAGAAACAAAAGCACGTCGAGCAATAATCTTATTAAAGTCGTATTATTTTCTCTTTCTTTGCTTTGTTTGAATTTTCTTCAAATTATCATGTGAAAACATGCAATTGAAATCGATAGTAATTACATAAAGACTGCAATCGACAACGACCGACGTCTATGACGATTCTAACCATCAAAACAGCTTCATTCTTTTCCATCAATAAATTAGAAAGTGCGAGAAAAAGGTTTTTCTCTCTCTTTACAGCAAGGTGTTCTCGAATGGATCTTTTAAAAGATAATATATTCATCAAAATCACAATTGATAAAAATGCGAAAGAATAAATAATGTTTTGCTTACGAGATAATACAACACGATAATTGACGCTGACCTTGTCATTCTTGCTCGGTTAAACATCGAACCAACCGTTGTATCAGCTTAAGACAGTAAAAGGGTATTTATGACATTTTGTACGTCATAATTTTGTTCACTGGCAAAGCACGACCAGCAACTATAATGAACGAAATAGCGAGAATCTGATGGCGAACTTGACTAATTTCGTAGAATTTATTCAATGAGTTCTGACATAATGCGTCACTTTGACAGAAGACTTTATGGTCGAAGACATCTGGACTCAGAGCATAGCAAAGAATAAGCAATTTTTTGTTGTTTATCTACTGACAAACGGGACCAATTGTTATTATTAGTTCGATGATGTATATCCGGATCATCATTACAATTCGCTGAGATAGGAATACCAGTAAGATAGTACATCAGTTTTGCAACATTATTGTCATATACTCTCAAACTGCAATCAATATTATTGATGCCAGTGGCATTTCTCTAAAATAAAACCAGCTTTGATGTTTTGCTTCATAGCAAATCGCATTCGATGGCTGATAGGAATTGACATGATACTTAATTCACTGTAACATTGCTGGTTAAATAGCGTCCTTAGAATACCGATAGATTAGAAAAAAGTGTTGAATAATTTTCCAGATAGGATAACAGCCTATCAAATAGAGCACAGAAGAATGTGTGTACATGCATCGATTCATACTTACCCAAATTACATACACACTCAGACCTCTATGAGTGGCATATTTCTGTTTTCTTGAGCTTCAATTTCTCAGAAAAAAAATCACCATAAACAAATATGTGTGTTGTATTTCACCATATAATCATCATGATTAAATTACCGCTATAGCTTTCAAAGTTTGTTAGCCTTTTCCTATTCCTATACATTTTGCTATGAAAACTGGTTAATTCAAGCAAAAGAACATGTAGTTGGATGACATTATCTAAAATTTCACACTCATACAAATTCAACCCTATACTCATCATCGGAAGCCGGTGTTTGCACTGGCCAATTTTTCACAGACAGATGCCCATAGGAACGGCTAATACGTAGCTACATTTTTCGGAGGAATCTCATTTATGACATTGTTTGTGCTCCGAAGTGTTAGCAGATGAGATTATTGATGATGACAGTTGGAAACAGATTGAGGTTTTTCTCTTGTTCGGTAGCTGAGACTAACGTTCGTTTTTATTTTTATTTTCGACGGCAACCACAAGACATAGCTAAGGTTGACTCTGGCAAAAAATGGTGCCATACTGAACCATTTTGTTTCAAAAATCGAAACCTTTTTCAGGTTTCGTACTATGTGCGAAACTATTTTTTAGTGTTGTAGTGAGTACGAAACTCTCTCTAGTTTGGTGATCATAAACTTATTTTCCAGTGTACACAATGACAACGACTAGAATGTTATGTAAACCTGAAGTTCCGCTGAAAACAAGAAATGATTGCTTGTCATTTTCAACATTTGAAAACCAATATTTTTTGCAGAGACGCAAAAAGGAACTTTTCAATTCTTGTGAGAAAATAAATTGCGTTGCTCATTTGTTTTTCTTAATAAGTTTTAAGATAGTTGCTGGCAGAAGTTAGTGTGTAGGTGAAAATAGTACTTTCCACGACTATCACATACTACAGACATCCACTCCTGCATACATCTTTTGCGACTTCTTTTCCATCTCATGCCACTGTATCGATACGTTATCTAGCTTTTGCTAAAATGTCCTCAAATAAGTAGATATGCAATGTAAGATCAGAATAGACTGATACGTCGTAATTATGTGATAATCTCTCCTTATAAGCACAATGATGGTGTCGCTGTCAAAAGAAGCATATTATTGATCATTATAGCAAACGAGCGAATGTAAACTGTTGAATTTCTGATGGTAGCTCAAATCAAACCAATGAATCCATTTTGAGTTAAAAAGGGGTATTATTAATTTATGGTAACACCACAAACACCCAACTTTGTAAAAACGCATATAGGTCGTCTTCACTAACACCCACATCTTCGCGAGTTATGTTCACAAACATCCACTAACACCCATTTTGTTCGACTCCTAGAAAACATAAGTGGTCAACAAAGTCCAAAAAATGACCCTCTTCAACACTAACACCCATAATCTCTCTTATGGTCCACACAAACACTCCAAGTTGTTTCCACTAACACCCACAGAACTCCATAACCTACATTCTGACACGAATAAGTCCTATCCTCGAATAACTTTTTTTGATAAAATTTTTTTTGGAAACATGTAAAATCGACCCAAATATGCCTTTAGATACCTACTAACACCCAGAATATCTTTTATAGTACACACAAAACCCCAAGTTGTCTTCACTAACACCCACAGAACTCTATAACCTACATTCTGACACGAATAAGTACTATCCCCGAATTATTTTTCTTGACACAATTTTCTCTGGAAACATCTCTTAATATGAAGAAAATCCTTAAAATAAGCAAAAATGCATGAAAACAAGAGAAAAAAATATATAAAAGCATTTAATAACATTGAGTTTGGGTTATATAAACAATTTGATTTTCTAACAGCACGGGAGAACTATAATTCAATCTTTGATATATAATTCGAAATACCTTCTCATGTATTTAATTCTAAAAACACCTAAAAATGATGAAAAACACATTAAAATAAATAATAAAATTCGATAAAAGTTCTATTAACATTTGACTAGTAGTCAATTTATATTCCACAACATTGATAAAATATACAGATATTTCTTAATGTACAGCCACATAGAATTCAAAGTACTGTCATACGTAGTTCTCTCTCAACGATAGCTAAAAATGAGTGATACACTCCAAAATATTCAACATGATCAAATTGATGCAATAACAGTATCTCATATCCATCTATTGTATTAAGGGTGGGGTGTAGGGGTGTGGATGTGGACGTATCAATAGTATATTTTCAACACCCGCCTCCACACCCACACACCCACCCACACCCACACCCACACCCACACCCACACCCACACCCACACCCACACCCACACCCACACCCACACCCACACCCACACCCACACCCACACCCACACCCTCGTGAAATCGAAACACTACTTGGTATTGTGGTTATCTGACATATCCAGACCAACAGCCACAGCCACGCTCATATCCTACACCCCACGCTTACACCCACACCCACACTCACACCTACACCCCACGCTTACAACCACACCCACATCCACACTCACTCACATCCATCCACACCCACTCCCCTTATTTCTGTACGGCCTGCATACACATTTTGCAGATGCTTAGATCTTATAGAACCGAAGATCCGGAGGGGGGGGGATACTTTTGTCGGGTACTGTAAATAACTTTCTCTAGGTAAGCTATGGACATGTAATATTTTAAATTTGTTAGTTTTATAGTGAGAGCTTTCATTTGACCCAAATATGTTCAATCTCCTTCACTGGCAGTACGCGACCCTCCATTGTCAGAGGCGCTCGAATCTCGATCCTTCAACGGTCGATAATTAGATTGTCTTGCGTTCGATCGAAAACAACAAGCGACTAATCTAGCTTCAAGTTTTTTTTCTCTTGACTTATTCTTGTAAAGTTTGTCAGTTTTGTCACTTATTCTTGCTATTAAAAAGATGTTTTTGAATATTCATTGTTTTGAATCGATGCTCGACGATTCAGCTCCAGTCAGGCGTTTTTGGACTCGTTTCGGTCTCTGATTCCTGGTAAGATTTCCTTGCTATCTTAATCTAATTATTCCAACACCTCAGAATGTAATGAAACTAATGCCGCAGTATATTTCTAGTACATTTGTCGACAATTTTTAACTGTCATGAAAATAGTTGTATATTGAATGTCAAATTGTTAAAAAACGAAAAACAAAACTTGAGCATATTCTAATCGTTCACAAATTCAAATTCAAAATCCAGATTTTCTTTTGCTAACTTAAAGTTCCTATCTATTTTCTCCATGCTATTTCCACCTAATTAATATACCCATAACCATAAGCTAGTCGATCATCTGCATCTAATCGCATTCCAACTTCACACGTAACAGTTATTAATGAAACCATGGGGAATTTCTTCAATACCGCTTGTATATTGTCCATCGCCGGTACACGTTTCACAATGGTTGCATTTTTATAGCTGGACAAGTGAAGCATAATACTCGAAGCATGTGAATCAGATGGCTTTACTGATCTAAATGACGTTGCCTTAATTGTCCCATAGATAGATCGAGCATAATTTCATATGTATTCTGCCCATGTACTAATTCATACATATCGCCAAAGAGGCCTACATGTCTTGGATTAATTTCAATTATTTTAAGATCATCATTCTCTTGATTATAATAGAATTCAATGTTAAATAGACTCCATCTCCAATTGATATCTTTCACAATGCGTTGACAAATATCTTTGGTACGTTGTTGTACATAAGATTGTAAGAGATTAGTTGGATGATCAAAACGTAGATAACTAACTTTATTTGAATCCATAATAGTATCGGTCATACCGAGAATAGTAACTTCGCCGTTACCATCAACATAGCCATCGACCGTAAACTGATGTCCACTCAATAATTCTTCAGCTAACATATAGCTTACATTTGTTTGGAATACATTTGCCGGTATATAGTGTTCGATTAATTGATTAAATAGATGAACAAATGTGGTAAGATGCGATTGAATTTTTGGATTTTTGAGTAGTTGTTTCAATTCTTCCGCGTTATTAAAGCGGTGTGCATTCTGCGACAAACATGACTTAACTGGCTTGACAAATATAGGATAGGAAAATGTGAATTGTGAAGAACTTTCATCGATAATTGCAAAACAATTTGGACAAGCTTCAGGTACTAATTGTGATTGTATGAGTCGTGATTATATTTATGTGAACAACGATAGGTACCTAATAAATTATATCCGATGGGTATTTTCAATTCATGAACTAAGGCAGCAGCAATAAGAATACCAGAATAATCACTTGCACTGCATATCCCATCGAATGATTTGCCTTTTAGTTTGATAACCAATTGATCGATAAATTGAAGTACGTCGTATTCTGTCCTTTGATCAGTAAGCTCCATCATATCAATTTCATATTTCCCATTTAAACGGTCGGAAATTCGTGCCAACTGGCTTTTGTCCATTTTAGTTGGGCAAATAAGAACAATGTGCTTCACCATGATGAGCTTTTAGAAATGAAAGTTGTCTTTTACTTTACTCAAATAGAGAGATAAGAAAATAATAGTGTGATAAGAACAAAGCATGGTGTTGTGCACGAAACCTGAAAAGCGAACATCTTAAGCAGTGAAAATGAAAACAAAACGACGACTTCTACATTACAAAGCAGTGCGAGTCATTTTCAGGCCGCTGCTCACAATGAGTAAATACTTTCTGTTATTCGTCTTTAGATAAGGCAGCCAGCCTATCATCTTAAGAAGGTATGGGTATAGGTGTACTTGATAAGTTATATCATGCAAAAATCCATTCATCAATGAAACTGAGCACATAGTTTCTTTGTACATTTTCATGAGACGTTTAGGGTGTGTGGGCACCGGTGTGAGATGCATGTTGGTGAAAAGAGGACTGATGCCCACACCCAACCCCTCACCCACACACCCACACCTACCCTCACACACCCTCACCCACACCCAACCCCTCACCCACACACCCACACCTACCCTCACACACCCTCACCCACACACCCACACCTACCCTCACACACCCTCACCCACACACCCACACCCACACCCCATCATATTGTGGGATCTTACAAGAATCTTACCGTATGAATTAATATCAGATCGCAGAGACTACGATTTTTTGTATGATTTTTTTGTATGATCCTACATGAACATGTATTATTCTGACATCAGATCAGATATGGTCACGTATGAACCCATAGCTGATCTTACTATATAATTGCTCGACCTGGGGAGTTTTATTTTCCATGCCCAGGTCCAACAGACAGATGATAAGGTCACACAAGGTAGCACCTCTGATCTTGTGTGATCCTGTAAAACTTGACGAAAATTGTACGAAAAATCGTAGTGTCTGCAGAATTTACAGCAAGTCTTGGCATACCATGTTTTCAAGATCTTACAGAAATGTGATCTTAAAAGAATCGTACATCAAAACTTGATGGAAGTTTTGCAGACACCACGGGTTTTCGTACGATTTTCGTCTCAGCTTACAGGATAATACAAGGACAGATATTTGATCTGAAGATCTTACGTTTGACTATTTGATCTGGATGTCTAACACTGAGAAAAGGAAAAAACGAAAGTAGAACAGCCTCTGTGATATTCTGCAACATTCCAGAATAACATGATATTTAATGATTGAAGTTAAACATCCACTCAACAAAGACAAAACCAGCAAGTTAAATAGCCAGCAATATTTCAGCTTGCCTGTATTAATTCATTCAATATGCGAATAACTCGAATTCATTATTAGATGGCAAAAAACGCAGAGAACAGCTATTTTAAACTTGTAACACGTGTTCAGTCACATTTTTTCCAATTCATTTGAAGTTTGCTCAAGATAATCAACCGTACCGTCTTGCATGGGATGAAAAAGTCAAATCGTTGTTTTTTTGTTTCTTAATCGGAAGAAATAACGGTTTTATATTTTCACGATGATGTAAATTCTTTCGATAGCATATTATAACGAAAAATACATTTTACTTTTTATCTTTGTTACACGATTTTTATTCTTTTTTGTATATTTTTTGTACTTGCAGTGCAAAAAAAAAACTATTTTTCTTCTTTCATAAAAGAACTTATGCGTAGTTTCATTTGCTTTATTTATTGTGCTGTTCATTAAGGCTTGAATTTCATTTTAAAAAAAGTAAACAACAGAAAAAAAAACAAGCTACATACAAAAGGTCTTTAGTTTACATTCAATGGAACATTACACAGACAAAAAAAAGAAGCATTACAAGATAACAGAGAACACGAGGGAGACAAGAAAGCGTCAGAAAGTTCATTCGTTGTTATTACATTACGAGTTAAAATCAAACATGATCGATATTATTTTTGTAATCATTCGTGCTTGTGATATATTCAACAAATTTGTCTTGTGAAACACTAAAATAAAATACAAATAAAACAAAAAAATTATAATTAAGAATAAAACAAACCGGCCACTGCCATCATCGAGTTTAGTCCAGTGTTGTTCCCAAGTAGTTGTAACTGGTTTTGTTTCATCAGATGGTATAGTTGTTTTTGAAGTTGTATCTTTTGTATCGTTCCAACTGAAATTGAAAAGAAAATTTCTATTCTGATTCTACATAGAAAGCAGCATACTTACGTAAAATATCGATTAAGATGATTAAATACCTGTTCACCTTGTTCTCGTGAAATATAACCTTAACACAATAAAAATAAATCAATAAGAAAAATGAAGCATAATTTATTCTTCACCTGGCGTTGGGTTATTATGATCTAAAATATAGTTTAATCGATCACAAGCTGTTGCGGCTGTATTTGGATGTTCATTTCGACTTAATAATAAATATGCATTGACGAATTCTATTGTATATAAATTAAAAATCTATTTTTAGCCAAAGAAAATAAAATTACCTTGAAAAGTTAATTTGCCTAAAAAACAAGGGATAACAATAGTATCGATAAAGAAAGCAAATAAGAATAATACCTGTTCCTTCGGCATCAAAAGCCTTAAAAACTCGATCAGAAATTTTATCCAAGTCATGTTCGGTAAGGACTTTAGGAACAATTGGACCAGTTTGTGCATTTAAATATAATTCTTTATATAAACGACGAAATTCTTTCTTGTCCATTCGATTACTTTTGCCAGTCGCAGCAACAAATTCTTGATAAAGTGTTTCAACTGTAGCTTTAGGAATACCTAAAAATGATCTAATTCAATAAAGAAATATTAATCAATGAAGATACTGATACCGGTAATATTACTGAATCGATCTAAATCCCCTTGAGTAAACATGTCTTTTGAATGACTTTTACCCATTTTAAAATAGAAAATATAAATTGAAATGAAAACTTTTTGTAATGTTTAGAATACTGTTAAAATGATGAAATGAATATAATACACTCGTTTATATAAGGGTAAATAGGTTGATTTTCTTGTTCTCTTGTTTTTGTATTATGTTCAGAACGAGCATTAGTCATACTTTGAAAGAAAGAAACAACCTTGACAAAATAAAAATATAACAATGAATGAATTTCAAGTCACATTCTCTCGATTTCTATTTCCATCATCATTATGTGGACAAAGATACGTAAATAAAGATACTTATACTCGTTGGCCTTGGTATCTATGTCTAAAGTCAAGCAGTGTTGTTTTATCAGTGGTAATCAGTGGAAATCAGTAGAATAAAGTACGAAAAAAATGAATCAATATTTGTATTGTTATGTGGTATTACGAATGGTGAATAAAAACTGATTAAACTGCTCATTAAATGAATGAAATTTTTTTTCATATATAAAAATATATCAAACTCAATTTATGGATATAATAAAAAATATTTGTTTTAAATATTACTATTTTCATATAATACAAATAATCTTGTGTGAATAAAACAAAGATGATTTATTCTTGACTCAGCGTTGATAGAAGACAATATAATTTGATAAAGAACACAAACATTAATTGATATTCTCTTATAATCTACTCTCAGTCGTTTTTTGTTCATATCCATTTCTTTGCTTATAGAATTTACTTAGAGTACATTTAATAAGTCACTCATCAGAAAATACTTTTCTTATTATAGTAGTTTTGATTTAGTTTTGTTGAGAAACTTGATAAACTTCATTCGTACAGGCAAAAAAGGTTTCATATTCGATACCTTATATAGAAATAGTGTTCCAAAAGTTCGAACAAAAAACAACGTGAATAACTCCTCAGCAGTTCAAGAGGTATAAAAATTTTTTTTAAAGTTTTATTCAATACATTTCAGATAAAATGTCTGTAGCTAAACAAGTCCCCTATTGAAATAGTTTTACTCATGGTCAAATTCGAAGAAGCTAGAATTTTAAAACGATAATTACACCTTGAATTTGGAAAAAAACATATCAACTACACAATGCATTAGCAACGCATACCAGCGATTTAGTGAAATCGGTACTATAGAAAATCAATGACATTCCAAAAGACCATAGAGTAACTACTGAAAAAAAAGTTGATGAAGGCTATGACGCTTGTAAAAATGAATCAGGGTTCGGTTATGTAACTCTTCTTTGTAGAACTGTTGAACAAATTGTACCTTGTATGACTTTAATAAGAGATGTTCTGTCATAATCCGGTATGTTACTGTTTATGGTAATCATCAAGCTTGTACAATTGACTAAATATTTGATTCTGGCTCATTTTCACAAACATTCTTAACTTCATTGACTTTTCTTCAGTTGCTGTAGGTCCTCCAAAACACATGATCGAATTTTGACTGTACTAGTTTCACAAAATGTCTGAAGTGTGATTCTAATACAGAATTCAGGTGGCATGTTTTTGTTGAATATCGACTAGCAGTTGTTTAAGAATGGTAGCTAACTCGAATTTGACTGTCAGTAAGACTATTTTAATTGCAACTTCTGTAGACACAGACATTTATCTGAAAACTTTAATGAATATCTCATAAAACTGTAAAAAAAAACAAAGCTCTTGAAGTGCTGAGGAATCTATTCACGTTTTTGTTTTCTTTCAAACTTCCGGAACATCGTTTATGCATTATCACCGTTCTTTATGTGATGAAAAAATATCGGATATTCTCTCATCAATCATTACGAAAGAAAATGACGATGTTAAAGATTCTTTTCATTTTAGTTTACTTGTTTCATCTTTCAAAATGACTGTGAGAAGAAATTTTATATTATTTTGAAAGCTGAACGTGACTTTAATATAAAAGAAAATAATATAGTATAAAAAATAGTCTTTTGTTTTTGATCACGTTCATTCAAGTCAGTACTTATTTTATTGTTTGAATTTTACATCACACTACTTTAGAATATTTGTTTTTTTTTTTCTTTTCTCCTTTTTTTTGCACTTGTGACGATGAGACAGATCGTACCAGTCTATTTTCTTGTCTGTCATCGATAAGAAAAATTCTGCTACAAATTTATACACACATTCAGAATTTTGTTTATTTAATAATCTATTACAGATTGAAAATATGTGGTTCATTTTCTTATTTATAATCGATTTTATTATCGCAAAAACGATCTATTATGACAGTGTACTTGGTTATAAATGTGAAAAAAATGAACATTGTGCTGGTCTTGTACCAAATTCAATGTGTTTTAATAATAAATGTGTATGTCAATCTGGATATAAATCTGATGAGATTTTTCGATGCACATCTGAAATACGTCATCGTCGACAAATTAACTTTGGTAAAAGAAATTTAAGTTTGTTTGTTTGTTTGTTTTCTGTTTATTTTATTTTGAATTTTTTTTGTTGAGAATTTAGGAATTCAAATGTTAGGTGAAGAATGTAAATCAAATGATGAATGTCGTCGAACACCAGTTGATGGAACAAAAGTATGTTTATTAAATCGATGTCAATGTTCATCTGGTCATGTACCAATTGATGCTTATCGATGTATTCGAGATTTTGGTTAGTTTTTTCTATATTTGTGGGTTTTTTGGTAAAAGAGATATTATTGAATATAGAACAATTATCATCAAATACACGAATAATAAAAACATCTGAAATAGAAGAACCTCCTGGTTATGGTTCAATGTGTTTGACAACTAAGGATTGTCAACATTCTACTGCTCAACTTGAATGTTTTCGTGGAACATGTGTTTGTTTAGAAGGTTATGTTCCATTGGGAAAATATTTATGTTATAATATTCGTACACAAGGTAAAAATTTTTTCAGATGATGTTACAATGGTTTTCGATTAAATTATATGTTAGATGCATCGATCATAGAAAGTTCAACTTTCCCTTCTACTCTTTCTATAACAACATCGACATTCAATCGACCAAATAATGCATTTGTTAAATCCTTAGGCAAATTAGGTAATACATGCACAAATGATTACTATTGTCGACGATCAGTATCTCACTCACATTGTTATAATGGAAAGTGTTCATGTATTAATGGTTATATATCAGTTGATTCTTATACTTGTATTGAAGGTAATTAATTATTCAATTTTATGTATTATTTATACATATATATATATATTCAAAATTAGATACAAATGCAGATTTAACAGTAAGTTTTGCTGGTTATAAAAGTTTATTAGGTGGAAAATGTAGAACAAATCAGAATTGTCATACATCAGATGCAATATGTTTAAATAATATTTGTACTTGTCCAAAAAACTATTTTCCTATTGATAATTGGAATTGTTTAAAAGATCCAGGTATGAACTTAAACTATTAGCCTAATCTAATCAAATGTATTATTAGATGCATCTAGTGAAGAATTAATCCAAACAACGACCATAGTTTCGACGACGACGACAACAACAACAACAGCAACAACAACTGGTTTTCTTTGGTGGCCATGGTCGCCATCGTCAACAACACGCCAATCACTAATTAATTTAAAAAATATATTTCCTTTTCGTTGTTTACTTAATCGACAATGTATTAGTATGGATAGAAATTCTCATTGTACATCATTTGGACGATGTGTATGCAACATTGGTTTTAAATTAGAAATGACTAATAATGGACAAAGATGTGTTCGAAAGATAATCAATGACGATGACTGTGACTAGAAAAAAATAAATGAATCTTTTCTTTTTTTTTTATATTCCGGTGCATTTCTGTTGTTTTTTTTATGTGTATGTGTTATTGATCTTGATATTCGACTTCATTTTTAATTTGTAGTAACAAACAATATGGATAATACATAACAACTAAATAATCTCGAAAAAATAGAATCCTTTTACAAATAAGAAAAATAATTAAATTATATTTTGTATTAAATTTTTTTACTTATAAACAAAATCTGTATGAACTTTTATACAAAGTGGAATTAAAAAATCAAGCTAACAACAAAAACGAATGGTGTACATATTTATTTATGAGTTTGATTAAATACTTGACATCAACAATATGCACAAAAAAACGTATATGATGAAAACGAAGTCTTTCGTGTCAAAATGAATATTTCATATTCAACAATATATATACCAATATCATTACAACACTCACATATATCTCATTGAGATTGCACTTCATAACTAGAGAAAGTCGTCTCGAATTTTTCTTAATGCTAGTTGACCATAAGCAGTATTAAATAAATAATTGATAGCAATATCATATACAATCACATTTACTTACTAACTTAGGATTTTTAATAGACGTGCAAACATGGCGGTTTATTATTCATGGGTGTACCGTTCATTAGTGCAACGATGAACCAGTGTCACTACTCATTTAATTTATGTAGGGATGCACTTGCAATTAATGCAATTATGATCAACCAAGTGGTTAAATACGTGAGAAGTCCTAAGATAAACACTAGTGAAACTAATAAACGAATGGGAAGTCCATGGAAAGACCAGCTTTAAGCATTATTCAGATGGATTTATGCTAGGAAAAGTTAGTGGTAATAAAAAAGAAAGCCGGTCAATTTACCATCAGTCTACCGTTGTATGTCTCAATCAGCGTGTCAGCAGTCCAGCGTCATCGTTGCATCCTTAATTTTTAACAATCAAAGAGAAATAATTATCTTGCTGTTATTTTAATGATTAAAAATAAAAAAGAATTCGATGCTCGAAAATAGACACACTTTGTGCAAAATGTAAACACTAATTCACACGATATGCAATCAATTTTGTCAATGTTGACGAGAGTTTGCATTCGTGCTATTGTGATTTGAATAGATCAAAAAATGTTTGATCTATCATTTTATTCAATTCACACACGCACACACACACATTTGATAGTGGGTAATAACAAAAAGAAAATGAATATAATACAAATATAAAACACTGCATCATTTCACACAATTGGTGAAAAGGTAAAAGAATAAAAAAAAAAAGAATTTACATTATTAAATATGAAAGAGAAAAAGGTAACGACTAAATTGTTAACTGAGCAGCTTACAAAATCACCATTGTACACACACATGCACAAACAAGCATCGCTTAAAAAACTTGTATTAATTCAATTTTAGTTTCATCCATTTTTTTTTTGTATTTATTTATCTTAATATTCAGTATGATAAGATCATTGTTGTTATTCAAATGATACTTCATCATATAGATTAACATCATGGAAATCTACTCTCTATTGTTGTTGACGGCGTTGATCAAAAATAGATTTAGGTGCTCGCGATGTGCCTTGTACTGACAACAGATCTTGTTCAAGAGCACGAAATGATCGAGAAAGTTTTCCTTCAGATGAATAAGGAATATGTTTTTGTTGTTCACAATTCATTACAGCTTGATATGTAGGTGACGGTTGATGATGAATATTATCATTATGATTCATTGTTGATGGAGATATATTATTTCTAAGAACAAAAAAAAAAGTCAATGTTTTTTTAAAATAAAACTTTATGTTTTGTTTCAAATACTACCCTTTAATTTCATCAATTAAATTTCCTGTTTGTGTTTTAAATGCTTCTAGAACTTTATCATCACTATAAAGTCCTATTGGAGAATTATATTGGGCATGATAAACAGCTGTACCAATATGACGAGTTGAAGCTTGTGGATTGTCACGATATGCTTTTGGTCTCCATACTTCACGTTCTAAAAATTAAAAAATATTTTCATAAAATTAAAGTAAAAAATATTCTAATATACGAAGTGGATCTCGATTATAAGCTGGTGATGATTCAAAATTAGCTGAAAGTTATTAAATATTAAAAAACATATTAACAAAATAACAAAAAAACAAAAACTTACAAACTTTCGGACGTAAATGTTCAGGCGTTTCTTGCGCATAATCACCTAAAAACAGAATTTATCCAAGGATTTAAATATCCTCTCATACTAGATTGTCGATTCATTGATTTTTCTGTTTGATAAGTCATTTCATTACCCGTTCGTCCGTCGAATTGCATTGCTGCTCGATTATGATTACTACCAAGATGAGTTTGAGGCTTAAAATGAATTTTTATCGTTATTATTTTAAAATAAAAACATTTCATTATACTTGATTTGGTGCAGTAAAATTAGGTTTAACAACTTGTGGACTTGGCATTTGGTGTACAGGACCTATTATTATTTGTGAAAACGATTGAGGTGTTGATGTGGATTGTTGATTAACGGCCCCTCTATAATGAATATAAATGAGAATAAATTCATTATTATGATTGATAGACGTACTTTATGACAGTTAATTCAAGTTCATTACCAGAACGTGTTATTTCCATTTTAGCATCTTGATGAGTAAGATTAGTTACATTTCGACCATTGATTGATATAACTTGATCACCCGCATTTAAACCATTTATATGAGCTAGAGTATTTGGATTGACCTTGGGGAAAAGAAAAGAAAAAAGGTCATATTGTATTGTATCTTATTCGGCTACATACCAGTTGAATCGATAATGGGATAGAAAAATCACTCCCACCTAAATAGAATAGATACTTAGTAAGAAAGAAAACAAAGAAAAGATTTAAAGTCCAACCTTGAAGACGAAAACCCCATTGTCGACCAGTGCTTTCACGTTCAAGACGAATTATTATTGGAGAATTCATCTTAGAAATAAATATATCTGCAATTGTTAATATTGAAAACAGTTGGTCTTTTTTGCCCTAATATACACATATACGTATATACAACAACGAGGTTTGACACGGATATATAACAAACCAAGCGAACTAGCTTCTTTCTGTTAATTCAATAGATCGACAAAAGGACAGAAGAATTATGTAGACTGATTGCATAGATTTCTTTCTTGTTTCCCTATTCTTTTAGATATAACGAGTAATGAGAAAGAAAAGAAAGGCTAAAGAAATCATCAGAATATATCAACATTCCTATGTTACTTTGGATATATACAGAACAAATATGAGTGAATTGACGCTTGAGTAATATGGAGAGAAAACATGCATGTCAGATAGAACATATATATCAATAATGATATTCAAGGGGATTTCCTTGCCACTAAAACAATGCCTTTCTGTAGAAAGAAAACCACAAAGAACATTTTTATTTCTAAAAAAAGAACTAAATCAACTTCATCAAGTTCATTGTTTATTCATTTGTCTTATTAATTTTTTTATAATATTAATTTTCGAAGAGTTTAATCAATTATATAAAGAATATATTATTAAAATATGAATAAATCGAGCTTAAAAGAATCTTCTTTTTTTCTAATCAACTACATGCTGGAAAAATAATTTTCATAAGAGATCTTTTTTTTTTTGCATTATAATCCTATTGAAAGTATTGTTCTCATAAAATCATATTTCAATTTAATATGATATCGCTTTTACTATAAAGTAATATTTTAAAGACAAACTCATTAGAATATAAAAGTATATTATTTTCTATAAAGTATAAGGATTAATGACTTTTAGAATTTGTCACATCTAGTGACAGATGTGCCAGAGAAATTTCTTTCTTATGACATATGGCGATATTTACAGTGACAACGATTACTACACGATTTATGTCCACTGTATTTCGAAGTACCGAGCACAAAATTTTGCAGTTCTCTGCACAAATGATGACATGAAGGGAATGATATAATCTTTTCATTGAGAAATAGACATGATAGAAGCTTCTCTGATAGGATAGCTAAGAATTCCTTGTTTAGAATAAAAATATTTTAATTATATTCTATCTTCTTCTATTGAAAAAAGCTTTTTTTTTATTACTAATTTGAATCCGTCATCTGTTGATGAAGAGCGGAAAGCTTAATCATGTTCTTCTTATCCAACGTTGAGAGTTGAGGTTTTGCCGACCTTCATATTCATTGGTAAAATTTTTCAAAGAAATATTATTTTATACATAATTATAATGTTGACTAATATATTAATTTCTAATCAATTATGATGTACTTTTAGTAAATCATTCTGAATTTAATTCAATTGAACATTTTTAATTATTTAATTGTTTACTGTTGAGAAAAACAAATCATGTTTACAGAAATCATATTTCTGAACCTTTGGAACAAATAATCTATGAATGATTCACTCGACATATTGTGCATACGCATTTCAGATGACTTAAGAGTCTATTAACGATCCGATAAGTTCTATACACCCATCATGCTTTCGATCGATAATTATTTTATTTTGTTCGTTGCGACATATAAAAAGAATGAATTCAATCATCGGTTAAACAATGTCTAGTAGACTTTGATTCATATCCAATATTGATCGAATCTAAATTCATATTTAGTCAATGAAATTTGAAAAAAAACAAATAACATAAGAACACATTAATTTACTATATTAAACCATATATCTTTAATTATCAATAGAGATTGTCAATAATGTATATTAATCACGGTATACTTGGCACAAAAATCTGATTGATTGACCATCACTAGACAAAAATCATTACTGATATGTGATCAATAAATTAACACATTTATAAATCCAACTTAAATAAATCATTTTTCATTAAAATTAATGTGAGAAAAATTAATCATATTTAGTGCGAAATTCTATCTAGACAAATCTCAAACATGCACATCAAATCTCCAATGAATTCTATTGTCTATATTAATAATTTGGATATTGTTTTTTTTTATTTCCTATGTAACAATATAAAGTCTACTGTATATAGTACACAGATAATTCATTTAATATACTCATGTGATTTTTATATTAAAGAAATTCATTGATATTCAATATTTAATTATTATGTTTAGTTAATAATAAAACTAATAATAAAGTATAATATGAATAATTTTCTATAAATAGTATTCATTCTTATAAGAAAATAATTTTTTCTTTTCTAAATATTTTCTCTAAAATTATTGTTCTTTCTTTTTGTTTCATATAAATATCGTTTTATTCTTCTTCTATTCGAATATTTTCAACATACCGATAAGCAAGTTTAGACTTCTAACATGAATATTGTAGCACTTTTTTTGTCACTGAAATGTCAAAAATGCTAATCATATGAGACAAGTTGTCATCATTATGTAAACTAGATTAACACCTTGAATTCATTATATAGAATTGGCAATAATTTATAAGTATTACATACATCAGACCGTTTCTTCTTTTTTCCTCTCTCATTTTCTCGTTTTTTGCATGTTTCCTTTGCTATTATTTTCGCCTCCCCCTAGCCTAACTTACTATTACTATTATCATAGAACACGCAGTCGGGTTTTGCATTTCATCGGTCTAAGAGAGGTATTCAGACGATAGAGAGGGAGGGAAAAAGCATACGCAAAGCGTTCCATAAGACATTCTCGACGACGAACAGACAATAGATTCGTAGATGCCGGTTGATGTAGAAGAAAGATAGTAAAGAAAATATTCGTATAGAAAAATAAATATTTGTATTTCCAATTCTGCTTTCTCTCTCTCCCGTTTTCTCTTGTACTACAGGAAACAAGGGTAACTTTTTTTTCTTAACTAAGTCGCATGGCACTTTAGTTCTCCTTGTTTTTCTTTCTCTTAACATTTCTCTAGAAATATCTATCTATGTCATTGATGTGATTTTCTATAAAAATAAAAAAGATCACTGTCACCTGTTATTCTCAAACTAAACTATTATGATGGTATACGTAGATATTCTGTTTTCTAAATTTCTTTTAATATAGCATTAAATTTATTCTGAAGAAATCATTCTTTTTTTCATTCTAGATATCACTAATCTTTTGTCAATTTTCTTATCAACGTTGGATATTTCTTAAAAGAAGACGAGAAAATCGAATGGTTTAATGATTTATATTATCCACACTTTCAGAATCATTTTTGAAAAAATCGCTCAATATCAAGTCTAACTCAATCAATTGTATGAATCAAACTTCTTATCCATTTGCCGGAAATTGACTTCTAACAACGAGCAAGTCAAGTAGATAGCTTCTCTTTTCTTTGAAATATAAACTAAGCTGATATTTCTTCTCTTTTTATTCTATGAATCCTTTATCGACTATAATAAGGAAATCTATTCAGAAATTTACATAATTAGTTATCCCAATCTATTGATTATATGCTACGCAAATTATACTTGCGATCGTATCTATAAAACCTTAGAATATTTAATCTGATCTATCAGATTGACAAGCAGCATTACGAAGAGTTAATTTTGTTTTATAAGTTCTTCTAACGTATTGGTAATTTAATTAAGAGACTTATTGAATAAATTCGAAATGACAACAAACAAGTTAGATGATATGCATGCATATATAGAGCAAGAAGAAAAGCAAAAACAATCTGTTGTATAGTGAACAGATAAATAGATACAGACAAAAATAAATTGATGAGATATTTACAAGGCCGATAGGAGAAAAAAAAGAGAGTAAGAGATCATTATAGACATTTATTGTTGGACAACAACTAATAATACAGACGATACGATAATTCTTTTCCTCATCGAATGTGAAAGAAAAATATGTGAGAAAAAAAACATTAGAAACCAAGCTTTTCTCAATATATCTTTCCGTAATTAGTTGTCAGAGCTTGTTCGAATATGGAATAATTATATAATTTAATTTTGCATGATATTTTTTGTCAACTTATTGCGTGATTTCTTTGTGAATCTGTATACTTTTGATTGATATTGAGCTTGCATGTTTCGATAATCATCGTATTATTGCAGAAAGTCTATAACAACAATATGCAATCTGTTTTCTGTGTCAAGATATGCATGCAACTATCTAGAATAGAATAGCTCTATGCATGTATTGTGTTAATATACATGCATAGTAAAATGACATGCTGATGCTTTGTTTTATATCTGATTAGTTTGTTGAGAGAGCTAAGCTTGATAAACTAGTCAAGGACGTTAATGATGATGTTGTTTTTTTTTTGCTAAATTCTGGCATCAATCAGTTTTATTTCTTTTATCGACAGCACGAACGATCATTAGAAAAAAAATTCTTTCTTTTTTTTATGAATAAAAAATCCTATACGCTTGAGAAAACACATTATATTCAATTGATGAAAGAAAAATATTTAGTCTCGACGAAAGAAAAGAAATATATCGACGAATAAAAAGAGTTTCTTCTTTCTTAGTATGTCTTAGGGTATATATGATTGTTTGTTTTTTTTTAGTTATTAAATAACTATGCAGTTAATAATATGAGAAATCAAGTAACATGAAGAATGGATTTCAACAGAATAGGGAATGGAGGAATTTATAAGCCAACGATTCTTACCGATGCTGTACCGTCATCATCATCAATCATTGGATATTTAATAAATAATCCTATTGATGATTGTCTAACATCATCTGTTCATGATAGTGGTTGTTATTCGTCTACAGCTGATGAATTACACCTAATGTCGTCACATATAGCTAGTTCAAATAGTAGCGCAAAACATCATAATCGTCATCATCATCATTACACAAAACATCGTAGATTAACAACAGATCAAAATGATTCTATTTATAATAAGAATAATCAACTATTAGGAAATGAACCATTTGATAAAGTCATAATAAATGTAAGTGGTTTACGTTTTGAAACACGTGCATCAACATTACAACGTTATCCTCATACATTACTTGGTGATAAACAACGACGTGCACATTTTTTTGATTCGATGAATAATGAATATTTTTTTGAACGACATCGTTCATCATTCGAAGCGGTTCTTTATTTTTATCAAAGTGGTGGACGTCTTGCAAGACCAGAAAATATTTCAGCAGAAATTTTTTTAGAAGAAATAAAATTTTTTGATCTTGGTATGTTTTTCTATTCAAATAATACAAAAACTAACAAAATCAAAATTATTATTTTTTTTTTTTTGATATATTCTAGGTGAAGAAGTGCTCAAACGTTATCGAAAACAGGAAGGCTATGTAGAAGAAATTCCTGTTGAACGACCAGTCAATGAATTCCAACGTTTCGTTTGGGAAATATTTGAATGTCCAGAATCATCAAATATAGCAAGAGTTGTTGCAATTATATCAATTGTTATGATTATAGTGTCTATAGCTTCATTTATAATAGAAACACTCCCGTCCATCCGTAATGAACCGTTAATGTCACTAGAAAATAATGTAAATAATACAAATCAATTTAATTCATTACCACCAGGTAATGAAACAAGACTTTATTGGTTATTTTTTATTATTGAAACAATATGTGTAACATGGTTCTCTTTTGAATTTTTATGTCGATTTTTGGTAGCACCGTCCAAATTTGCTTTTATTAAAAATGGTCCCAATATTATTGATGTTGTTTCAATAATACCATATTTTATACAATTAATTGGATTAATTTATCAGAAAAAAGATAATACTGTACCCGGATTTTCATCTACATTAACTGTATTAAGGATTGTTAGACTTGTAAGAGTATTTCGAATATTTAAGCTATCAAGACATTTTAAGGTATGATTTAGTCAATTATTACCTTAGATAGAAAATGACTAACAAAGAAATAAAAAGGAAAGAACACAAAAACCAGGCCCAATTCAGTTCTCTAGAAAAAAAAAATAATAAAGATTTAATTGATACTGCAGCTGTTAGTTTTTGTTAGTTTTTGTAATAAGATCTTCTTGATAATCAATTAGAATATTTCTTTAATGTCTTTGTCTCTTTTTTTTTAGGGTCTACAAGTACTTGCATTGACATTTTTAGCATCTTGGAAAGAATTACTTCTATTAATGTTTTTTCTCTTTATTATTGTTATTGTTTTTTCTTCATTTATGTATTTTGTTGAAGCTGATTATTCAAGTATACCTCCATCGAGAACACCACCAATCCATATGCCATCAACATCTATATCATGTCCCCCATCTACTAATTGTCTTTCAACATATGATCAAAATATTGCTCCAACACAAGCGAACAATCAGTTTGCATCCATTCCTGATTCATTTTGGTTTTCTATAATAACAATGACAACTGTTGGTTATGGTGATTATGTTCCACGTACAACATTAGGAAAAGTTATTGGTGCAGCATGTGCTATAACAGGTGTATTAACAATAGCATTACCTGTACCAATAATTGTATCAAATTTTACATATTTTTATCAACGACAAATGGAAGATAATGAACGACAATATCAAGCAAGACAAAAAGCACAAGCAGCAAATCAATTAGCTTTAGAAAAACGTCAATTATATTCATTAAATGATAATGATCATGGACCTGAACTTAATGAATGGGAAACAACATTAAATGAACCTGATTATTCAGCTTATCGACAAATAACACATGCAGTTGCAAAAAAATTAGTACATAATGTTTATTTTAAAGCATTTCGTGGTTCAAAAAAAATGAATCCAGCTTTGCGTTATCAAAGTTTACCACCATCAGCAGCACCATATCAAATAACACATAGAATTTATCAATTAGCGGATGATAAAAATGAGACGGATATTTTGCAATAAATTTTCTATTTTTTAAGACAACGAATATTTTCTTCTATTGTCCATATATATATATATATATACATATATGTAACAAAAAAAATTGACGATATTTTGACGTGTGATGTTTTGTTCGTGATTTTTGTTTTTATAATATAATATGAGTTTTATTGTTTATTCTCAATGAAATATCCCGATGATGGAGTGAGTGTATTTGTTTTAATGTGTGGAGATATAGTAAATGTATTTGTATCAATACTTAGTTCATAATTTATTGTCAATAAAACTTCTCATCGTTCAAGGTTCTTTTCAAGAGAATCGTAAAAACTAGAGAGAGTCGTTAAGCGATGAAATCAGTCTCCTCTCGACGTTGAGTTTCTTATTACTCAAATAGTCAATAAAGAATAAAGATATCAGAAATCGATTGCTATTCGAACTAGACCTCATTCCAGCTGTGCGCTGCTGACCCAACACTTGATATTATCGATCTCCAATAGTGTTATGGAGTGCAGCGTTTCTATGAATAGTTTATCTCCCTTCTTCAGATCGTTTAATTTGACTTATATATCAAAAGAAAGTTATTTCTTTCCTCTATCAAAATGACATATACAAATATGACAAAATATTGTTCTTTTCCCTGTTTTTTTTAGATAACATTGTTTACTTATGTATATAATATGACGACACAATAACAAAACTTCTTCGCTATTAAGCTATGAAAGTAGCGATCCACTTTAATTTAGATATTGTTTGATAGAATTTTCAAGCGTCTACAAAGTGATACTATTGCATTAAGTTTAACTTGTGAACAAGACACTTTAATCAAACGTACAATGTTCACGAGTACCAAAAGATGCCCTTTTTTCACTCATATTTGATGGATTTTGATCAGAATAATCAGCATTTCTATTAAAACGAACGACTTATTTTGGAATCAGCGTAAATACCTGAGTCGATCTATATGTGTCGAAAAATTTTTCGGCAACTTTTACTTTCATCGATAAATTAATCTCTGATTCTTCTCGAAGGTACGTCGAAAAATAAAGCTAATCAAAGCACCGTTTTTATTGTTTATAGATCTGTTGTTCTGAATTTTTCTAGGTTTTTAAAAACTTAGAAGTGATTCTTTACACTCACACTGAAGTTTTGACTGAGTTTCTTTCTCGGCGTTACCCTCAGGGAGAACAGGTCCACATTTTTGGGCGAAAACAAAGTTGTCGAATGGTTTTGTGACATAAAGATAGATCAAACCTGTTTTTTTCTGATGATTCCAAATATACCATTCGTTTTAATAGAAGCCCTGATTATTCTGACCAAAATCCATCAAATATGAACCAAAAAAGTGCAACTATTGGCACTTATGAACATTGTGCGTTTAATCTAAGTATCTTGTTCACCAGTTAAGCTCAATGCAATAGTATCACTTTGTAGAGTCTTGAAAATCCTATCGAATGATATATAAATCAAAGTGGATTGCTAATTTCATAGCTTAATAGCGAGAAAGTTCTGTCCTTGTGTCGTTATATTATACATACAAGCAAACAATGTCATCTAAAAAAACAGGGACAAGAACAATATGTTGTCATGTTTGTATATGTCATTTTGATAGAGGAAAGAAATAACTTTCATTTGATATATAAGTCAAATTAAATGATCCAAAGAAGGGAGATAAACTGTCCATAAAACCGCTGCACTTGCATAACACTATAGGAGATCGACAATATCGAATTTTGAGTTAGCCGTGCACAGCCAGATCGAAGTTTCGAACGGCAACTGACTTCTGACAGCTTAATTGACTATTCGGGTAATAAGAAACCTTATTTCGACGGGAGACCAATCTTATCGCTTAGTGATTCCTCCTCCTTTTGATTTTTTTCTATATAATTACTAGTGTAAACAAAAATATAGGTTTCGCTGGTCAACTTTCAGAAAGAAAAATATGAAATTAACGATTATATTGGCCTTAATAGTCAATTATTTGGCTAGCTAAACAAAACTCTTGTGCTCAATTCGATTGATGTAATTTCGATTTACATCATAATTCCAATTCTTACTCACAAGTTTTGAAAGTAATGAAAAACTAAAATGAGAAAGTAGCATAAGTTCGTAGATCTTTTGATTAGTGGTGTAACTAGAAAAAAAGTTGTAGAAGAGGAGGCTCAGCACTCATGACCGTGTGTGTAGAGGGGTGAAGATCACTAGTAATGCTTCTGAAAGGAACTTAAAGTCCCCTTTTACACGAAACTCAACCGTTTGTAGTATGAGGCAGAACCTATTCCCTTTTAGCTCCGTTTGATTACGGCACTACTTTTGATGGTATACTCAAAATAGAAAAAATATTATGTATTCTTATATCGAATCAAATTTGTATATAACTAATAACTATTGTGGAAATGAATCAAGAAACATGTATGAACGACATAAAAGTTATAAAAGAGAAAATCATCCGGCATTTGTCTTTGCCTTGAAATAATTCGTTTTATCGATAAAATATATCGATCTACACTAGAGTTCGACACTAATTGAAATCTTGTATACTTGAAGTCAATGCGTTCTTAAATTTTGATATGAAAAGGTGCTATTTAATGACAATATAAGATGAACAAAATCTTCAAAACATAAACTCAAGCAAATCGATTTACGAGTCTCTTGAAACTCCAGGAATTACTTTTTTTTTGTTATCAAGACTAATATTCAAAGTTTAAAAAAATGTGCCCTATTATTGCGAATAGCTGCACTACTTAATTAATATCAGTTTACTTTGAAATTTTGATCACTTTCATGACCAGTAACAACTATACAATAGTTACAAATTAGCATCGGTAGGTAGATCTAATAAAACTTGCCATTCCATTTGAACTTTTTTACCATTAAAGTGCAGAACATAGAATTTGAATATGACCGAGCTATCATATGTCGAGAAAAGTCATAATTGTCAATAATTAAAAAGAAAGAACAAGAAATGGTGCCTTTTACTATTACTGTAGACGAATTCTCATAGAAACCAATTATATATACATATAGTATATTAATGCAAGTTTCACAGAGTTGAAACTGAACTGATCGATTTTTTTCATCAATTTTTAGAGGTTAAAGTTAATATATTTCCCTCATTTTTAGCGATTTTTCTGGCTTGAAAGTTTCACATTGGCAAATCTCTAGTCATCATTAAAGTTCCAAGTTTAGAAATGCAGTTCACAGGTTCCAATCGTATGATAAGGATCTCGAATTATATTGAATCAATTTATTATGATCACAAAAAGTTAGCCAGATATTAGAAATAAAATTCAGTATAAACTAAAGACTTTTCATCGCGATATGTCAAGCTCATTTTTCTGGACTAGTTTTATCCGATTGTTCGAAACCATCTATGACTCTTAGTGTGCAATTTATACTTTTATTACAAAAATAATAACGAAGACTTCATTCTGTTAATGAAAGTTATGGCAATTAGTAGTCTGATGCAACTGCAAAAATATCTAGGCATTAGAGAAACAAAAACAAAAAAAGAATATGAATTTGAGCATAAAAATCAAACTTTGTAAGTTATTTTGTCTTCCTATCGGAACTAGCAGACTTTTATAAATATTGAAGCCTTTCACTTGCATGAAATAACAATTTCAAAGAAGAAAATATCAAACTTATTAATTCTTGTTAAGAAATCATCTTTATTGAAAAATGTCATGCAAGATAAAGCATAGAGGTTATTCGATATCAGTTATTGTAAGTCAATAGATGAAAAGTTTTGAAAGAGTTCTTCCTTCATCATTAGTCTTAGTTGATATGAAACATTACAGACTAAAATGTCATTTGATAGTATAAAATATTGAAAGAGCTATGCAAGTTTCACATTGTATGTCTTCATGGCACTGTATAATAAACATTTTCGCGAAAGAACTAGTTGGTTAGTTGATATATTAAACCGACCAGTTCAGTTCAGTTGAAAAAAATCCAATCATCTCCAAGTCTGATCTTCAATGATTGTTCCTGAGAGTATTAATTATAAGAACGTGTATAAGTTATTGTCAACATATTTTATTGTGTCAAACGAAACATCATCGATTTTACTTCTTTAAGGCGTACTGATACTGTCATGTATCAAGAAAGAAATATTGTTACAATACCATCTCTCACTCTTTTTAACACAATCTTATATGTTCAATTATGACGATGTTTCGAACTCATGATGTATTATCATATACAGAGACGATGATCAATTGCCAATGCTCGTTAGGATATATTAAGAGTTTAGAAAAAAAGGGATTCAAAAGCTAATTTATCGACATTAAATACAATAAATTAAATATAGTTTCTCTTTTCAGCTATTTTGATTGATGTATACATGAGAAACTTGTTATCTTTAAGTATTTGTTTTCTTTTCTGTTTTGTTACGACTTGTAGGCTACCTAAAAATGAATAATAAATATACGGTTCAAATTACAAACTATAATCCTTTCATTATTTGATTTAAGTAATGTATTTTGAAGCTTAGTAGAAATTGATTTTTAAATCCTATTATGCAAACTAGTTCATAATCAGAGGTGTCTCTTGTCACCTAGATTGGGGGAATGGGAGGGAGTCTCTTGTTCGGCACGTTCCTTTCCATGATATTCATTGATATAAACCCGTACCATTCTGCCTGAGTCTTAAACTGTTTATAATAATGTCTTTGAAATCATACAAAGAGAAGAGCAAACATTGTACATAGACTCATCATTGAAATCTTTATATGTTATTGTCATATATTTATTTCTTGTTTACAAGTTAACAACGGCATATTATATTGATACTCAAGAACATTATTCATCCATGATTACTAGCATAAAATTCTATTTATTTGGTTTCAAAGACAACAAACACGTGGTATGTGCAAAACACAGATTAGCGCTGCTTAATTGTGCATGTTTATTTCAAATCTAGATGTCGCTAGAATGTTCGATGTTCTTCTGTTTATAAATTTATGTTTAATCTTTTTAAAAATCATCACTTAAAAAAAATTTTCTTATCATTTTTATTTTTAAAAAACTCATTTAACTTTTCCATGCAGTATAAAGATTGTTGTATCACTTAGTTACATTTGTGCTATAGACACTATTAATGGTAACAAAACTATCGAATTAGTAAATTGATATGAGAGAAATATAAAAAGAATCATTCAAGTTCTTTTCAATATTTAATCATGACCAAAACTAATACTCATTTGTGATTTATAACTTTTTTTTTCCATTAATTCTCGTTTGAATGCATCAATAAACTTTCTATTCTTCTACATCTATCTAATTGAATATTTTCAAAAAAAAAACAATGACAAAATGTCTTTTCAAGGCTTTAAAAGCCGTTGACCTCGATCAACATGTTGGATTATTTCGTTCACTTGGTTATGATTCAGCTGGTGCATTAGCACGTTTTCGTGCTGAACATTTTGAAAAATTGAATTTTAATGAACAAGAACTACTTCGTCTTATTGCTTTACTTGATGTTCTAAAAGAAGCAACACATGAAGGAAAGATTTGTCCACATTATTTTAATTCAACTAAAACAAATAAACAACAATCAACAATAAAATCTGTTCCCATTCAAGCCAGTTGGAGTGACGAAACTGTTCAACAACGAAATTCTCAATTAACAATAAAAAAACAATCAAATGGAAATTTAAAACCAAAACGATTAATAAGTTCAATGGGAATTACTGGACGTTCATCTTCAGCATCAATGGCAACAATGAAATCAATTAAAAATCATTCCAATGAAGTTATTTCACAAAGATCATCAACAGTTGTTAGTCGACAACATTCTATTATATCAACAAGAAATAATAATCAACGATATTTAGGACCAAAATCATTTTTAACTCGACCAGCAATTCAACATGTTAAAGTAAGAAATTTTTGATAGATGAAATTTCACTGAGAAAGATATAAATATATTTCGATAAGAATCAAAACTCAATACATGTAGGAACTGTTACTTTAATCCATATTTCAACCACTGGACTTACATAGTATTCGTTTCATTTCAATCAGTACCTGAGAAGATCATATTCTTGAAAAATCAACTTCATATTGGTCATGATAATAAAATTCTTGAGAAAAAAAAAACTTTCTGAAAGCCACAATATGTTTTCCGTTGATTTGTACAATAATTTTGATTGAAGAAACATAGTTCTTTTTGAGATGCTTTTTCTTCAAATAGCGAAGAAGACTTTTTTTTAAGTTGAATTTTTGTTATTATGATGTAAAAATGGGTTTAGTCAATAATTAGTAATTCAAATTACATTTGAAAGCAGGTTCCAATGAGATTTATCGAGGACTAGAAGAGTTTTTTCGTTATGCATTGCCCTTCTCGAATTATTATTGTTTTATTAAATTTTTATACCTTTGGCAAAGTACTCATGGAAAGCTGAAATGATGATATGGTGAATTGAAATATTATGCATACATGTGTCTTGTGATCTTTAGAATGCCTTAAAGGTTTAAGTTCAAACTAATGTATTCTTTTTGATATATAGCATATTGAAGACAGTTGATTTTCTGATGCTACATGCTCTTATTGAATGTCCAATATCTCAAGAAGAATACATTGTTTTCAACTGAAACTTTTAAAGCATTTTAAGGGCAATCACACCTTTGTATACATAAAGTTCCAGTTCGAAATGTCGCAATTTGAGTGTTTTCATGAATACTTTGCCATAAGTATAAAATTCAGTAAAACAATGATAACTTGAGACAGACAGTGCATGGAGGCAAACCATTCTAGGCTTCTATTAGTTTCATTGCATTTTACTTATGGAGAAAGTATCAGTTGAATTGGTTTCTTCCACTTTTAGATCTTCCCCTGTAATTACGGAATGATAACATAATTCGACATAAAATGAATGTGGAGCGAGTTACTGGCGTATAGTAATAAAGAGAAGCATACAAAGGTTATAAATTACATTGCTTTTTTTCTTGACCATGATAAATACTTATGTAGAATCGATATAGTAATGAACCTTTCGTGCAGACCGATGCTTCAATATCATTGATACTTACCAAGTCGATTGATCTTTACTAATTACAACTTGAGTAATATCCTATTTTCGTTTGCACTCCTCAATTGCTTGAAAAGAAAAGAGTTGTCTGTCAAAATTTCTAATTTCGTCTGGTGTTTTAATGGGCAACATTTCAAATCATTGTAAGAAAATTCAAAATATATCTTAGCACATTAGATATCGTTTGTAACTTGTTAATATCGATCTTAAGGATTCAGTCTCAAAGTATTTGATAATAAACAAACAAAGAATCAGTTCTAATTCATCCATTTGTTTGCTAGAAAATTATCTTTTTTTACAAAATTGTAGAAAAACAAATACATGACATCGTAACCGAATCGAAAATCCCATTTTCATTTTCTTTAATAATTTATTTTTAACACTTGATGATATTCTTTAATTAACTAGGTTAAATCATATAATTACGGTATTCCAAGTAATAAACGTTCACGAAATATTTCATATCGTGCTAATTATCAATTTTCATCAAAAATTCATCATGGTTCAATATTTGTTTCGTCTTCACATCATACAAATGATACAGTCTCGTATGCTAAACCAGCTGAAATATATGTTTATGCTCGAAAACGACCATTATTATCTACGGAATCTAATTTTCAAGATTCGATAGCTGTACCAGATAATAAACGTATTATTATTTCAGAAAATAAAGCAAATCTTGATTGTACACCGTTACTTAAAAAGGTATTTTTATTTCTAACACCAAAAAAATGTTTTTTTTATTCATTGAGTTTTGTTTTTAATAGACAGAATTTGAATTTGACCAAGTATTCGGATCTGATGTATCAAATAAACATATATTCGAATCTACTGTATTGCCATTTATATCAACAAGTCATCGTCATAATTTAACATATATTTGTTTTGGACAAACAGGATCTGGTTTGTTATTATATAAAATTTTGTTTTTCTCTTTTTCAAAATCTATTGAAATATTTTAAGGTAAAAGTCATACAATATTTGGTAGTAAAAATAACGATGGTTTATTAATTTATTGTACACAATTACTTTTACAAGAGATTAATTTCGAAAATAAACTTGTTTGTTCATTTTATGAAATATATAATAATCAAGTATATGATTTAGTTAATGCTGGAAAAAGGTTCGATTAATTTTTTTCAAAAGACAAAATTTCAATTTCTTTTTTTAAAATAAATTATCTAGATTATTTGTACGTGAAGATGGTGAACATCATGTTAATGTAATTGGTGCAACTGAAATTCTATTAAAAACCTTAGATAGTTTACGTTGTGTTATTGATGATGGTCTAACAAGAAGACATCATGGAAAAAGTGCATTTAATTCGAATTCATCTCGATCACATGCTGTTTTTCAAATAACATTAAAAACTAATTATGATTCATCCGAGAGTTTTAGGTAAAATTTTAATTGATAGATTTATTTAAAAAAAAGAGTCAATTAAGAATGAAAATATTTATGACCTTGCTATTTCATCTCCAGGGAAGTCACTATTTATTCTGTTCAATAATGTCTGAAGGAATCCTGCGGTGTCTATCAAAGAAATATAAGAGTGAAGGTCAAATTTTTCTCAATATATTTTAAGACGTTTTTCTTGTATTATTACAGAGTTTGAGGGTTAATGAAAACTATTATCCTCTTAAAATTTGATTGTTTCTTGATACGAGAATATATAAAACTTTGTCTCAATGAGTTGATTTTCTAAAGTAAATATGATATGTTTCCATTCTCTTACATTTGTTGCTATAATAATAAATTAAATTGTATTACAAACGGAGTTTTTTTTCTTCAATATGAGATTATAAGCAAATGAAGTATCATATTTAAATGCAATACATCAAAGTTTACACAAAAATATTATAAGCAATTCTTTTCAAAGAAGAGCCATCGAGTTTTATCGGCTATAAAGTATAGTCAATAGATATGTCTGGAATCTGTTTTTATGATACTGCAATGTCATTAATATGCCTAAGTTTATTAGCAGTCGACAAATAACTTCACATACGATAAAAATAAGGATGAAAACCTTCCAGAAAGGCGATCATATAATGGGTGATCGAAAAGTTTTTAAACAAGATGTTTGTTCACTTGTAATCTGATAGAAAGTGTTTTCAACGAATCAAAAGCTATGAGTTAAGACCAGAATTTGTTGCGCTTTTCGAAGATGAGCTTACACATTTTGTCTCAGTTTTTGTTTGAAAGTAGTGAAATAATCTTTGAAAAGTTCACAAAATTAATTTGAATCTTCATTTATACATCAACTTGTAAATCAGAAGTTACTATACAAAAAGAACTATGTCAAATATTTTGTGTTTTTTGTAAATGTTCATGTTTGAAAAACCGACAATCGTTTTACCTTGAAATGAGCTCTTAAAAAACGGCTTGTAGCTTCACTTTGATAAACGTGATGACTTAGTTCAATATCACACTTCCTAGAGAAGTGTCCATTCTACAAAATGACCGACTCGGACAATTTTTAGCATGCTCGAAAAGGCTTCTATGTGGTAAACAAAAACTTGTTGTCTCACCATTAAAAATAATTTTTCAAGTCTTTCAAAAAGTCTCTTAGTAATAGATATACCATTCATAAGCGTGTATCCGAAACTTGGTCGCGATCTATAGTTGTTGGTTCGTCTGAAATGCTTGCAATCGAACCAAAATGAGCCAACATGTGTACCTGAAACGTTGGTCGTTGAAATTAACTTTTTTGAGCTTTTCAAAGATTAATTCACTACACTCAAACAAAGACTGAGACAAATCTTCTACGTCCATATTCGAAAAGAGCACAAAATTCGGGTTGTAACCCATCAAAAATACTCTCTACCGGGCCAAAAGTGAACAAGCCAGAGTTGAGCAAGTCAAGTCAAATCTGACTTGACTTGTAACTTGAAAAATCTCTAATTTGTCCAGCTCTGGAACGAACATCTTCTCTAAAAACTTTCCGATCGTCCATTATAAGAAAAACAAAATTCATCTAATCGATTTCGTTGCTTGTGAAGAAGATGCAGATTATGACAAACATTTTCTTTCAATCTTTACTTTTGAGAATATCCCCGCATAAAATCCAATCAATTCTTCTATTGATAATTCCGAATGTTTTGCATGAAAAGATTAATTGTTTTGTTTTTTTTTGTTGTTTGTTTTTCTTAGACTTATATTCATCGATTTGGCAGGTAGTGAACGTGCAACAGATGCTCAACATAATCAACGACAAACTCGTCGTGAAGGTGCACAAATAAATTGGTCATTATTAGCATTAAAAGAATGTATTCGTTCAATGGATATGACACATTCTCATGCACCATTTCGACAAAGTAAATTAACACATATACTACGTGATTCACTTATTGGTTCAAAAACACGTACATGTCTTATGGCAAATGTATCTCCACCTGATGATTGTTGTCAATGTTCATTAAATACTCTTCAATATGCTTCTCGTATTCGTGATATCAGTATTCGTCATCGACATCGATCAATGCCAGTGACAAATATAGAAGTGAATTATTTTGATGATACTTTGAAAGAAGAAGAAATTCTTCAAGAAAAACCACAACGAACATTTAAACCAGCAACAGCATCAACACCAGTTCATCGACTTATTTCGTCAGTTGATCAAAACATTTATATGTCAATAAATCAAACAGGTTCGAACATAAATATATTTTTTTAATCAAAGAGGAGACAATTAATTCTATGATTCATAATAGTTTGAATGATTTGAAAACAATTTTGACTACTACAATCAGTTATTTCTCTCGTGTCATTATTTTCAACTCTTTTTACATGTATAGCGGCAGAAATTTATTTTGATGGTACTTTTGATGCTAGCTCTATTGTCTTGTGGTCAACATCATCTGGATAAAGAAACATAGAAATGAGACTACTTCCTACGTCTTGCATATCTATAGACAACATTAGTTTTCTTCTGAAAATCAATTCATTTCATTGACTCTTTACACATTAGTTGTTATCAATAAATGATACTATATCCTGCATCCCTAGAACGAAGACAAAGAATGATTCGTGATATTCTAAGGGAAATAATTTAATGAAGAATAGCTGCTTCATATAGTACGATTAATAGAATCACTTATTTTCTTCTTGTATTTAATGTATAATTTTCAATTAAATGTTTTCTTTTTGTTTACATTAGATGGTGTTACTCGTACCACAAAACCAATCGATATTGATTGGCAGATAGCCGATGATGATATTCCAATAAGTGGTGGTGGAGATAATCTTCCATTAAAATCATTAACATCATCAACACGTGAATTTCTTATAAATTCAAATACTAATAATCAACTACAATATAATAAACATAATATAAATCTATTTCAACAAAAGAAAACAAATGATATTGATGAAAGTCCATCAAGTTATTTTCCACAACCACAATCGAATATTAAAACATCTTCATCAATAAAAATAAATGAAATCAAACGATCCTATAATAATTCACATCTTATGTATGATGATGGTAATGAACGACAATGGAAAATTGTTCCAGCTCCAACAACTAATCGTCTTTCAAATTCATCTATTGAACCATCAAATACAACTAGAATTATTCATGTTGCTCCTATTCAAATACCTGATGACAATCCATATAATAGTACAACAGGTACAGAAAGTCTTGGAACTAAAATAACAAAAGTAGCAACTCATAGTCAACGATATCAAGCACCTATAATACAAAATGGATTAGTTGAAAATTTAGATTTATATAAACAATATGATCCAAGTACAATTATAACAGATACTGAACAAACACTCTATTCAGATCGACAAGCAACACAACGAGATCAAACAGAATTTTTTACTAATCGTGATGAATTATTATCGATTTTATCAAATCGATTAACAAGTACTAATCGACGACCATCAACAGTAACAACTCCAAAAACAAGAAAATTAAGTTCTAAAAATGAACTTTTAAATTCATCTTATTCAAATAAATCAAAAAATTCATCTTTATCAACAAATAAAATTCGTCAAAAAACTCGTCTTATCAAATCTGCATCATCAACAAGTAGTTTAGCAAGTGTTAATCGAGAAAAAAAATCTACATTTGATAATAAAAAACCAAAAGTTACCTTATCAAATAATCTTCAAAAATTTCATTCAACTATTCGATCTTCACCAAATCGTCATCGTCATCATCAACAACAACGAACAGTACCATTACGTGTTCAGCACAGTTCAGATTCTGAAGAACATGATAAAACACGTCATAATACTCATCGTCGAAAAACATATTCATCAAAAAATACATCATATTCGACACGTAATGAAATTTGTCAAACAACAAATAATATTCATAGAATGAAAAATGAACAAGAACAAACGGATGAATATTTTTTTCATGAACAAAGAAATGTTAGTAAGATAACTGGACAATCACCATTATTATCAGTACCAGCTTCGACACCTATACCAATATCAGTATCTTCACCAGTATTAATACCAAGTAATTTACTTCAGGCGCCACTCGATCAAGTTAAACTTGTTTTTAATCGAACATTAGAGCAACCAATATCACCATTATTATTGTCATCAAATATTAATAATCCATGGCCAACATCAACATCATATAGTAAGTTGCTTATATCTAGTAGAATATTTTTCTCTATTTTTTATTGTTTACTCAAATATACAATGGAAACCATTCGAATTTTTTCCCAATGTCTTTTTGTATCTTTAATATCATACACATACTATAGGTATGTTATAAGAAATTTCCGATATGTGCTACTAATATATCCTATATAAAATGTATGCAAAGTTTGTTCCTGTGAATCAAGTTGTACATCGATCAGAGATGAAATATGTTAAATAGTAAGATGTTATTTGACTTTTTAATCTCATTGGCTCTTCTTAACACGACTCATCTAAATGATGCAGAAACAAATTATCTTTGATTTTGCTGGTAGAGATAGTTAGCTAATGCTTAATATGTTCTCATCAAATTACGATCCTATTCAATAGAGAAAATGAAGTTCGTTCGACATACGTCCAACTCAAACTCTTATCATGAAGGAGCGATGAGCATTTTCCTAGTATAGCCTTAAACAGTTAAATCATTTTCTGAAATTCATTATTGAACATAGTGGGTCAACTATTGATGTTTGTTAGTATTTTTAAAGGGAGAGAAAGCGTGTAGGTTACAGAAACAAGCAACATTAATAGAAAAGAAAAAGATGAACAAACAATAGTTGGTTGTCATCATATGATCTAATCCTGAAAAATTACAAATTATTATATTGATTTTACTTCTGCGAAAAAAACACTCATCACTCATTGATAGTATTAGTTAGAAAGTTGGACATAATATATAGATTGCAAGATTTTTATTTTCTCTATTCAACCGACAGTATTTTATGTATTCAATACTCAATAAACGATTTCAGATGACTATTTAACTATCTCAATCAGTTTAAAGATAAACCAAGAACTTTAATTGTTGATAAAAGGCACAGATGAAAAGTCATTCTAAACGGAAACGAACTGTTATAGTCTGTTTCGTTATTTCAAACTTATCTTAAATTAATGTTTAGGTTCACCATCAAAGGATTTCGGCGCACGAGTATCTGATCAATTAAATGCATTACGTACATTACTTGAAACTCGTCTTGTAGAACAAGATGAAACAAAACAAGAGAAAAAAGATTCATCAATTCTTGAATCATCTCCAGGTAAATATGCTCGAGAATTTCTTCAATCACTTCGTCAATCACCATTGAAAAATAATTCAAGAGAATTAATTAATGATTTTATTGATGATGATATAGAAGTAGAAAGAAATTTTCATAAAAATAAAAATAATAATAACACGAAAAATGGAAAAATACAACACTATGAAGGTGATATTTTATCGACAACAACAACATCTTCAAATCAACATGGATATTCATCAATTCATAGTCATCATTATGAACCAGTCATACAGCCAAGTTTATCATCTCTTTCAGATGAACTCAATCAAGCGAAAGTTAGTTCAAGCTTAACACCTTCATCGACATCAACAATAACATCAAATCTTGCAGCTAAAATTGATACACGTGAGTAAAAAACTGGTTAAAATTTTTTCTTCTAATTAATCTTATTTATATTTAAAGAAGAAGCACGAAATTTATCAAGTCAAGCTGATGATATTCACTCACATCAATCAACTAATGAAAATTATCAAGCAGCAAATGATACGAAAGGTATTCGTGGTAATGTTAGTAATCCAACAAGTGATAGTGAACGTACATCACAAGTAAATTCAACATTACAAAATCCATTTACAAGAACATCATCAGCAGGTTCAAGTTCAAATGAATCTCGATCACGTTCACCTATTCTTATTCCACCATTTAGTACATTTGATATAGCTAGTAGTACAAATAATGGTCATGATCATTTATTAGATAGTGGCAAGGGTAGTTCATTTCTTACAGGTTCTTCATTCGATGCATTATTGAACAGTCTTAAAAGTATGCGTGAAAAAGATCTTGGCTTTTCTGTACGTACCAGCGACGATAAACTCATTGCTGTTGTCGATTAGTTTTCTTGTGCGTGTGTGTGTGCATTACTCAAAACAGTGTTTGATTGTTTTTTGATTTAAAATAATCTTGTAGAAGACTAGTTTATACTTAGTTTTATGAAGAATTCTTTTTTTTTTCTTGTTTCTTATTTATTTGGATGGTTATTTTAGCACATTAAAATCTACCTCACATTTTTTTTATACATCTTCTTTCTCTTGTTTGGCTGTGCTGTGCGGTTTTTTGTGAAGTAGAAGTTTTGAAAGCGATATAAAAAATAAATATTAGAAATTTATTATTCAAAAGTGAATATAAACCATCATTATTACGACTATTTTTGATGTACATTCCTGGATAAAATTGTGTCTCTGTTTGGGTCTTAGTCATCATAAGGGATGAAGGTTTGAAAATTTGTACGCACATATTCCAATAGGAATAGAGTTTAGCAGCACCTTGTGCACTTTGATTCTTTCAATGAAAACGAAATTATGATGGATAGTATCTTTTCCGTTTCCTTCTAGTTTTAAAATTCTAGAAGGAGAGAATGTTCTGAATCAGCGGATGTATCATTTTGTAACAATCTATTTCAGCTATGTTTCATACAAATTTTATGGAAGTTCATCAATCCGCTTAAGAACTATGAAGATTCTACTTTGATCATCGGCATGCAAAAAACAAACATAATATATTGTCCTTTGGAAACCCATAATTTAGTGATCGTTCAATGAATCAATAGAAATAGAAGTGTGCGAGATCAATCTTTTTTGGTCTCGATCTTATACATTTCTAATCACAATCATATTTACAAACAAATAGATGACTATTGTGTAAAGATGATGAAACAACGTGTACTGAACAAGATGAACAGACGAAGTCGAATAATAGCAAAGATATAGTTTGGTGATCATGCTGATGAAATTGTTTAATTTTTTTATGTAGACAAGTATATGGTTGTGATTTTTCTATTCATTAAGATTTAATATGTACAAGTTTTATTTTTATTTATGTAGTCTTCTTTATCATCGAGTGTATTTCTATTTTTGGATTACAACATATTAGTATGAAAATAATAAATTGATTTATGATGTAAGAAAAAGTTCATTTAAAAAGTGACAAAACTAACAATGTCATATAGTCTCAGATTTCAGTTCCGCACACCTCCTGATAGGATACTTTGAAAGATGCTTTCTTCACCACTTAACATTGTTGCTTGCCAAGTTTGGGAATTAAATTTTATACTAGATAGAAATGATGTACTGATAATTAGGGTGTGGGTGTTGAAAATTCGAAGACACCAATATTTGAGCAAATGAACTTCAGTTTTTGGTGCAGAACGCAACAGACTAAGCTTTAGTTTCAAGTATAAAATTTTAGAGTCAATCATGTTTTTGATAAGAAACATGGCAACCTTACGCAAAGACGTTTTTAGATTATTAAGTTCAGAATAAAAATCGATATCATTTATACTATAATTACGTTTCTACTAAAGCAATCAGAATACGAGTGATGCGGGCTGAATTAAACTCCTGTTAAAGTACGTTTACACATAAAACGAATGGGCACATATCTGAGCATCAATCCATATGCGCTAAAACTGTACCAGAATCTTCTACTTTGTGTTTTCTATCATCACACTTAGAATAAACACTTCTGAATCATACAGCAGCTTTTCAAAAAGCCCTTAGTGTCTCCAGTATACTTTTTCTAAAGACTCCAACGCATTTCTATTGAAAATCAATGGTGAATGTTAAACCAGTGCATAAAACTAGATACAAAACATTTTCTTACCAAAACATGTTTCCGAAAAAAATACGGGCAAGGACTTCTGTCCAGTATTTTTCTCCGAAAAATTCATTACTTTCTTAAAAGTGATTTTCTGAGTTATACGCAATTACTTCTGAGCAAGAGAAAGCTATTTCCGAGAATAAAAGTAACATATTCATCTACCATGCAACAGATATACATGGTGACCTACATCCACGCCCTGATTGAAGAATCTAATAAACTGAATAGTATGACGCAGACATAGAATCTGTAGGAGGTTTTTCATGATCAATGCCAGTACCATTTCTATCTCTAGTAAATCAATTTTCAGCACAATATCTATAACCATACCCGTGTCATCAATTTTTTCTCAAAATCCACGATTCATTGTGGTTTATAAAAATACCGTCAATTCAAGCGGTTTACTTTTTTTTTGCGAAGTTTTTATTAGTTTTTTTTTTTTTTATTAATTCGATATTGTCCCTCTTAACAACGTCAATTTTAATATGTTACAATATGTTATGTTAGATAGTGTTATTTTTTTTTCAATTGTTTCAGTATTCGGACTAATGAATATTCTTGTGATATCATCTGTACCAAATAATCGAACTCGTAAAATAAACCAGAATAGTTGATGTGGCTGGTACACGTGACTTAAGCACGATTTCGACTGAAATTTGATATTTTTCTAGGAGTTTCAAAATGTTCATGTCGTGAAACATAAAAGACAATTCAAACAGAAGAGTTATAGTTAATTGAACAATTAACATTCCAGTTGACCCAACGGTGGAGCACGGTTCACCATTGGTTTCCGAGTGGCCATCACAATGTAGGTATCCCTGCATATGAGATAAAGTGCATAGCTGATGCAAGATCTGATGACTCTTTAGATTGTGTCTGAAAAATAAAGAGATATCGAAACATTTTTTTTTTAGTTTATTGTGAAATACGCTATCTTTGATTATTTAATACAAATATCCATTTTCTTCGATTTTTTTCAAACAAATTTTTCAATTCATATATCATGAAACTAGTGCCTTTAATCCAAGGACAACTTTTTGTTCGTATAACCAAGTGATTTATTTGGTAATTCGAGATAATGCATTCTTATCAGTTATAATAGAATAAGAATTGAGTCTCCTCTATATTTGATTCATTTTTTTTAATACAAAAATTCACAATGATTACCAATTCTCCACCACATGTTAATATTGTTCCAACATCATCAAGACGATTTTATTTAAAAGCCATTGTTTATATTTTTGTAATAATTTTTGGTTTGGGTACATGGACAAATTTAGCTGGCCTTTGGGTTGAATTACCAATAATTGTTCCAATTTTACCAGAATCATGGCAATTACCAGCTAAATTGACTTTAATTATTAATGCAGCTAATATCTTTCCAATTCTTATTGTTTTTGCTTCAATCATTTTTAAATTAAACACTGCTTCATTTGAAATTCCTGTCAATTTTATTCTTCTGGTTATTAGTATTACATTGGCTATTGCATTTGCCTTTCTATGGGATAAAACAGCTTATCTATTTGGTACAGAACAAAGTGTTTGTTTAATGTCGCTATGTTTTTTCACAGCTGTAGCTGACTGTATGTCTTCAACAACATTTATTCCATTTTTACATCGATATGAACCTTTGTATTTAAATGCATATTTTACTGGTGAAGCACTTACCGCTCTTCTTCCAGCATTGTTAGGTATCAGTCAAGGCATTGGAACATCGGATTGTATAATGCCTGATAATAAAACTAATGAAACATTGATTGAAGTGCAGCATCCACCTCGGTTTTCCGTTCGAACTTATTTTCTTCTATTAAGCTCTTTACCATTAGCAGCACTTCTTGCATTTTCAAGTCTTCATCTTATGAAAACAGGTCGGATAGAAAAAAAACCATCAATAATAAAATCCAAACATCATCAATCTCGTATATTTATTCTAATGGATAATATAGAAGATATTGCTATGATTCAAAATACGATTAAAACAATAAATAAAATTGAAAATCAATTAGAAGCTAAAAAAAAGAAAAATCAATTAAAAGGATTTGCTACATCGGAACAAGGAATTTTTTTATTTATAGTATTTCAATCTAGTGCTATATTGTATGGAATATGTCCAGGTTTAACAACATTTTCATTAAATGCTTATAGTGCAACAACATTCCATTATACAATTATTGCAAGTAAGACAAAAATTATTAAAAAGAAAAATTTGACTTGTTCTTTTTCAAGATTCATTTGCTTATCCGATTATGACATTAATTGGAGCATTTATTCCTGAAGTATCATCTAAATCTATCGGTTTTCTTTATACGATTCATACAATTTTTTTTGTCTATATTTTTCTAACAGTACGTCAATCTATCGACGATATAAAAAAAACAAAAAACTTGTCCTTATTTCTTAGGCTAAATTTTCACCATGTCCTCCATTAGTTAATAGTCTATTGGGTCATGTAATTATCGTAAGTAAAGTAACATAAAAAAATTATAATTTAAAATTTTAAAAAAATGTTTGTTTTTTTAGTTTTTTGTATGGCTTTTAATCTTTTTAACCGGTTCTTATATACGTATTTTGATGGGAAATTATTTTCGAAAAAAACAAGATCAACGCGGTCTTGTATGGTTTGGCTTAGCAACGCAAATAGGCGCATTTGTCGGTTCATTTATTATATTTATTCTTACGAATAGTTTTGAATTATTTAAAGAACGAAATATTTGTGATAAAACATCACAATGTTTTTAAAATAAGAATCGAAATTTTTTCTAGGAATTTTTTTGTTTGGAAAAACAATTATTTATCTCATAAATTATATGTGTCAATGAACACGAACAAAATTAATAAAAAGAAACAAGTGTTTTTTTTCTTTATTCTGTTTGAAATCTAATACAGAAGCAAATGTCAATGAAGAATTCTGAATATAGGTATCATTTTAATGAGAAAACTTTGTCATCATTTTCATCACAACCAAATTTTCTTGTATTTGAAATACTCCTTACTAGAGTATGCTACCTTTTACATGTTTTTGTTCTCGCATTTATGATTGCACGCACAGATGTACGAATCGACAAAGTTTTTTTTCTTTCTTTTCTATTCTGAAGTACATGTGCATTTTGTTGTCGTCGTCGTTCGTTCTTTGTGCATCAAGCATTTTAAAAAGTCTGTCTTGTCATAATCGTTGACGACATTCTCAAGTATTGTAGGTGGTTCTACTGACGTAAATTGAATTTCTTCAAACTAATTCTTCAGAAAATACATCATTTTACCGTTGTATAATTTTCTCAGGCAAAGACTTTCGAAATATTTTCATTTACTGACAACGATGGGAAATAAAAATGGTTCGTCGAAAACAATATTGGATGAAACAAAAATGTTACTCCTACAAAAAACTGGTAAAAACAATTTTATTTTATTTGCTGTTTTCTTATATAGAAGAGTTCAATGGATATGATTAATTTAGTGTTAATATGTTTGGAAATAACAATGAATTATGTTCTAGAATCAAAACAAGACGTGTGTGTGATGTAATCTTATATTTATATAGGATAAAAATTATTTGAACATTTTGTCTTCAAATTAAAAGTTCACTAAATTTTCATATTTTGAAAGATTTATGAAAATTAAATATTACTATGTCATAATCTGTCTTCTGGTAAATTATAATTCGTCACAAATATCTTCGACTCTACATTAAAGGTCGAAATAATAATAATAATATTCCATAAATAACTATGAGAAAATTCCTTGTTAAAAAAATGATTATATATTTAATTTTTAGGTATGTCAAAACATGAATTGGAATTGTGGTACAAAACAATACAAGTACGATAGAAGAAAGAAAATCCATAAAAATTTCTTTATCTTTATTTTTCAATAGGAACGATCAACAAAAGGAAAATTATCTAAAACCCAAATGATATCTATTTATAAAGATATGAGTGATCTCGATTCAACACGTATAAGTGAAGTTGTTGATTCATTAGCAAGAGTTTTCGATGAAGATCATAGTGGTACTGTTGGTAAGTTATCTATCTATCTTAATTTATTCATGTAATAAATATTATTTAATAGATGTAAATGAATTTATGCGTGGTTTTATATTAACAACTAAAGGTGATTTACAATCAAAAATTGATTATACATTTCGATTATATGATCAGAATAATGATAATCAGATATCTGGTGAAGAAATTAATAGAATGGCAAATGTAATATGAAAATAAAACTTCAGTATGAAATAAAAATCTCTTCTTTTTTAATTTATTTAGGCAATAACACGAATGCTAGGTGGTGATGAAACAGGAAACGATCAAACATGTTTTGCTATAATTCATCAGTTTCTTAGACAATTTACTGCTAATGAAAATGGTGTTATTTATAAACATGATTTTATAACAACTGTGATGCAAAATAGAGAACTTTTGGCTATACTTTCACCATTTTATGGTACTAATTAGCAAAAAGAAGAAGGTCTTTGTGTTTGTTTATCACCTGCGTCTCCTTTCTTGACTAAATTAATCAGAATATAAACATAGCTTGTGTTTTGTTTGAACACTTGCTGTTGAATTTTTTGTTTCTTTTTATCAAATGATTTTATAAATGAAATGCTTGAGTGTCCAATTGATTACTATTATCATTGTCTAAAACAAAAACAAAAAAATTAACGACGAGGCTTTTCGAAGTTGGGCTACCCTTGATTCGTTCCCGTCGTAGAACAGCTCTAAATAATTTTTACGGAATTTGTCCCCATTTTATTTCAAAATTGAATTATCAAGCTTGTGTATATCTATATTAACAAGCCACATGCATCCACACCCACCAAGCAGAAGAAAGTCAAATCCAACTTCGCAAGAGAAGAAAACGAAGTGATGATATTGGCGTGCTTCTCGAAGATTCGCTCAAACAGTTATCTGATGGGCAAATTAGTAAGATGGATTTAGCCATTAAATGTTGTGAAAATGTAAAGACTACTTATGTCAAACAGTAGCTTGTCTTTTGATATTAATTAAAGCTTTTGTCTGATAATTTCATAATTTTGTATTCTTTTTTTTATGCTTGTAAAAGAAAAAATGTTGATATTTATCTTTGGATGCTATGATAAAAAATTGTGTTTAAATCAACAAAACTACATTAGTAATGTATGTATATAAAAATTAAGCGCTAACTTAATAAGAAAACGAATCTAGAGTGGGAACGAGTCTAGTATAGAGACGAATTTGCGGAAAAGATCGAGAAGACGAATTCGGAAGGTCCTCAGGAGAGAAAAAAAAAGTAGGAGCCGAATTCGGAATCAACTAAGGAAAGACGAGTCGATGGAGGGCGTCACTGGAGACGAACCAGGAGTAAATCTTTGAAGTCAGATATTAAATCAGTACACTAAAAAAAATTATTAAAATGCTCCTTTTGTTGTTGTTGTTGTTGCATTCTTTATGCGTACTTGTGATTAAAAATTATTTACTTTTCTCAATCTCGTCTTTGTGTATTTTGAGATCAATTAATACAAAAGGCATTAAAGTGATCAAAAGAGAGCATGCTATTTTTTTACTCAATTAAACGTTATTTGTACGAATGAATTAATGATAAAGCTCGTGTCAGATCCGTATTTGTTTTAGACAGCAACAGCGATTATGTTCAAACTGAAATTGAGAATATTGAAATTGAGAATAAGAACAACATGTTATCTATTCAATTGATAAGGTAAGATAAATAATGATGACGTAAATAAACGGAAATCAGAGTGTCTTCTAGATCATTATAATATTTCACTCCGACGCTTGGAAAAAAGAATAATTTTATAGAGATTTTCTCATTCATGAAAAGCGTTCGCCAACATCATTAGTTCGTTGTTTGCTCCATGCCTAATAAAAAAGAAAAAAAAAGAACTAAACAACACAGAATACCTCGTGACATAATTCAATTAAATATATGAACATAGTTAGTCAGTCATCACGATATCTAATGGATGTGTGTCTAATTGTTATTCTCAAAGAAAGACATTTTCTTATCATGTAATGTTAATTGGAGAATGATATAAATAAATAGACTATATAAGTAAGGTATGGTTTTTTTTTTTTGAGTGGTTATGATAGTTATTTTCATTCAATAAATGAAGATTGGATTTTAAATTTCATACTAGTCATGAGAATTTTCAAATATTAACATTATACGATCAAATATAAATCATGAACAAGAATCTTTTTTTTTTAATTAGGAGTCTTTTCTCTATTGACACGACAAGACATTATTCGAATATTCAAAGAACTACCAAGAATATCAATAGTAATAGTTATTACGAGATGATTGCATCATTATTTCGAGAATTATTCTCATATGTGTATCATCATATTCTCTTTCTCATACTTATGTCAATAAGATAAATATGAATAATTATTAGTATTCGTATCCATGTGTGCAAATGTTCTTTGATTCTTGAGAAAGGTGAGATAGAGATAATTATCATCATTTTTCATTCTGTCATCTGATTAGTTTTTGTGAACATTGTCAAGTGTTGATGATAATGGTGACTTCCGTCTAGAATTCTACAATTGAGTTTTCTAAATACAAGTTTATTCAAAAAAGAAATTTCATCTTTGCTAATTGTCTTATGATGCGATGAGCTTTAATAATGTGACAAAAGAAAAACCATGAAGTTATTATATTAGCCGTGTTCATTCTAATAGTCAGACAATTTCTTTTACATTATAAAAGATGATATCCACCTACGCATGAGCAGATGTGTAAGTAAATAAGATTCATCGACTTTTTTTTCCTTCTCTTATGTCGGTATTTCATTTATAGAATGAAAAGAGACTTCTCCCGTATAATTTATAAAATATCTTTCATGTTTTTCTTCAATCTTTCACATTAAAGATAAGTTGTTATGTTCAAAAAAAGAAAAGAACTTTGTTCACAACATGTGCATGAAAAATAAAATAGAAAAATCAATAATTCATACAAATGACTGGTATCTCTGAAAACTCAAAACAATAAGAACAACACTATTTCAGTTAGTATTATCATTACATATATATATATATGCATATTTTTTTTTACAGTAGACTAGAAAAAAAGAAGTATGTTAGGAGGACAAGAAATTAATCATTCATTCAATCGTTTTTTTTTTTCTTAAAAGAAACGATATTTACTCTCTGACCGACACACACAAAGTTGAATTGAATGTATGCCAATATAGACATACTTGTTCATCAATCTTGTTGTTATTTTCTTTAGAGCTTTATTGACAGTCTGATCGATGAACAACATTGATTGAAAGAAAATAAATGTGTTAATCGTTGATATGGAAAAAAGTTTCTTGATGTTATTTTTGAATATTTCTTTTAATTAGTATGTGTATGAGGAATATGAAATTATCTTAGATAAATGCACATATTTTTACAGGAGAGAATTTGTTTCATCTTACTGATTATATCTTTTCATTTTCACTTCAATGCGAAAACATCTGTTTGTTTCTTTACATATTTGACAAGAAGGTTAAATGGGAAGTTAAGTATGATCCTAATTGGATGTTATTATTTATTATCAACTCATACATTCTTGATGTGTTCGTGTGAAAATATATCGGATATCGGAGATTTTTTATTTCATTTCTCTTTTTGATACTTTATCATATCGATACATTTATATATCTGTTTAGACATACAAGATATATCTGAATATTTAAACATGCGTTATTATTATTGGTTCTATTTATTTTTTATTGCAATTATTTACACTTATGATTGTGAAGAAATTTGTAATATAACATTAAGTGTTATGGAAAATACATCAATAGAAAAATTACAATGGAATTTAAATGATTTAATTCATAATCGAACATCATCATTTGAATATTTACAATTTTCATTATCAAATCCATCAAATTATTTCGAAATTGAATCAACAAAAATTTTAAAATTTCGTTTACAAGAATTAGATCGTGAGAAAATTTGTAAGACAAATTTATTAAATGATGAATGTTCATTACAATTACAAATATTTACTCAAACATCATTTATAATTATATTTAAAATGATTATCTTAGATGAAAATGATTGGAAACCTTTATTTAATCAAGATTATATTTATTTAAATATACGAGAAAATCTTCCAATTAATTATCGTGTACAATTACCTATCGCTTATGATTATGATTCAATTCAATATAATATTGATCATTATGAATTTATAAATAATACAGAAGGACTGGAAAAAATATTTCAATTAGAAAAATCTCTTGGTGAATTACGATTAAAATTATTAAAAAAATTAAATTGTGAATTGAAAAATAATTATCAATTATATATTCTTGCAATTGATAAAGGTGGTTTGAAATCAAATGTTTTGTAAGTCTTGTTCATGAATATAGGATTGCATTAGGACCGTACATCGGACTTTAATGGAGTGGGAATTGATGTAAATTATAGAAACTCCGAAATTTCTATTTCATTGTTTTCTTATGTAACAATTATTTTTAACACTTGTAACATTTAGTCAGTGAAAACTGTTAATCCAATAGTCAAATAACATGAAATAGAAAAAAAAAGAAAATATCTACACTGGAATAACTTTCACAACTGCAGTAACTTTAATGAAAGGCTATAATTATGTTTATTCCAGAAGTTACGTTGTTGTAATATATAGATTGAAATCTTATTCTTATTTTATGTATGTACAGTGTTTTTGTCTGTAAAATCTCTTCTTCATTATTCTATGAAATTAACAGTCATTTCTTTGACTATCTATGATTATAAAAAAAAATATTTGTAGGCTTGGAGACTGAACAAGTGCTAACGAGAAAACGACCCGAACTGATATTTTTCGTTTCAAATCATATTAGATCCACAGAGATATCCTGGTAATACTAGAAAAAGGCTAAAGGTTCAGCCGAAACCTTCAAAGTATTCTATGGATCATTCAATCTATGTATGAGCAAAGTTTAACGTTGAAACTCTGCTTTTTTTGACTTTTTGCTATATATCTAAAGGAGAGTCGAAATTTGGTAAAACAATCCAAAGTTGGGTTCCAAAACTCGATGTGGTCGAAGCCTTTTTAGACTTTTGATAGTGTCATCAAAGTATCATTGTAGACTCAAAATGAGCTCAAACGATAGATATTAGTTCGAATGGTTCACTCATGAATGTATATGTCGAGTGATATCTCAAATAACACTTGTTACAAAAATCATCCCAGTTTTCTCAAGAATGGTTTCATATTAGGTAGAATTTGTTGCACAAAGAAATGGATTAATAACCAATTCTTTAAACTGTGATAGCTGGTTTCATTAAAATTAAACATCCTGGATGATTTCGAATATATTTCAATAACGATGTTTTTATTTTAGACATGTTAATATCACCGTAGGAGATTTGAATGAATATCAACCACGTTTTAATCAACGCTTTTATCATAAAGGTATACCGGAAAATGTTGCAATAACAAATTCCTTTTCATCACCAATACTGCAAATAAATGCAACAGATGATGATTGCTACGATAAAACAATTCTTTATTCAATTCTGAACAGTGATATTCCCAATGATATATTTCCATTTGAAATAGATAAATTTACTGGTTTAATGCGAGTCAAACACCCACTTGATTATGAAACAATTTCAACGTATCGTTTTCGTGTTAAAGCATCAAATCTTCATGAAATAACATCTAGTATGGTACCGATTATCATAGATGTTTTAGATATAAATGATAATCAACCATCAATACAAGTTAATATTCTTAATGAATATAAATCAAATGAAANGTGGGTGTGTGGGGCGTGTGAGGTGTGGGCTGTGGGTGTGTGTGTGAGTAGAGATCTTTCATTCACCCACTCTCTCACACCCATACCCACCCCCCACACCCTACTTGACGCACTTCTATCCGAACAGAATGAGAATAAAAATGTGATGAAGCATGGGATTTAAGGCTCCGAGCATACACTAAACACTCATTAAAAATCGAATATCTTAGTCTCTCTCAACACATATAAGGGCAGTCTACGTTCTAGATATGTTAATTTAACAGTGAGAGCTTTCATTTGATCCGAAGATATGTAATCATTTTTACTTATGATACTTTTTCCATTGTTACGTAGTAGTATTCAAGCAAATCGTACATATATCAAACTTTAGTTACGAGACATTGTCAAGAATGTCAGAATATGTATTGTGCATTACTCTGTCATTAACATAAAAATTTGCTGATTATTCCGAAGTATCTAGTTTCAATGTCTTTGACTTTGTGAGAAATTCCCAACTGAGTCGTATTTATGAATTTTTTCATTGATCTTTCACTTCTTCATTCTGGCAACTAAAATCGATGTAATTTAATTCGTTTAAAATTTTGCAGTAAATAGTCAAAGATATTGAAATCCCATACTATAAAATCGTAATAAATTTTCTTTTCAGTGATTCGAGATTTATTCGTACGTTTACTTGACAAGTTCTTCGAACTAAAAGATTATATTTATGCACAATTGGAATTTTACAGGAAGATGAAATATACAAATACTGTTTAAGATTATCAGTTCTGACCTCCATTTCATGAAGAATTCATTTTCGGCTTCCGAACAAAGAAAAATTTTCCTTCACTTACACAGTTATTCTAATTCTCATAAGGTTCTGATCGTCAAGAATCTTCATTATTGTCGTATAAAAACTAGATTTTATATGCTCATAGGGAAACTAAATGAAGTTAGGTTTAATGATTACAATGACTAAGTAATTGCTCAATTTTCTCGTTAGTCTACTCATCTATGCCTAAAATATGCTATAAAGAACAGCAAGAAAGGGTAAAGAAATGACTCTTTCTGTTTCGAAATTCAAATTGACTTAATTTTTTGTGGAAGTGAAAAATGAGTCTATTGCAGTATTTGTTAATTTTCCAAGGATTGTTGATGACCAATAGGAACACAAATGATTAAGTGATATCTACTAGCACTGTTAAATAAATATATATTTAGTTAACAATTGTGACATTAAATATAGAAATACTTACAAATTCTATAATCACTTTAAATTGAAAAATCTTGGCATAAAAAAGATTTATTTCCGTTACTCAGTTATATTGCAATTCATTGAGACTCTACTTGTTAATGAATAATAATTCATATATCATTAGTTAGAGAAAGAGTAACTCTGCTTCATAATGCCTATTTGATCTTCTTTCGAATGTATTCACTACAGTGCTGCTTTTTTATTCGTCTTTTTAAACAAACCAGAATATACCTTATCCTAGGATATCGAAGAAAAATATCAGCTTAAGACAATTCGCGGCTATCGTTACTTCATATATCTCTTTGTTTCTTGATTTTTTTTCTACTCTGTAATAACAAGAATTCAAGTCGAATTACATCGAATTATAAAACGTAATCCCAATGTTGGGTCACGAGCTTTAAAAGGTTATTTTTTGTTATTTGACTTGAATTTATAGTAAGGTTTTTTTCTAATTTCGATTAGAAACCCTATGGCGGTGTGTGGAATTAGCAAATTTGATACATCCGAAAAACATTCGACCATTTTTTGAATGTTTATCAACAGTATTTTACTCAATTGCTGCTTGTTCAGAAGATATTTTCATGAAAAATTATCAGAATATTATGAACTTATTTTTCGTATCCTTGGGTGATCGATTAATGATAAAGTAATCAAAGTAAGTAAAAAATAAATCATTGTCATCTAAGATAGGTCTTCTAAAGAAGTAATCAAAGAAATGTCATGCGATTGAATAGAAACATAGAACACTCCATAAATCATTTCACGGAAAAGGATTGCTCTAGTTAATCGATAGCTTCTGAGCCCGTGTGTCGTCTAACAAGTTAACATTTTGGTTAAAACTTCAAACAGGAGAGGACGCTTTTTAGATAATGTAGAATAGATAATCTGATACTATTTGATGAAATATGGACTGACAAGCTGTCCGTCATTTGGAGCGATCCGCCATCGAAAGTAATCGAGCATGTTGCTACTTACCTTTATATCAGAAGATACAGAAGTTGGAAGTACCTCCTGCTAAGATAGAGTCTACCAAAATTTCATCCAACTTAAGAATAAAAAAATTTTATTTATCATTAAATTTCAATGAGAAATTAAATAATTTAGTCATAGTACTTCACTGGCTATCGTTATAGTTGAAGTATGAAATCGAGTGAAAACAAATTCTTCTGTTTTTTTTCCTAATATTAATGAAAAATAATTTTCTTTTGAAATATTTAATAAATTACTAAACTATTCTTAGAAACTTCTCATGGCCTATTTGGCAAATATGTCCCATGAATCTGCACTTATTCATCGTTCATCAGCTACTTGTCTTATTATTATAAGTCGTTATTCTCGTTATCCTATGATTGATTATAGCACGTTTTCTAATGACAAATGCAATTGGTAAATTCTCTTTCAAATAATAATATCAATTCATTATAATTTTCTTTTATTTTAATATATCAATTACTTGAACATCATAATCAAAATGATACTACACGTTTAATAATTGGTTATCTTGGTTTAATAAAAAATCTGATTCAATTACTTGGTTTAAATATTTTAGAATTTCAATCATCATCAAGCAATAGTCAACAATAAATAAATACAAGTAAAAATATTGATACAAATGAACAACATCTTCGAATTAATATTCGGCAAATCATCGAAATATAAAGAGAGAGATGAATGAGTTTATTTTCAATGTGAATGTGCTTTAGTGTGTTCATATGGTATGTTGTATTTGTTTACAACATAATGATCATAATGTTGTATCAAATTCATTGAAAACACTTGAAATTATACTTAACATATTCAAATTTATTTGATTTTTATCAATTATTAATTTCAACTCAAATTGGATCTATAGAAGAAACTCGTTTTAGTCAAGCATTAAAAACAGGTAAACACTGAGACAAAAAAAAATAAGTTTTTTTGGTATTTGTGTTTATCTCAAACAATAGCTTATCCAACATATTAGCGTTCATTTATTGAAATAAATGAACAACAAGATATTTTAGTAAATAAAATGAATGATGAATTAGATTCAGCATCAATAATTAATAATGAAAAACGAACATCAGCTGCTAAACTTGTTGGACAACTTATTTCAAAGTATACGATACAAAAACAAAAACAATATATTTAATTATATATATACTCAATATGTATGGTACGATATAAAGTGATAATCAATCACGTGTTAGTATTAAATGTGCTACACTAACATGTTTATCGCATTTATCAACAATTGTTCCATTTCCATTTTTTTATTCATTTTATTATCCCACTAAAACGTATGTTTAATTCTTATTTGAATTTTTTTGAAAGTTTCACTTCAGTAAAATAGATTTATTTTATAATCCAATATTATTTCCGATATTGAAACAATGTATTAAAATGAATGATAGCTATGCTTTTGATTGAAAGTATTTTCTTGGCTATAAAGGACGCCTGTAAACTAGTGGTTTAACCAGGATTTTAACAGTAGGAAGGCTCAGGTATATGTGATCAATCTGGTAGAAGGATTTATGACAGAATTTAGTGGACGTGCTTTCAATCGGTTAACGCCTCAAAGCTTCAGTGGAAGGCTCATGAGTGTATCTTCTCAGATATTCCCGGTGTGAATGAAGTTCAGCAGTTCTAAAAATTACCCGTCACAGTTATATCATCAGACAGACACGAAAATTTTACATATATTTTTAGAAATTTTCACCATTAAATTGTTAAGATAAGAGACATCACATATCTCAATGCTACACCCACGCCCGATATGATAGATATATACTGAAATCATTAATCTCAAGAATGAAGATTTCTCGACATAGATTTAACAGTTCCAGACCGATTCTCAGTTTCAATTTTTTTAGAACCATCGAACTCTACTTGTCAGCTCCCTTCTCTCATTTGGGTACACCACTACTTCAAACGTGTGGCTATGAAGAAAATGAATTGACGTTCGTCTTTCGTTACAATTCTATATAGAACTTTGAAGTCCATAGGCTTCATTTGTACATCTATACATCAGAGATTGCAACCATACAATTACACGATAGTCAAGCATCGAAACCGAACGTTCAGGTTCGGTCATCTTATCGTAAAAGAGATAGTTATTGTTACGATTACGCTGTTTTTATGAACAAATGACGGCAACGACTTGTTTCAGATTAAGTTGCTCAAAATAAAGAAAGTATCTAATTTACGTCACTCGATGAACATATTAAGAATTCATATATTCTATTTCGACTCTATGAATTTCGATGTCTTCACATTTCAGTTCATTTTCTACACAAAAAAAAACGGTATAGAGTAAATCATATTCAACTGACAATTCACGAACAGCTTCTTCCTTCATTTTCCATGATGCATCTGTCAATGTCCAACAACAGAATTACGAATAGGTTGTGGGTATGTTTGTGATTCTTAATGCTATCTTAACCTACATCCACACTCACAATGCACACCAACACCTCTTTTTTGTAAGATACATAGATTCGGTAACCTAATTTTTTGTTTCAATTTCTCTTACTCATATTTTTTATGACGAAGACATTTAATTAATTTTGTCTACATTGATCACAAGAGATAAAGATGAATAACAATTAAAAACGAACAATAAAATGACGTCTGACTATTTTATTAAGTGTATGCGGAATTTATGCTGATAGCATTAACATTCGATCTTTTTTTTTCTTAAAAATAGTTTGGGAACTCAATATTAGTAGTATCATGAAAATTCGTCAATGAGAAAATATATGGTATGCATGAATCATATCCCCGTTTTTTTGTGAATCTCAGGAAGGTAGAATTCAGCGGTTGTAAAAAGAAAGTGGACCAGAGAATTGTGCCGAATCTGCTTTTTTTCTCATTTTGACTACCCAGAACGATCGAACTCCATGCACAGGTTATGGGATAACTTGTTTCGGATTTAATATGTATGGACTCTAATCCAACTCTGATGCGCTCTGTCGTATTACCCTCGCTCTCATCCTTACTCTGACGATATGCCTTATGTTATCTCTTCCATTCTCACCCTTCTTTTGACCTTTACCGAAAGAACGGGATAATTTCATGCATATTATATCTTAGAAAAGTTACCCCCCAAAGCTTCTCAGAAAACTGAAGATATAATTTCAGATATATATATTTTTTTTTAAAAGTTAACTCAATTACTTCTTCATATTTTATATTTTCTCTTCTGTTTTTTGAATGTTTTTAGCATTGAATTTTTCATCTTCTGAACAGTTATTTAAAATAATTGATTTTTAGCCACGCATTATACTGGTAGTTGTTCAATACCAACGAGTTATCACTGTTGTTTTGATAAATAGAAATGTCCTCAACCTTTTTTTCAAAGTAAAAGTAATAATTGAAAATAAACAAATGAAAAATAAATATAATTATAATAAGAAAAACATATTGTATAGGATATGGTATGTGTCTCAACATCAATTAGCAAATTACCCTGACGACAAAATAATGTAAATGAACATGGAAGATATGATGCAGATCCGACAGATAATAATCGAGTTATCATTTTAAGTTGTTTTCGCCATTGAATTGCTTTTCGTGATTCAGATTTTGGTCATAGAAGACGTAAAAGAAGATCAACACTAAATACCTTTCAGTAGATTATTGTTTAATCAAGACTCAAAAGATGAAATCAAATAGTTCATCAGAAAAAGTCTTCAACACACTTTCTCCAAGTTTTGCGAATTGTATTTTTAGGTTAATCGAAAATATAATTGCACAAAGAGAAATTTCAGCTGGTTATTAAGCTGGCTTTTTGTTTAGTATGAACTCTTTCAATCAGAAAATTTCAAGTGGATTTAATGATGCATTGCTTGAGAATAAGTTTTTTTTCGTCCTGCCGTCCGTAGACTGACGATATATGAGTGGTCAGAGAATAACTATCAGTATGCTGTGGTAGAATAGCAGTCAAAGGATAACTGGTCATTTAACTATTCAACTACCACTTCTGCTGTGAACATTATACCGAACGGTTTACCAGCGGTTTTCGCTCAGTTTGAATTATGTGGATTAGTTTTGAATAATTATTTTTCAAAAACTCCTATTTGAATATCAAATGTACAGCTAAAATAAATGTAATTCGATATCGTGTACATCAATCTCAGTCAGTAAAAAACACCATTCCATATGATTGATTGATATGACTCATCTTCATATTGTCGAAATATGGTATTATTTGCAAAATGTATTAAATTATGGTAGTGCAAGCTTTGATTTATTAAACCGATTTCTCGTTGTAATATGTAGTTTAAGTAGAAAATTCAACCGAAATAAGTGACATGATGTATTACTATTACAAAACGAGCTCTTCGATGCCAGCTCTTCTGAATTGAACCAAAAAACTTTTAAAACAAAGATCGTCAAATAAAACAAGCACGTTTACATAAAACAAAATGCCTGTGAATTCTAGATTTTTTTCCACAAAAAACTACACAGAAGAGTAAAACATAAAAGATATTTTTAAATTCTTTTCTGTGAACTTTTACTTTGTCATCAGACAATATTTTACTAGATTGAGAACAATAATGAGTATCCTTGTAAAACAAATGTTCTTCATGGCAAATGGTTTGAATAAGATAGTCCTTGAAGAAGAAAAAAATGTCCTTCTTTTAAATGGTTGTATGTAATAACTTTTCAATTAAGTCCTTTCTCATTTTCTTTGATATTCAAAGTTCTCAGAACATGCACAGAATAATACTATTTAGTATATGATTTCTTTAATAGACATTGAGAATAATTATAACAGACTGTTTTTATTTTCTTTTAAAATGATTAAAGTTATAAGTTGAAAATAGTTGCAATTGATTATCATCATTGATTTCTGCAAAAGTTAGGAAAATAACAACGACTACACTAGAGTTAAAATTCAAGTCTTTTTTTTTTGTCAAAAATATCATATACTATTATATTTACTTGTTTGATTTTGATTCATCTCATATTGCTATATATATTACAAAGATTAAAAAATAAAATTTTTCAGCAACCAACTTTTATTATACGAATTATTAGAGAAAAGAAAAATTGATTTCATAAAAAATACTTTCAAATAAAAGGCAATCACACACATTAATATATTGTCAATATATTTCCGTAGATCTTTAATTTTGTTTTTATAAGATTACTAATATTATAAAAAAATAGTTAGTTTTTGTATTCATATACAATTGAAAAAAGAAAAACATTTTAAGAAAAAAATGTCTTTGCAGTGCACATAAAAACTATGCATAAAAAACATAATGCATTCTCTTTTTTTTCTAAAAATGATTCATCACATTACAACTTACATTATTCACTGTTTGAGGTAGATTAAAACGGTTTATTTTTATTTTTCTTTGTATGTTTGTGCAAGGTAAACCTGTTTTGAGGGAAAGGAGGTGTTAAAAGAATAAAGAAGAAAAAGAAAAAGAAAGGAAAGATATTGGAAGCTAACCATGATCTAATCTATTGAAACTCTAAATATATTAAGTTCGAAAAATTCTAATCTTGTGTGAGTCGACGACTTCTTTCCAGTACATCATCATCATCATCGATATGTCCATCTGAATAACGATATGATGAATAATAACGATGCCATGGTCGAGAACTCTGAAGACAATGTCATTTAACTTTTTATAGGAAAATTAAAGAATTTTTCTTACATAAGAAGTTAGATTACGACGAAGAGTATTAATAACTTTATCACTAAGATCAGCTGCTGGTGAATATCGATAACGATAACGAAATGAATCACGAAGTAATGTAGGACTCATTAAATGACGTGGTGGACTACTAGAGTAGATATCTGTAAATGAAAAATTAGATTATCAAGTTAAAAGAATTGTTTAAGTTAATCACAACAACTATGAGAGCAGAATTACAAGGACTAGGAATTCTACAAATTACTTAATGAATATGACTTACGTTTTGAAACCATGATAAACTGTTGCTAGAAAAGCAAAAGATTTTTTTTATCCATATTTTTTCTCTTTTTATAATTTACTAGTTTTAAAGAGATTGACTTCTATTTCTCAACTTTTTGTCAACAACAATTAATAATATCTTACCATTATCTGCTGTATAATCATTATATAAATATTGTGAAGGTGATCGTGAACGTTCTCGACTATCAAAATTCATTGATTGAGATAATTTAAGTGAACGACGAGATGGTGATGGAGAACGAGCTCGTCCACCGAATGAACTAATACTTCGACCAAGAACAGGAGAAAGTGATCGAGAACGATTAAAATCACCATCAAATGAATTTAATGAAGCTGAAGTTTCTCCTCGTGCTAGCGTATAATTATTAACAACTACACCATCTTTAAATATAGTATGAGATTTTGGTCTACGACCAATAAGATCATTAGTAACCTATGAAATAATTATATCTTTCTTTTTTAAATCAATAAAATTTTCCTACATGTCGAACAACAAATGGTGGTCGTCCCTTTGTTTTATCAATAGGAGTCACATAATTAATATCTCGATCAACAGCTAATTCACGTAATTTTTCTTGAGTTTCTTGTTGTCCATAATCATGTCTTAGTGCTGATGAGATTGTATGTGATGTTATTGAACGTGAAACATTTGCCGAATCATTCAAACGTGGTCTATTCAATCATCAGCATAATTTTAAAAAGAAAAACTAAATATATTAAAAAGATGAATTACCGAGTTGGATATGCAGATGGTGGTTTCCACGTCGGTGATGCCGATCGTTTCGGCTATTAATAAAACAAATTTATCTTTCTCATGAAAGAAAAATTTTAGAAATCTTACAAATTTTATTTCTCCATGCGTTTTTGTTGTTGATAATGTAAGACCAGTTACATCAATAACAGACGGACTAGTACTAAATTCAAAACTAGGTGAAATTCCAGGAAAATCAATTGTTCGAGTAAGAAGAACATAACGACGTAAACCCGTATACTCAATACGATTTGATGAATACGGATAAAGAAAATCTTTTGCACGTGTCTCATAACTAGCCAAAAGAATAGGTGATGGAATATCATTTTGAATTAATTCAATAAGTATATGTTCACCTAATTTAAAAGAAAACTCATCATTCCATGCGATTCGTTCTTTTTATTATTATTTTATAAATCTTACGTTCAAGTCGTTCAATTATTTCTTCAACATCATAGCAGAATTTAAAAACCTACATGTAAATATTTATTTTTATTTTAGAAATTTTTCCAAAATTTACTTTTTCGAAAAAAAGTTTTTGATCAATATGCATTGGTAAATGAGGTGGCATTAATCGTGTTCGTTTATGAACACCCAAAACACATATATTTAAATAAATATCACCTTTCCTTGCTAAATGAGTACCGGGCGCATCAACAGCATGAATATTAAATTCAACTGAATATCTATAATCTTTGCTTGGCGTTGCCATTACTACTCTGCTTCAAAAAGTGCTGAAATAATAATGACGGTGAAAAAAAAATGAAATTTTACAAGTGCCTGTTACAACCGCAAAGAAGCTAACGTGATGCAGCCATGACTCAATAGCATTGTATTTGTAACGTTGACAGCCTTCATAGTATTTTGCTTCTTGAATTATATCATAAATAGAAAAAATGAGAGAAGATTTTTTATCAATAATTTACAAAAATTTTCAATCAAAAAATGATATTAAAAAATTAGCGACATCTTTTGATAATTAAAAATAATTTTTAATAAGGATAAAAATCAATTTGGAAGATGATTTCCTATTTTTCTCAATAATATTTATTAATTATGAAATTTACCGAAGACTCATATAAGTATCCAATGGTGAAACATTGTCATATGAAAAGAAACAAATGTTGTTTTTGTTCATTCGTTTACACCTTTGTTTATTTCCATCCTAAGTCAATATAGATATTATTGATATATTTATACGAATTTCTGCGTAGACTTTTTTTTTTGAAACAGAATGACAGATGATATAAAAGATACATCTAAAGAACTTGATTCATGGATTGAACAACTAAAAGAATGTAAACAATTACAAGAAAATTATGTAAAATTTCTTTGTGATCGAGCCAAAGATATTCTATCGAAAGAATCTAATGTACAAGAAGTTCATTGTCCAGTAACTGTTTGTGGTGATGTCCATGTAAGAAAATCATTGAAAATTTTTTTGTTTTCATTTCATCAATATTGTTTTTTTTTCTATAGGGACAATTTCATGATTTGATGGAATTATTCAAAATTGGTGGCAATGCACCTGATACAAATTATTTATTCATGGGAGATTATGTTGATCGCGGCTATTATTCAGTTGAAACTGTCACATTGCTGGTTGCATTGAAAGTTCGTTATAAAGACCGAATAACAATTCTTCGTGGTAATCATGAATCTCGACAAATTACACAAGTATATGGATTTTATGATGAATGTCTAAGAAAATATGGAAATGCTAATGTATGGAAATATTTTACAGATTTATTTGATTATCTCCCATTAACAGCCATTGTTGATAATCAAATATTTTNCTATACTTCGTCACTAGTACTACTAGAACGCAAGTGACAACATCGAACAAAACCTCGCTAAAATTTTAAAACAAATGAAACATGATTAGCTCATGTGGTATCCAAGGTAGTTAAATTTTTTTTCAAAAAAGACTTCAAAGAAGCTTTTAATAGATTGTTAGAAAGAATTGAACTTGATATGAATAATCATGGCAACTATCCTCAACATTTCATAAAATAAAATAAAAATATCTCCTTATCTTTATATTTTTATTTAAAGATCTCAGAACTTTTGGTCAGACCTAAGTATATTCTTAATTTAGTATAAAACTTAATCAAGATTAATATAATTCGAACGTCTCATTTAACTGAGTGATACCGAACATCAAGAAACATGCCATTGAAAATTCAATAGATTAAAATACAATTTGAAAATATTAGGAAAAAAAACGGCACGTTATCAAACTATCATAAGATTTTTCTCTGCAATCTCAAAGTCAGCAAAATTGCTCAGCATGAAAATACAATATTAAGATAATCTTTATCTATATACGATATCAAAATAGTTTAAATACAACAATTGATAATTAGGGTCTAGGACGTATGTGTGGGATTTTCTGCATTCACATGCACACACCTTCATGAAAAGCAACGTGAAAATTAAACTTTTTCTATGCGAAATTTCCTGTTTCAGAAACCAAAGCAAATGTGTATCCTTATTACATTAACAAGTACTTGTGCATCTAATCGAGAAAGGAGAAACTGGCTTCAGGACTCAAAAGACTTCATGAGGCTTTGGCAAACTTCATGAGATTTCAAGATTGAAGTGATCACGTCGGAACAGAAATCGAGACTAGTTTGTTAGTGTCTATTTAGAACTATATATTAAGACAAAATAAAAAATACTACATTTTTACCGAGTCATTGCTTCTAAAAAGAGACTCTCGTTATTTAATGTGTGAACAGCTGATTAATTGTAGATTTTTCTCACAATTGCATCTGTCTCATGAATCATACAAATACGAACACCCAAACTAACTATCGAATGCCATCTCCAACTATCTCATAATTAAACATAGAAAAATGGTCTCGATCTCAGTTCTGATGCTAAAGTTTTTTTGTCACTTACGTTAGATAACTGCTTATTTCTGTTAACTTCTAATTGAACACTTCATAAGGAGAACATTCACGGCTACAAAAATCATCATAGAGCAGCAACATTTTTGAAATTTATAGACAATAATAAAGTGTTTTCTAAACCTATCATTAGATCTTTTTTGCTCAAATTTGAAACCAAAATAAACTGCTTTCGCTCATATCTAGTCATAATACTTTGTATTTCAAGTTATTCTATCATATTGCATAGTATTGAACAATTTTATGTCAATAAGATTTCTTTTTTTTTCATTCTATTAAATTTATTATTAATAGTTTGTAAATAAATTTCATATAGCTATATACTTATTTAGGATAATAATAATCCAAGAAAATCTTGTTTTTTTCTTTTATAGGTATCAAATAGATTTCAAACATAATGCATGAAATGTTTATTTCAAATCATTTTCAAAATATTTTTCAAATATTAATTTAACGGCAAATGATTGATGTATTATATTTAGTTTCTTCTTTCCCACCAATGATATTCTCAGATTATGTCGATGGGCAACTTGTTGGAGTCATTGTACCATCCTTACACATACAAGCATATGCATTTTGACTACTACCAGAATTTACACAATAGCCAGGTGCACAGTTTAATGGGCAATCTTTAATAAAAGATAATATTGAATTTAAAAAACAAAAAAGGAAATCCTACTGGTTGCTGGTGGTAGACTTATTGTTTCGCAGTTTTTACCAGTATACTGACTATTTAATCCACCACAATAGCAAAAATATGAATTACCAGCACTAAAACAAGTACCCCCGTTTTGACAGGGTTGATTGTTACATGTAACTGCAGCTAAAACAAAATTATTGAAATAACAATAGTAGTTATATTGTGATAGCATTAAGAAACAACATACTATTTGGTGTAGTGATTGCAGGTGCCGTGGTTGTTTTAACCAATCCACATGTTAAGCCTGTATATTGTGATGGGCAAGTACACACGTAGCTATTACCATGTCGATAGCATGTACCACCATTCAAACACGGATTCGGAGAGCAATGATTGATGTCTTTGAAAATAAAAAATTATTTTAATAATATAAATCATTTCAAATGAAAGAAATAAAATTTACTAGATGGTGTAGTTGAAGTTTGTATTGTTATTGTACTTGATACATCACATAGTGTACCTGCCCATCCTGGTTGACATAAACATAGAAAAGTATTGCCAGTATTGAAACATGATGCCCCGTTTGAACATGGATTTGATGAACAAGGTCGAGATACTTTTAAAAAATAAATATTATAGATAAATATAAGAATGAAGATTTATTTTACATGACGCTGTGGTTGTTGTGATATTCATATTAGCTGATATTGTTGTAGTTGATGTTGTTGTCGTTGTTCCTGAAATTAATATTTCATATTGTCAACTTATATGTATTGGCGAACAATTCAAATATGGAGTCATTCCATTTATTTGACATATACAATCCGATAGACAGAATCTGACAGAACAGTTATCTTTAATATATCGAACCCGCCAAGACACACTAGACCAATAAAAATTAACGAGTTCACAAAGTTTTTTCAAATAATAAAACTGGTATTAGGTACAAAAAAATCTCTTAGACCGGTGAAAATCGACAACACATGGTAGATATGTAGATCAATAATAATTAGTTAATGGAAATGGCTTCAAAAAAATAATCTTCAAGAAGAAATCTCACATTCTAGTCGTTTATATCTTTTTGGTTTCTCAAAGATGAATATGTGAGATATATTTATATATAGCGCGACTAATCGAGTTATTTACTCATCAACTGATCGTTGCAATCTAAATTTTGAATCGTCTCGCTCAATTTGTACCGGTAAACCTAACGTTTCTCTTCGAACGACAGCTCAAACCTAAATCTGATCTTTAACAAAACATGTATGAAATAAGTTTAACTCAAGAAAATAAAACATCATTTTAAAAGTAACACTGATTGATTATTTTGATAAGAGCACGCAAACTTGCTGTAAACACATTTGCTCAAAAAATAAAAAAAGTCATATTTATAAAATATTTTTCAACTGGTAAAAATTGGTCGGTTCAAATATTTCAATCTGTTTGGTTACGACTCTCTTTTATGAATGACCCGAAATACAATATTCTACATATGAAAGAGAATTATTCTTACCGTCTAGATTTACATCACAATATTTGCCTGTCCATCGATTTTCACAGTTACACGACACAAAAAGTCCAGTTAGTAAAATATGTTGTGTGCAAGTACCATGTGCTCCACATGGGTTTGAATCACATGTAGTGATTGCTTTAAGAAATATATACATTTCATTTCCTTTTTCTTTATATAATATTAAAAACATACTATCTTGTGTGTCACAGTTTTTTCCAGTCCATCCTATTGGGCAGTTACATATGTAATCAGCTCCATTCATTGTACATGTTCCACCATTTTTGCAAACAGATCCCGACATTGTCACACACGGATGTGTTGCTACAAGAAGACTAGCTAATGTCGATTGTTTATCTTCATATTAAAAATTCTTACTTGGTATAGATGTTTCACATTGTTGACCAGTATATGCTGTTGGACACTTACAAACAAAGGTATTTGTAAGCGTTTGTATACATTGTCCACCATTTTGACATCCAGGATTACATGCAGATGCTTTAAAAATATTCAGAGTCAAAATAAAGATAATCAAATCGAATATAATCAAAAAGATAAGATAATCATACGTATAACAACAGATTCATCACATAGTTGGCCTGTATAACCAGGATAGCATTGGCATTGATAACAGTCAGGATTATTATTATCTTCTACACAACGTCCATTTGCACATTGAACGTAATCACACATCGGGACTAAAAATGGAAAAAAATCAGTATAAATAATTAAAATATTTTCTTACGATCTGGAACTGGACACATATTAGTTGTAGTTTGTCGAACAGATCGATGACTTGATGCATCAATGTGTATTAATGATAGTACAATTAAAATCATTGACATAGTCGGCCATTGAAAACCTATCATTTTATCTTTGAATATCTCACACTGATAAAGAAATAGTAATATATCAAAGTGATTTGTCTTCTATCTTTTCAACTCTATATATATACATTTATCTCACGCTCCTTGTTAGACTTGCATTACAACAATACCACGTAAATATATGATGTATTAATACAGAATAGGGATTAAAAAATCAATTATTTTAGTTATCAAATACTCTATTTTGTGAATGTATTCTGTTTTTTTTTTGGTCAGAAAAGGAAGAGAAGAGTAATATCGAAGAGCATTTATCATATATTCATGATATTGAAGAAAAAATTTATCACCTGAAATAGATATTCTATGATATAAATTAGAAGAAAAATTTATAAAACCGTTTTAAGTCATGTTTTTTATTTATCAATAGATGTGGGTGGTAAATCGATTGTAAGTGTTTGAAAAATGCATATTTCATTTAATTATTTAGTATATATTTTTTAAGAAAAAAAAATGTTTATATTATTCTGTATAAACAAGAAAGATTGTTACAGTTACATAAGCATCTGAAGTTTCTTTTGAAATAGTTAAATGACGATCCCATTTTAAATCCCAAATGCATCGACTAGCTACACGTAAATCTTGACCTTTCTTTTCTCCAATAGATACTTGTACAACAATTTTGTAGCGTTGAAATGGTAATTGTTTTATTTGACCACGTACACGTTCAGCTAATGCTAAAGAAAATTGTTTTCCTTGATTTGGATCATATTTATAACCAGATATAGCTGTTTCAATAACACTTGTTGCAACACGACGTAATCGAGCTATATCAACTTTGTGATCATCATCAGGTTCCATGCGGTATGTATTTTCATATCGAATAAGTCGACGATCAAATCCAGCACGAGGAATTGAAGCACGGGATGATTGACGACGAGCTCGTGTAGCTGCAGCAGTTGCACCAAAACCACTACTTCCAGCACCACCAGTACCGGTTAAATTTGAAGTACGTGGTACAGACACACGTGGTTTTGAACTACGTTTTTCTGGATTGGAACCATCGACAGGAATTTCTTCAGCTACTGTATTTAAATCAGCCATTTTAAACTAAACGAAAACAAGAAAAAAACTTAAATGATAGTTTGATATTTGTATGTAACCAAAGAAAATTTGTTCTCTTTACTTACTAGTGCCTATCAACAGAAATAACTTTTACTGTTGTACATTAAGCATTGTTGTTGCCGTCACTACACGATTTTGTTAAGTATCTAATGGACTTTATTTTTTCTGTTCTTACATATTGTGGCTGTTAGCAATGTTCATATGCACCATAGTATTTAAAGAAGAAAAAGGTTCGTTTTGATGTAACATGTTGTCGCTAAGTTTCTTTTCTTTTTTTTTTCTAGTCGCATGAATGCCTGCAGCTATCACTGTAATTGTAGAAATAATTATATTCTATGTATGCTTGAATTTTTTCTTCATGTAGTTCGTAGAGAGAAGAAAACTTAGACAAGCAAAGAAAAATTTAACAAAAAATTTTACTCATTGTCATTAGATGAATACTGTCATTTAAAAATTGAATAGAATCTTACCTATTATCATTAGAAGAATATATAATGATTGCTTACTCAATTTTATTACATATATTTTACTATTCAATTTAGTTGTTACAGTTTTACTTAGATGAATAATAATTCTACTAAAATATTCGTTAAAAAAATTTTTTATACAACAAGACATCAGATAGTAATTTATCTTACTTTAATTGTAATATATGACGATATGAAAATGGATTTGAGAATATTTTCATCATTTAGATCTCATTGTAAACTATATTACACGAATATTTAAAATTATATCGAATATTCTTTTTTTTTGATAGTTTGATAATAGTTTCAATCTGATGGAATGATTTCTATGAACAATTCTTGAAAATAAGCTACGAGACAAAAATTTTTGTTCTCAGTTACAGAGCAAAACAAAATTTTTAAAGTTGTCTAGTTTTACAAAAACAAAGAACTGTCCATAATAAATCAGCTCTTATCAAAAGCCAAGACGAATATAGGTAATCATTGACACATTTTGATAAAGTCTTTGGTTATAATATACCAAGCAAAATTAATGCAGAAGTGTGGTTCCCGTTTATTGAGTAAAATTATAGAAGAATTGCCCGGGAATAATTTTTTTTGTTCAAGTTTACGGCTCTCCAACTGCTCCTGAAGAAGATTTATCGACGAAAAAGTATTTGTTTTTATATTTATACTTGTCGTAATAGATTCATTGTTAATTAAATAAAATTCATGTTAAACTGATTGATTACATATTGATGCAACCAATGATGGTACATATGGATTAATATCTAAAAACAGAAGACTGATGTTAAATCTCTATTTAACATTTGTCCAAGAAATAAAAATAAAAAGAACAACAGTATGTAACTGTTCAATGATGAATAGTAAGATTCGGAAAACGTGCTCGAAGAAAAATAAATGTCATACAATCAATATCTGTATTTCCTGATAAATCGAGATTAAGTAAATTGTTCTAAATAAATAATCAAGCATTAATATTTAGATATGTTCTATGTTTACATCGATCTTACCATGGTTTTTTCTTCAAATAATTTTCCAATACCATGTGATGTAAATTTATTCTTTGACAAATTTAATGATTTAAGTTGATCTAATGTTAATTTACTTAATTGGTCAAATATGTCATCAGTTAGATTATTCTCTGAATTAAAAAAAAATAAACAAATATTTTTGTAAAATAAATTCTAAAAGGAATATTGAAGTGCAATGGTAAAACTTCGAATCTCCTAACAACCGTGACAGACGTTAATATACGATCAAAGACTGTATATGAATATTATTTCATTCTAATATATGATCTAGTTTCTATAATTAGCAATATCAGCTACATCATGTTTTATATGTTAATCTTGTGCTAATAGTTTTATAACGATGAGAAATAAAATTGATTGATTACCTGATAAATCAATTGAATAAATAAACATAAAATTTTCGAACACTTTTAATATACTAATGGCTTGTTCTAATCTTAAACTTAATCGTTGAAGAGATAATTCAAATTTATCAAAAAACATTTTTAATATGGATCGAATATTTGAATAAGCAACTAAACCCATTTCTTTACAAATTTGTTCATAAATAATAATTGGATTTTTTTCAATATAAACTGCTTTAACCTTGTTATACATAAAATTTTATTTCAAAAATAAAAAACTAATCAATTTCACTTACATCAGATTCATCAGCTGGTATAGTCAATTGAATAGTATCACTTTCGAATATACCTATTTCCCAATCTTGTCTATCGTAAAGTGTAACAAAACAAGCATATATATTAAAATTATCATGTAAACGTTTAAGTACTTGATAACGAAGATTACTTATAGTATCTGATGATGACCTGTCAAATAAAATAAAATATTATTAAACTATATCTATTTTTCCTACATTGGTATTCGAAGTCTTTTATCCTGAATTGTTCGATCACTTGTATTGGCTAAACATCGAATAATTCTTGTATTTGTCTCATGTAAAATAGAAGGTGAAAGAAGAATTGTTGTATTGATTGAGGATGTTGTTGATGCTTGTCGAGATCTTATTGTTGATTTTGGTGTCATTGTTTGAAATGATGAAATAGGTGAATCTTTTTGAAATGGCATAAAAAAATCGAAATTATCAGTAGTAAAAATTTCTATATCATTGGACGATGAAGATTGATTATTAGTCATTGTGCATTGTCGTTTTCGTACTGGTGTATATAATGCTGAATGTAATCGTTCTTTTTGTACCTTTGATATAGTTTTAATACATTCACGATCATTAACAATCCAATTATCTTCATCACTATCCCATTTTTCGTGTGTATCAATGGAAAATTTATTTCTTTTCTTTTTATGATGTAACTATAAATAATTTCCAAGTTCTTTTTTTTCTATTATTATATTAAACATACTCGTCGATTTGTTATCATATTACGACTTGTTCGAATAGTTTTATAACGAGATCGATTATTCATATAATTGGTATTTGTTAATAGCCTAAAATAATAAAATAAATCTTTTTTTTTATTTAAAGATTTTTTTTTTATTCTAACGCTTGTTCCTCGTCAAAATCACTTCGAATAATTTGTTGTATACAATAAATTGGTTCATTTTCTAAACATTAAAAAGTTTGATATTGATCTATATCATCAACATATTTATACTTTGTATATCAGCTAAAAGTAGTTGTTTAAAACGATTCAATATTCGATGATCATCTGATGACGTAGCTCTATTGTGATCAGTTAAATAATCAACAGCTGTATAACCCTAAAATAATAATACAAACTAAGAAAAACCAAGAAAAATAAAACCAATAATATCAAACATTATTTGTACGAATATCAATTTGCGCACTGTATGTCAGCAATATTTCAATGATATCTAAATATTTATTATAACATGCACTAATAAGAGCAGTGATGCCATTATTTGTTCTTGCATTAATATTTGCTTTATGATCAAGAAGATATCGAACAATATCAGTATGTCCATAATAAACGGCATTATGTAATGGTGTCCAACCATTAGAATCAGCAAGATTGATATTGTCCTATTTATGATAGAAATTAACTATTGATTGACTAAAATATGTCTATTAACTATACCCCTTCAATGATATATTGTTTAACTTTTTCTAAACCGTTTTTTTCGTTACAAGCAAAATGTAAACGATTTTCATGTGAATAGTTTATCTTCTAGAAAAAAGACATGATAGAATATAATTTAGTCATTCAAAACTAAAATATAATAAATTACCATTAAACCTTTTCTATCTGGTATTGTTTCTTGATTTTCTTCTTCGTTATCATCATTGTCTATTAGAATTTCATCTGATTCCATTAAATTTGTAATTTCATTAAAACAACGTTCAGAACATCGCAAAATTTCACTATAATTTTCTTCTGTTATAGGTGGTTGGATATTTGCCATAAATTCTTCTAAATCATCATTTAAATATATATGTGAATCACGCAATTTCATAGCAAATACAAGTGCAACTGCCATTCTCTATTCGAAAGAAAAAACAAACAAACAAATTGAACATTTATTTGAATTATAACAAATTTACAATTAAATTTTTATCATTTGTCGATCGAGCAATAATTAATACTCGGTGAAACGTTCTTATTCGTGCATTAAGATCAATTTTAAGACGATATTCACATTTAATTATTTCACAAAGTGAATAACCTTGCTAAGAAATCAAAACATTTTTTTTCAATATTTATTTAGAAAACGGCATTATACTTCAATATCAGCATTAATATCTAAACAAATACGACAGCTCACTTCACGTCGAAAATAATCAATACTTAATTGCCATTCTTTTAAATCTTGATAAATACAACCAAGAGATGAATAAATAGTTGCCATTTGATTTTCATCTAAATTTAATTCCTGAGCATGTTTTAACTAAAATCAAAATGAATATTTTTAATGAAAATTATTATTAAATATTTACTTGTTTAAGATAATAATTTTTACTTTGTTCATAACGATTAAGATGAGAAAATGTATCAGCACATTTTTCTGCTAAATAGATTTTTTTTCTTAAATCATTTTCTTTTTCATAACAATTTTCAAGACCTGTAAGAATACGTTGAACTAAAATATTCTGAAAATAATTCAAAAAAAAAAAAGAAAAAGCAACAAAGAATCTATACCATTATCTAAATCTTGAAATACTTTTTCCTTTAATAAATCATCAACTTTTTTATAACGATGTATTTTCATGAGAAAAATTTTAGCATCTTCATATTCATCAAATGAAATCAATGTCTAAATAAAATATTTCTTTAGAGATTTGTAGTTCTACTCGAGAAAGAATCATTTATATTCTGATTAACACTTCCAGAGGATATTAAGTGTCAAATCAAAATTTTTTGTTTCAAATATCATGGTAATAGCGCTCTAAGTGTTATATANGTTCAGTCACCCTTAAATGGGTCACATTCTAGGTAATCGACGATGCGGAGTCCAGTAGTGATGTTTGTTTTTCGTTTCAAAGTAATCTGAGACCACTATATCGAGATTTTCCATATATCTGTTGTCTGCGCCACATAGCAGCAAAAGTTAGATTTCCCAAAATCTCGATACAGTGGTCTCAGATTACTTTGAAACGAAAAACAAACATCACTACTGGACTCAGCATCGTCGATTACCTAGAATGTGACCCATTTAAGGGTGACTGAACCTCACCTGGCTGATTTCGGGGGTCTCAGGAAAATGCTTATAGCTCCTGAGAGGAGCAAGCTATCGAGCTCGGCCTTGCGTAGATCGAAAGAGAACTATTTTTTCTATCGAATGGTTTAATTGAAGTTCAAAATCAAATGAAAAAAGCGTTCTGAACGCTGTCTTCAAAATGTTCAACGAACGCTTATCCTATTGGTCAATTGCTGACCAATCAAATTTTTCCATATATTTACGTGCCCCAGTGCCCTCTTTCTAATGGTGAAAACCGCAGGTCGCTAGCTGTTTGCGTTCTCGAGTTATTCAACTCGCAATCGCGCGCATTCTTTTTTGGAACGGATAGTAGTTTTTTACTGTGAGGTAGGATATTGTCAGGAAAAGTGAACAACCGATTTTTAGACCTGAAATTTTGTCTATAAATAGGTACTACGCTCCGAAGAATATTCTAAAAGTCTGAGTTAAAACGATTTCTTCCTTTCTGAAATACTCAACATTCAAAAATTTCCGATTTATTAGACTGTTTCTCAAACCTAATCGGTTTTTAATATTGAATAATTCAAAGAGAAAGCAATTGTTTTACTTTAAACTGTTATGATGTTTATATAATTATGAGATCTAATTATTGTTAAAAGTTCAGTTCAAAAATTCGTTATTCAATATGGCTGTTAATATGCTGCCTTAGATTAAAACAAAATAGTAAAATGTCATTACATTGCAAAGAAAGCATGTAGGCTTGAATTCCTTTGGAGTTATTGTCGACTAGACATCTCCTCTACATGTCGTACCATTCTTGCTGAATGAATATGATTTTCGTCATGTACGTCAAATATACTGTAATCAAACATTGGAACCACTCATCCATTAACTTACATACCAGATTGTGGCTTACATTTGTTATTTCAATTTATTCTTTCAGGGTATATATTCTGGAGACGAGATTATTTCTTCTTCTATATGCCAAAAATATGAGTTCAACAATGATGAATCATTTCTGACAAATCTCATATAAGCTATCTTTCATTTATAACATATATAGTCTCGGATAAAAGTAGTAGTGTCTCCTCTTGAGATGTTCCTATTCTTTATGATATTGAGTTGATATTTTGAGTGCATGCGTGCGACAATAAACCCTGTTCGTAAGCAGCAACCCACCCCTACACTGTTTCACATGTACTGAAGTTATGACTCAAACATTTTATTTTCGTTTTGAAAAACATATGCAGTAGAAATATGAACGCAAAAGGTTTTTATTTGTCCTTTTGTTATTTCACAAGCTACTACTGTTTTTTTCTGGTACTAAAGACCATTTCATAAGTCTACTTTATTATGACCAAAGCTCATGATACATAGCCAAGATCTTAGTAATTAGCAGACTTTAAAATAATTGAATCGATGGTGTAGTATTAACTGGACTTCATTCAGTGCTACGAGTTTGAAACTTTCAAACCAGACTCGTTGTCTCATAGAAACTTCCAACTAAAGTTTTCAAATGAATTAGGAGAAGTCAACATTTACTCTTCAAGAAACATCCTTAATAAAAAAAAAAAAGAAGATATTATCTCAGTTATATTAAAGTGAGTTTTAACACGATCAGATGATCACCGGAGGAAGATGATGTCTGAATCATGACTTCAGTGTATATGAACTGATGAAAATTGGATTGGTGCTGCCAATCAAGATTTTTTTTGTCGCACTTATACACCTAAATTATCAGTTCAATATCCTAAAGCATAGTAGTAATTCATGAGAAGCAGGTAGTTTTATCTAGAAGTATATTTTGTAGTTTTCAGTCTTCTTTAAAATTGTTAAACATCTGCCACAAAATCTCACTTGAGCTATATCATATACACATGATAAATATTCATTGGTATTTTTTGTTAAAGAAGCATAATGTATCGCTTGTTTCATCGTAGCAATGATTTCTTTTTTTTATGTAAATAATTTGGTAAGAAAAGATAAAAGCCTGATAGAGATGAATGAAGACGTGCTAATTCTTCATAAAAATTATACTTTCTAAAAATTCATAAACAATCAATAACAAAAAAAAAAAGAAACGAAAGTTCTGTGATTTACTTTGAAAGTTTTATAGCATTTTTAATATATTGACTAAATGCTTGAAGATTTGCATTATCTTTACCATCGTTTATATATTTTTCACTCATAGCATTTGCTAAAGAAACAAAAAGAAAGAGAAACAATTTTCTAAAAAAAAAAAAGCTTCTTGCAAAATTTACCAATATTTATATAACTTCTAACACGTCTTAATGCTAAATCTTGTTGTTTTTGTTCAGTATCTTTTATTATAATTAAACGTTTTTCTTTTACATCATTTTCTAATTTATCATTAAGTTTTTTAATAATTAATAAACTATTTTGTGCTGCATCTAAACTTCGTTTACATAAATCACGGGAAAGTTGATCATGTTCGCAATCATAAAGTATATCATCTTGTAAATAACTTAACCATATCCAATATGTATTTGTTAAACATGTATATGCTTGTTCAATACGTTCATCATTATCATATTGTTTTGCTAATGATAAAAAATTTAAATGATACCTTTCACTTGTATAAAATTCATTTTTATATAAATAACATTCACCTAAAAATCGATAACAATAAAGTATATCATCATGTAAATCATCTAATTGAGATTCATATAATGCAAGATTGTAGTATTTTATTGCTTCATCATAGTTACCTGATTAAAAGAAAAAGAATACAAATCAGAATATTGTTTTTTTTTTTTAATATTTAAAATAATTACCAATAGATCGACATGCTTGTGCTACTTCATGATAAATATCGATTTTTTCTTTAGAATTATATTGTGAATTTAATTGACTAATTTGATTAGCTTTTTTTAAAAGTTCTATAGTATAAACAAAAATTAAAGTTGTTTTCTAAGAGAAGAAAAAAAACTATCAAAGATTATTATTATACTTTGAATACTTTTTTTATTCATTAAGTTTCATATACATCTGAAATAAAATATGTTTTTTTTTTCTTTAATAAAATGTTACACTATTGAATGATTTTATATCATTAAAAGCTAAAATTATTTATATACATTCTTGAAGCTTATTTATAATTCTTATTTAATCACTAACTACTGTAGACATACATAAGATATGATCAACGTTTTGCTCATTGATATTTCTTCCTTATCAAATAGTAACCTTCAATATACACAAGATAATATTGAAGACCATGGAAAATTTCATGCATATTTTGAATGTCGTCACATTATTATTAATTTCTTTTTCCTTGTTTTTAATAAAAGGTTAATTTTTAAGGTAGGTCATTAATGTTACACTATTTTTGCATGAAAGTGAAGAAGAATTTCTATTTCTTCGTTCTGTATCATTCAATTGGTTTAGTACTTTTTCACAGTAAACAAATAAAGTAATATCATTGGTAGGGGGTGTACTTTCACATAGAACTATCCAATATTTTATATAGTCTAGACCTATTTTTGATTGCAAAACTCAACTAAACAATTTAATCTCTGTACTATTTACTTTTATAGCCATAATCAATTTTATTTGAGAATGATTTGGTTAGTTGAGTTATCACAAAAAAGCAGGAGTAAAAATATGTCTCTTTTTTTAACCGTATATTTGTTCAGATGAATATGTTTCATAACTACTACTGCCGCCGCCAAGACCAGTTCCATAACCCGAAAGACCCAAATCACCAGTTGAGGATTCAAAACTGCTACTGTAGCCGCCAGTGCTACCAAGTACACCATAGCCAGCACTACCACCTAAACTATAACCAGCACCTCCGAGTGTCGAAAGACCACCGGCAATTTCATAGCCAGCACCTCCTACTGCCGAAAGGCCACCACTAACATTGTATGCAGCAGCACCAGCACCAGCACCAAGACCACTTGATTGATAGCTTCCGTAGCCAGCTGATTGAAAGCTAGATAGTGCGCCACCTGGTGGTGTCTAAACAAAACAAAATAAACAAACAATGACGTTTAATTTTCTGATATAAAGTATACTAACAATGTCTTCAACAACACCAGCTTGTCGAGCATGTGTAATAAGTGAGTGAGCATCTTCTAGTTGAGTTCCATAACGTGCGACGTATTCAGCTGGATTAGCACGTTCAACACCCATATTGATAAATCGACGAACAACTTGAGCCTTAGGTGGTTCATAACTATGAATTAATGATAATATGCATAAATGTTATTTACTTTATCGATGTTTTATACGTACTAAATGATGATGTTACGTGGTTTTGGGATTACTGGAGGTGGAGCTCGTTGAATAATGACACGACGTTTTTGTTGAACTCGATATGGTAACCAACGTTCGACAATAATATCACGTGGTTTAGGAGGAAGAGGTGGTAAACGTTCGATAATGACCGAACGAGGTGGTACAGGCATTGCTGGAAGCAGCTTAGTAATCACTAGAAAATCGAAAATTTTTTTTTCTGTTAATACTTTTATTAACCATTTTACCTTGTGTGGCTACTGGTGGTGGCATTTTAGGTGGAGCTTCACGAATAACAATAGGTGGCAATATTGGTGCTGGAGGTGGACGTTGTCCTATATGATTAGAAATATAAAAATAGATTGTTCTAAATATTGATCTACTTACGAATGTAAAGTGGTGGTGGTGGTGGTGGTTGAGGTGGACGAACTTCTTTAATAATAAGAGGCTAAAATTATTTTAAAAAAAAATTTTTCTATTCATTATAAATGATTACTATTTGAAATACTTACACCTGGTGGAGGAACTTGTGGTGGTTGTAAAAATCTAACTAAAACTCGTTGAGTATATGTTTGTGCACCACCTGGTGCTGGTCGACGAATAATTTGAGGATTAGGATCTTGATAGAGACCTTGAGCATCTGCTGCATAATGTGTTGCTCCAGAAGCTGCTTGTTGTTCGAAACCACCAAAATCATAAGCACCACCACCAATAGATGATGCTGATGATGAGTAATATCCACCACTAGCATCACCACTGGTCAATAATGCACCAGAAGCGCCTTGCAGACCGAGACCACCAAGGGATGATGATGATGAATAATATCCACCACTATTGCCTAGAACTACTTCACCAGCTCCAGCTCCAAGTCCTGCTGTAGATGTGCTTTCATAACTTGAAAAGCCTCCTAATGCACCACCTTGTATATCTCCACTATATGCAAGATCATATCCATCTGTAGCTACTCATAAATAGTATTAATACAGATCAAGTATATGTATATATATATATATATGTATTTGACTATCTTGACTTTATGAAAAGTCCTCATTAAAATAAAAAATATACCTACCTCCACCGGAGCTACTTTGATAGAATGATGATGAAGATTGTTCAAAGGACATGTCTCAGTTTATTACCACTTTTTTCAAGATAAAAACAATCTAAAAATTAAAAAAATATACTATATATAATAATCGATGTGTTGCATTCCTTTTATATGAATCAAACCATCTCTGGCTGTAGCAAGTGTACAAAAAAAGATAATGTATCCCAGTTTATATTCAGCAAGAAAAAGAGCTGATGACGTCTATTTCTTCATCCACACCTGGTGGTTAGTCGAGTGTGCAATTTATATTTCTTTTTCTTGTCTTTTGCTAGTTATCAGCGCTTTTACATTTGATATACACGCACAAACAAAAAAAAATGACATTCACTTACTATAACTAACATAATCAAGGACGTCTTTTTACTATGTATGATTGTTGACGGTGTGTATCATTTGCTTATTCATTTATTTTTCACTTTTATATATGTGCAAGTCAAAGACGATCGATAGACATTACCCTTGAAATAACTATATGCTCAAATATAATAAAGAGTACGTTTTTAGACAATTTAAATATTTCTATATGAAACAATCATTGCAATGAAAACTTGATTTCTATTGTTGATTAGTGATGATAAAACATCCATCCTACACAAAAGAAATATATGTTTACATATTTAGACAATGATTTTTGTTTATGCATCTTATTATAGTAAGGTCTCTTGTTATTGTTGTTTTTTTGTTATTACAGTGCGTAAATTAACATGAGAGGGTGATGTATACATTCAAGGCCACAATCCAAATAAATCTGAGCTGTTCTTTTAATCAATCAAATATACATTTATAGTGATGCGGTCGCAAAAATTATTACATTATTTACTTTTATAAAAAGCAATTCTAAAGATATAAATCGAATTTAATCGAAAAAAATGAAATTTTTCTTCTTTAATACGAAACCTTATTTTGATAATTCTTTTTCAAGATTGTTAAGGCATTTCTTAATGTCATCCTTTCCAACTAGGTCAAAGATCATACGTTTGAACTCATTACGTATAATCATCTTTCAATACTTTTTTTTTATATGAGCAATATTACGTGGTATGTCTTTTGATTGAACAGATAAAAACAAAAAGTCAATCCAATCTCATATAATATTCTTACTAATATTGACAGTCGTTAATATTCGATTGTTCAATCAAATGATATATTTGCCATTTTCGTTATATTACTAATAACAAATGATTTAAAATGAATGAGATTGATACGAGTAAAGAACGTTTAATTTTTTTTTTTTGTTTTTATTTTATTAAAATCAAATAAAAACATCAAAGTATTTTAGTAAGTTTATATTTACAAAAAAAAGACTTATCAAAATAATCAATAAAAACATTGGATATGGTCGATTTACTCTTACTTGGTTGAATAAAGCAATAGTAGAACCAACTTTTGGTGAACATTTTGCACAACATACATGTTTTATATAAAGATCAAGTGTACTTGAATCATCAACTTTTGGACATCTTTGTGATGGTTCACATAGAAAATCATTTTCCCAATCAATACATTCAATACCATGATGTAAATCATGATTATGAGCTGCTAATTCTTTAGGATTATTACCAGAACTACAATGTGTATTTAAATAAAGTATTTCAGTATCAAAATCATTATTAAATAATGATGGATCAATATCATTCTTTGAAACACATTTATCAAGATAACATATTAAATTTTCACCACATTCTGAACCTGGTAACATCGGACTATAAGCATATTTATATTCTAAAATTTATTATTCTTATATAAAATAAATAAAAAAGAATTCAATCAAGTAAAACATACCACCATTCGATCCTCCGATATAATAACGTAAATATAAACAACGACTAGCTACATCAGATGGCATGAATGTAAAAGATGAAACTTCTCCTAGACTTTGTAGATTAGGTTCAATCATTTTTGCTTGTTGATCATTATTCATACGTTTTCCAGGCAATGTTGAATATTTGTTTTTAATTGGTTGATAATTATCTGGTTTATTAAATAGACATTCGAATAGACAAATATTTTCATTAATCCAATTATTTTCACATTTTGTCCAACGCGCTTGTTCATATGAAGCTGTATGTGATTTTGTCATAACTGACATATAAGATGTTGTAAAACATGCAGTATCAACTTGATGATTAAGTCCAAGTTGATGACCAAATTCATGAGCAAGATAAAATGCTGCATTTTGATATGGAAGTACATACATGATTTCTTTCGAAAATTGTTGAGTATTTAATAGACAAACAAAAAGAAAACTAACTCACTATAACTTGGATGACAAGCTCCTTTTAATATAGCATAACCTTGAGCACCTTGTGGTCCTTCCCAAGGTTGATACCAAAGCAATACAATTGAATCATACCTATCAAAAGAATAATATCAGTAAAATTCCCTTTGTTTTTTTCTTTTTCAACATATTTTCGAAGAAAAGATCACACAGCATTAAATTTCGAATATAATGAGTTATATTTTTGAATTTGATTAAACACTGATTTGAAACCATGTTTTGATTCGTTGTTAGGGCATACGACATCTATTAATAACATTTATATGCTACATAGATCTATATGATATTCCATTAAAAAAGCTATCTATATGACGAAATGACGGATAGCAATTTTAGTTATTGCTTAGATCTTCACAGAAAACAATTAATCTCAAGTTAAAATGTAGCAGAAACGCTGTGTCGAGATAGGCTAACATCAGCCTTTTTCAATGAAGACTCGAAACGAACCACAAATCGAGCATGAAATTCAATCTGAGTATGTATTCGAATTCGGCTGAGACTGGATCTAAAACAGTCAACAGCTCTAAAATTTTATACTCTTTACGATTATTAGTTTGGAAAATATGCAAAGAGATATACAACATGACTAAATAACGAAATTACTCGAATTATATAATACTTATGGAACGTTTTTCTTTTAAAATTTTTGGTTTATTACTACAAGTTTATTCAAAGTTTGTTGTATACCGTTAAGATAAGCAAATACTACTAATGATTATTATTGATGGTATTATGAAAGCAACTTTATCTGTTACCTCTGCAATGTTTCATATACATTGTTTTGTAGTAGTCATCTAAGAGAATTTTGAGTCAAAACACACTTTATGAATCGTACTATATTGATGTGCACAGAGAAAACTTTTACGATTAGTTTCCTTAAAAATCAACGGCTGCAAGATATCGAGTTTTCAAGCTTGAAACAATGATTTTTAGCAAAGAACTTGATGCCCAATGGATTACAATAATATGTTCTACTTAAGAAGCACGAATCTTCCTGTTTAACATCACTACTAGTTTTTATAACTTCCTCTATGTATATCAATATAGTTTCATTTGACTTCTTATTCTTTTAAATGACAACTGAAAATTATCCATGAAATGCTTCATATATATTTGTCTTACTTAACCATAGATAAAACTTCTTCCGTGAAGTGAAAAATATAACTTGACAGTAGTATTTAGTTGTTACTCGTATGAAAAAGAAACTTGAAATAAGTTTCTCCTACCACCCAAAAACTAGACCACTTCAAGCCAATCGAAATGGAAATATTTCAATTTTTTATCATAGTGCTTTTTCTGGTCCATTCTGCATATCTCGTTCTTCAAACATGTAATTTCCTACGATTCAAATAAGAAGACCAATTTCACTCATAACTGCATGAAACAGTACATTATTCCAAAATTGAACCTTGAATTCTTCGTCAGTACACAAATTTCAATGTGTAATACGAAACAAAACTTTAAACGAACATTTCGTTAAGAAAAAATTCGTTTTGTCCACATTGCTTCTTCGTTTTTTTACCTATCATAATCAGATACGGATTGTCTAAGAATAGATTCGTATGCATATGGTTCTAATGATTTTGGTTGAACAATATTTAAATAAACTATATTTGAAATGATTATTTCTATTTTAATATCAATATCATTTTGTGATTGAAATACCTATACAAAATGTAATCTATGACAAAATTAGATTTTATCAATTTACAATATTTGTTGTATCAACAATTGTACGTATATAATCATCATAAGATATTTCTGATAATGCTGGAAAATAATTTCGATCAATAACAAATAAAGTTTCAACAAATGCATAATATCGTTGACTATCAACTGATAATGGTAGAAAAAAAAGAAAATAAATTTCGACTATGAACATAAAATTTCACTCTAGGAACAATATTACTAACTCAAAGATATTTTTTTAAAATTTTATTTATTATTATTACGCGCACTATACTACATTTAACAATGAAAATGTTTTTAGAAAGAAAATGTTTCTATCGTTGAAAATGACCATTGAGTTCTGCAATAAGAAAATCTTCATCGGACATTGGTGCTGCTTCTTCAGTTCTAAACTTCTTTGGTTTACATATTGGCTGATTCGAAAGACTGGAATAAAAAAAAGAATTTGAGGAAAAATACAAAAAATGGACTTGCGTTAATAATTCTTCTTCATTTTGACAAATTGCTTTGTATACGTGTGACTTTTGTTTAGATCGTTGAAGTGCCGCAGTTTTTTGTCTAACAATTAATTCAAGATATTCTTGTTTGTATTGTTTTGTTATCTGAAAAATACAAAAGATAATTTCCCTATCTATCTAACGAAGAAGAAAAAAAATTACCATTTGTTCAGATGAAGACATCATCAATAGTGTAATATTCGACACACTACAAATTCATACTCATGATTTGTTATATAGACACATATTAGTTAAATTTGATCGCATCAATTATCTATCAATCGATAATTTTCATGAGTATGATCGAGAGAAAAGATTACATCAATTAAGTTATAAATTTTATTTCTGTACATTTATTAACAACAATAGGATGATTTATATCGATATACTATTATGTCCCACGAGTTCCATCAGTTGTTTTCAATCTTTTGAAAATACATTATTCAATAACAGATGACTCACAGTTATTTAATTCAAGTATTTTTTTTCGAAGAAATTATTTTAGTACGTCATCCATCTGGAACATTTTTTTTAAGCCAGTATATTGAGATTACTTCGATGAGCGATCACTTCAATAGAATGTTTATTTTACATTCAAAGATGATGAAAATAACAGAAATATAGATTCCTTTTAAACCTTTCGTTTCTTATATAAATAAAAGTGTCAGCTAAAACAACGCAACAGAATTAAAATAACAAAAATAGTTTAGTTTGTAATGACCAGGATTGTATGTGTTAAATTATAAATTGAAGCAATGCATCCATGTCAAGTACGGGACGGTATCTGACTGAAAAATGGTTGAAAAATAGACAAGTGTTTCTTCTTTCATTCTCTCTTCAATGTGTGTTCCACACGCTCAAGTGAAAAAAATATTGTACCACTTCAACGTTTCTTTCTCTTTCATTTTTGCCGACAAATAAAAAACACAACTGTCGTCGTCTTGTCGATCATATTTTCATTAAGATAGTCGTGTAATGTTGAAAAAACCTGGTAATACGCCTAAATCAAAGCTAATCAAAAACTTGTCATCCTCAAAACCATCTAGTGTTACAAGTTCCTTATATTCAGGGAATGCAAATGCACAACGTTCAATAAAAAAACCAGGGTACTTATCTTTTTATTTATCCTTGCACTTCTTACATTGATTCAATCGTATTTTAAGATCATTGCATCCTCTTCGTTCTACTCAATCAAAAACTCTAGGTGAACGAAATGTTATCGAAGCAGCCAAAAATCCTTATCCACCTGCTCAATATCATTCATGGAAACCTGAATATCAACAGCTTTTTACTCGAGAAAAAATAAAAAAATCAATGACAAAAGATCCATATTCATTACGAACACGAACGATTGCCCATGCAACAGAAAGTATTACAACAGAAGAAGAATGTTGTCTTGAATTTATACCAGCTAATGCTGTTCATATTGAAACACTAAATATTCAGGAACCGGAGAAATTTAGAGGTCAGTTTGTTTTCTTCTATTTAGTGTTTTTAATTTGAAACAATGTATATTTCAGTACCAAGCATTATTCGTTACTTACGAAGTAGTGAATTATTACCGTCGGAAAAATTTGTATCACAAACTCCGATGAAGAAGTCTTCAGAATCTCAATTAAAATTTGAAACAAAAACAACACTACCGACTATTCGTACTAATACAACAACTGGTACTGCTCCGACTTTAGTCACAACTGATCGATTATTAAATAGAGCTAAGATGCGGATTGATGCATCTGTTATTCGACGGCCACCAAGAAGATTAATTATTAATGTAACTCGTGAAACGCTTGTGCCATTATCAATATACGGTTAAGAAAAACAAACTTTTACGACTTACTAGTTTTTAGTCAGATACGATAGAATTATTTTTCTAATGATGTTTGATTGGGATTTATTTAGACTTTTGTTTCATATAAAAACAAAATATTTCATTTTTTTGTAACTAGTGATTGTATGAGAAGTCAAACAAATTTCATTATTTCATTGTGATCTTAAAACAAAATGAAATGATGAAAAAACTTTTCTTATGTAGATTTATTTGAATCGTTTGCGTTCTCATATTTTATTTGGAAAATAAAAAAGCTACTTTTTAAGTCGTTTGTTTTTAACAAATGCATATTATGGAAGAATAATAGTTTCGAAGAGTAAAAAGAATATGATAATATTGGTTTGTGTTTTAATATCATTGTCTGATTAGTTTGATGTGATTTTGTTTATTATTAAAAAGAATAGTCGATTTTATTTTATTTTATCCAAATCTATCATGCTTTAAAACGAAAATAGCCTACGAATGCAACATGAAATTTTCATGTTCTTCAATTAGAAAATAGTTCTAACCATATGACAGAAAGCATGCATCCTGCATTATTTAAATATCAAATAATCAAAAATTGAAAAGATTTGTTCATTCGAAAGTTTCATTTGTTTAGTTTAAAACATGTTGTTATAGAAGAGTGTTTGACTCAAGAACTCCTCCTTAGAATAAATTTACTATTCAAAAGAGTTCATTTGAGCTGAACTTTGGAGAAATAAGTGGCCCTACTCAGAAAAACTTTTGGTGAAAACTTCAGCCTGATGTGCCTAACTAGAATGAAGTTCTGGCTTATTCATAGTTCATTTATTACCTTTAGGGGAATTCCTATAACTTCGTCACTACAAGAAATAGAGAGCTCGTGGTAGTTTCAAATTAAAGCGAATATCTATATGGAATTTTTATCCGAATAGTAGAATTTTGAAATTTTCTTCTCTTCATTTGTTATAATCATTTCAGTTATATGGTGATAAAATTAGCAAAAAAAAAAGTCACTTCACAACATTAAATCTCGCTTTTCTCGATACAGAAATCAATGATAAAAAATCTACTCGGACAGAAGTGTACTCTCAATTAGGCTTTTAAAACAAACAAAAATATTGGTTCTAATTTGAACCAGGCAACAGCAGTTTCAAGTTTTCTGATTGAAAACCATGTTCTGAGAAATGTATATATATTCAAGTGGTATTTTTAAAAGCACGTAGTAGATTATGTGTGCTCGCAGCACCTATCGTGCTGAAACAACATAATAATGTTTATACAGTGTTGATTCAAATAAAAAGGTAGTCTTCCCAAAACTAAAAAACAAGCTTTAAAAGAAAACAAGACATTTCTCGAAAAACACGGTAGTAGTGTCGACATTTCTTCCGGAACTCTTAAAATTTAGCCTGTTTGCAAAAAAGTCATATATATTCTGAACGAAGAAATTTCGCTCGATCTTTCTAATGATATGAACTAAAATTCGTTGCTTTTCTGAAAAAAAAAGGATTTTCTTAGGATATCCCTGAAATTTTTCGTTAAATCTTTACAAATTTTCTTAACTTCGAAAAACTTTGAAATGAAAAGGAGAGAAAACGATGACAGAGAACGTATTGACCAGACACTAGACGGTAACATCTCCGAAAACAGATTTGGAGCGTAGAAGATTTTTACAAATTAAATATTTGAGTGTCAGCGGTGACAGCTCAGCAGATCGGCTTACACATCTACATCATTATGAGCGACCAACTACATATATTTAGATACTAAGCAAAGAATTATGAATTTATTCGTTTTCAAAAAAGCTAATAATCAATTATGTCAATACCAGAAATTGAAAACCTTATAAACAGTTGTCCGCATAATCGTATCGCTTGTTTTCACTGTAAACAGACACATGATCATGAACAAAAGCATTAAAAAAGTGATTAATATTTTACTCTATTCAAGAATAAAATGTTTGTAGATGATTTGAATAATGAATAAAGACACTGAACAAATCTCTATTTTAGTATATAATTACTTTTATAAACAAGTTATTTATTAGAAAAACTATAGAACTTCACTTTTGCTCATAAAACTAAAACTTGAGAGCATATTCATATTCAGAAGAACAAAATCAAATGATATATATTGCATATATTTTGACACTTCAAACAAACTACTACGCTACAATAAATAGTCCTTATTAATTTATGAAAACACAATAATGATAATTATGCACTTTTTGCATAAACAACTTCGCCATGTTTGAGTACATATCGAATAAGATGAGTATGATCGCCAAATTGATAAATAATATGTTCCCATCTAAACAAAAGAAAATGAATCAAAAACCAAACAGGAACAGATGAGTTAGTATCTTACGATGGACATCTACATATAATCAGATCCGCCTTTTTTCCTACTTCAAGTGATCCATATTTATCTGAAATACCCAATGCTGCAGCACTATTGATTGTTGCAGCTGCTAATGCTTCCTCTAAGCTCATATGACATAGAACACAAGCCAAGTTCATTGATATGGGCTACAACAATCAGCGAATGAAAAAAAAAGATTCTTTATCCTAAAAGTAAACACAACAAACAGACCATGGCTGATGAAAAAGCATTTGGATTTGCATCTGTTCCTAAAGCTACGGGCACTCCAGCATCGATCATTTGTCGTACAGGAGGCATTTTAATTCTTAATATATATCCCGTATGCGGTAGAATAACTGCAAATGTCTTTGCATTAGCCATGGCACGAATACCTTCATCAGAAATACATTCTAAATGACTAATAGCTCGTGCACCAATTTCAGCTCCCATCTATCAATAGAAAAATAAATCAAGAAATCTGAGCATAAAAAAAAAGAAAACAAAATACCTACTTCAGCTGAACCTGTATAATTAAGTTCATCACCATGAAAATTGATTCCAAGTCCAATTTGTTTACCAGCAAGAAGTATTCGACGACTTTGTTCAATATCGTACACACCTAATCAACAATTTTATATATGTAAATTATTTAACAGGGAGGCCAAAATTTCGATCCGGGCTTAAGTTGATCTCATTAATCCCTATAAAAAACCTTATCTCTATAATTAGTTGTTACATTTCGTAATGCTGAGCAGTGTGTTGCCATCAAGACGTACTGTGTAGCAAGAGGATGTAGTGCTGAGGTGTGGGTCGGTATATGTGAATGAGGATTTGTCGAATGTGGATACATGGTGTATGATTGTGCGTACGGCTGGAGAGAAGACCTACGCTCCACGCTCCACAGCACTACGTCGTCTTATTCAGCACCACGAAATGCAGCAAATAATTTTTAAAACAATAAGACTTTTCTTTATAGCTGTTCCTGAGCTCAAGTTGAGCTCGTGTCAAAATTTTCGTAATCCATTTATAATATACCTTTCTCACAAAAAACATCAATATCATTAACATTTAAATCTTTATTATCAATTAATTTTTTCAATGCTGTTATTTGTTTATTTACAATATCTTCAGTCATTTCTTCGGCTGTTTTATTTCTAAATAAAATATTTGAATAAATCAACACAAGAATCATTTTCATCTTTCATACTTCGGAATTGCATGTGCTGCACAATATGTAATTGATATACCTATCGGTATATGTGAACGAGCTAGTTCAAGAAGTTTTAATAGACGTAATTCATTAGACCATTCAAGTCCATAGCCTGTTTTACATTCAACATGAGTCGTACCTAACAAATGAACAATAGACAAAGGTTTCAAAGAATTTAAGACTTACCAGCTTGAAGCATACGTTTCAAACGAGCAACTAACGAAACAAGAAGTTCTTTATCCGTAGCTAATTTCGTTTGTTCAACTGTAAAACCAATACCGCCACCTTCATGCATTATTTCCATATAGGTTGCACCTGCCAACTATATTACATCACGATAAAAAAAATTCGATGGTGAAAAGAAAAGATTTACAAAAAAAAATGACTTTTTTTGCATATTCATGAACTCGGTCACCTGCCCATATTGGATGTGTATGCGCATCAACAAAACCTTAACAAATAAATATTTCTATGCATTTCGATAAATACATTTCAAATTCATATTCTAACCTGGTAGAATACAACATCCAGATGCATCAATCTTTTTATCTACTTCCATGTCTTCAAAGTCTCGAGCAATATCATCATCAGTTCCAATTGCGACAATAGTTTGACTATAAGAAAATAAACATGTATATCAATATTTTAGCAGTTGATTCTAACTCTTTTGTTATTTTGTTTTAGATAGTAAGCTTAGTAAGAATTAGAAAACCCTTCACCTACTTTTTTTTAGTCAAGTTTTCTTTTCTCACTTTTCAATCATTAAACTTAAACCAACTGTATCCGATTTAATTATTCCAATAGAATGCATATCTTTTCCACATAAGAATTTTTCATTATCACGTGTTACTGTAACAATTTGTTTAGCACCATAAATTAATGTTCTTAACGTCATCTGCAACATCATAAGACAAAAAAAACAACAATCAGTCAAATAATCAATTTAGATATAAATTCTCTCTTTCTTTCTCGTTCTTGTTAATTGTTATCAAACACACACAGACACACATACACATTTACATATATAGAAAAAACAATACAACTCATAACCACGTAGATTGTTTCTGTCTGTATCTTGTATTTTGAACGAATAAGACAAAGACATGTATGAAAAAGAGAAAGCTTAGAGCAGCAATAGAAAAAAAAAGAAACAAACAATAAAAGAAAAAAGACATCAATACGCTATGCACATGGAGTAGCGAATATTTGTCATTGTTTTATTCAGACAGCTGCCATCATAAACTCAAATACTTCGTTTTTTAATATGGATTAGAACGATTATCTCTACTTGAGCCATGACTTGCACCACGACCACTACCTCGATATTCGCCCCCACTACCACCACCACCTCCACTTCGATAATCACTGCCACGATCTCCACCTATGAGTAAATACAAGCAAGTATGATAGTCTGAAAAGCCTAACAAGAGAACATATTCAACTTTTAATTGTCGATCGAAATGATATTTTGCACATGATTAGGATTTAGTAAGGCTAGAAAAACTCTGAAAGGATTTCTCCCCATAGACGTTTCTTATGAAAATATGATTGTTTTAGCAGATTTTTGGCTAATTGCAAGGCACTCGTAGAAAAATCAATAAGATGAATTTTCCATCTGAAATTTTGCCCTTAAACAAGTCTTTTAATCCTTAGAATATCCTGAAAATTTCAGCCAAAACAAATGGTTCCTTCTCGAAGTATTGGATATTCAAAAAACAATGATATACCGTAAAAAAAAAATCATCAAGCCAACTTTTTCTCAGTGGTCAATATGCTGAGAAGGAACCATTCATTCTGGGTGAAACTTTGCGGATATTCTAAGAACTAAAAGATCTATTTATGGACAAAAGTTCAGGTGAAAAATCCTTTCAGAGCTTTTCTAGTCTGATTGAGTCCTACTTATAAGCAAAATACTACATCGATCGACGATTAACAGTTGGATATGTTTCCTCATATGACACTTACCACGACCACGGTAGCCACTGTGATCACCGCCGCCACCTCCTAAAATAATAAATGCTTTAAAAAAAACATGTATAACTTTGTTCTTACCTCGACCACGGAATCCACCACGACCGCGAGGACCACCTCGACCACCGAATGCTGAAGCACGTCGAGTAGCCAAAGAGATTTTGACTATATTTGAGAGAACTTCTTTTCCTATTTCAAACAAATAATACATAAATATGACTAATCACAAAAAAACTATGTTCTTACCATCATACCAATTGATAGCAGCTTGTGCTGCGTCTTCATCTTCGTAAGTAACTGTTGCTTCACCTTTACCTTCGCCAGTTGCTTTATCTTTATAAATCCAAATTTTTGGTGCACCTGTCTTTCTATCATTCTATTGAAAAGAAAAAAGAAACTTTAAACTATTGAAAACAAAAGTCCAATATTCTACTTTAATCATTCCAATTTGACTAAATACATCTTTGAGTTCTGACGCAGTGATATTTCGTGATAAATTCTGAATAAAAATTGTATCATGTTGTGTTTCCATTCGTGAATCATCACCACCACCGCCGCCACTGCCACTAGTATTACTCTGATAACTAGTTCGACCGCGATTATATCCACCACCACCACCACCACCACCACCATAATTGTCATTATTATTACTGTGATAATCATTTCGTCCACGATTGAAACTACCACCTCCGCTTCCATAACCTGCAGAGAGGACAAAGTATTTGCTGCCACCATTTATCATCCTGTATGAATTGTCAATTTTTGAAGTTCAAAAACCGACATACAAGAGTCGACAAAACTTGTCTTACCTCCACCTCCACCACCACGTGAATTCTGATCGGAATAATTTCCTTTTTGTCCACTAAGAAATAATAATACACAAAAATAGATTCAATTAAACTTTTACGTTTGAAAACAATCACCTATTGTTATCATAATTATTTCGATCTTTACCACCCCGTGCTGAATAATAATCATCATTTGAATTACCACCTCCATATCTGTATATATATATGTATTTATATATTAAAGAAATATGAATTTTATTATTTAATTAAATCTCACTCATCGCCACCGCCAGCGGAATCTCGACCGTGGGCGGACATTTTTTGTAAAAAAAAGTTTTGTTGATATAATAATCTAAATATCACAGAGAAAAAAAATGATTATTGGCGTATTAAAATGAAAAGGAAAGCAGAAAAAATAAATAACACTCTCCCAATACAGGAACACATATAATGAGGATATAAGTGATTGACGAATGATAAAACAATTAATTGAAAAATTATACACAAAATATAAAATAATTTTCATAAAAAAATTTTTATATTTTACATTCAATTAGAGAAAAATTACTCAACAACCGATAAATTAAATAGTCGATAACTATCTCCATCTATCAAAAACAAAACTTAATGATTATACATTTCTTCTGTCTTCTAAAATTTATTTATAATCTATCCCATGTTTTTATGTTCCACTATATATTTATTAAAGATAGAGTTAGAAAATTCCAACTGAATGTGTACAATGCATCATCATTATATCATTGCTTCAGGTGAGAACTACGGGTTCACGTTGTTGAAGACCTTGACTCGGATCCGCGACAAGCTAAACCTATCGATCCGGATCCAACAAAAAATAAAACGTTGGATCCAGAGCCGAGAGAAGCTTAACTTCTGCATCAGAACTTTCAGATCCGGTCCCAAGTCTGGAAAAACTCGCAGCTTTCTAGACTCTAGAGTTACGTCTATAATCATCCTTTTTTACTACATCAACTATAAAATACGTATCGAATAAAAAAATTGAACGAAAAAAGAAAACATTTCAAATTCAACTCTTGATTCTTCTAAAAAATGTGTCAATAACCAAGATGTATTTAGATAAAACTCCTGCAAGTATTTTTAATAGTTCTAATAAATAAGTACACAGATAGACACATGACACTTAAAAAATAAGCTTTTGAGTTTCATTAAAATGTGCTTATTCTTGCAAAATTTACATGTTTTTTGATCAGTTATTGTAGTTATTTTTACTAGTAGTTTTGCTGTATTCAAAATCTTAATTGCATTCAAATATAAAATTTGACCTGCAAAGAGGATTTTTACAAGTTTCTTAATTTTCTGATCTTAATTACCAGTGAGCTCTCTGTTTTCGTGAATTTTTCAACATACAAGAAGAAATACTTTTAAAATGGTTACATGATTAGTTCGAGTAAATATCTTTTTTTTATCACAAATGGTGATTCTAATGACATAGTGACATATAAACGCATCAAAACGTCTTTTTTTCTTAGGTTTTGATTAATCTAAGTTTGTTACTCTACCGATCTGTTTATTGATAAATAAATATTTTTGAGATAAAATAATAGATGTGTGTCGTACTGTGTAGCTAAGTCATATCAATTGTTCTACGTAGTTCTTTTTTCCATGTTTTCATTATTAAGGAAACAAAAGGATATCATTTGTTTATACTAGAGAACATAATGAAGAGCTGCCTGAGAGTATCTCATAATTGTTAATCATTCTATATGTTTTTCAGTATCGGTAAACACATACAAATATGAGAGAGCCCGAATACTTGGACTTTGTTTTTTTTATGTTCATTATTCTTGTAAATGGAAACAAAATTTAAGCAAAATAAAGAATTTGATGTAACTTTTATACAATTGATGAAAAATTAATATTGAATAGAAATAGCTAAAAAGTATTCGAATTATATTCAAGTATCTAGGTCAAACAAAACTGTCTGTAAATCGATAAAATACGATGTCTTTGTGGTGATTTGTAAAATTTCTTTTAAACATGTCACTTTGCGGAAAAATTATATAAGGATTACGAACTCTTCACCGAGTCGCTTAAAGAGTATTGGAAGTCGAAACTGTTTGCACTTCGTTTTTATACTGTGTCATAAAATCTTTTCACTAACATCTCTATAAGCTTTAGGACGAAGTAATACACAATGTAATAGAACGTACACTGTGTAACATTTCAGAGTTCATCATGAGGTTTCCTCATGATAGATGTAATTTGGACCGTTTACGGCCTGTTTATAAATATGTTGACCATGATTCTGAATGATCGTAACGTCTTGTAAACAGATCAAACACTGATTCTTTACCATATGTATAAAATATATACTCGGTTTCTGCAAGCAATCAAACAGTTATATACGAAAAGTTTAGTAGTACATAATTTTACTTTTAGATGACTGAAAACGGACCGTAAACTGTATATTTTTCTGATCGGTCTGAGTAACTTTAATTTACGGAATATACATTTTTTTCTCCAATGTTGTCTTCTCGGTTACAGACTTTGAGCAAATATGAGCGTATGCTTGAAACATTCAACTCATTGTTTGACTAACTAGATACGGATGCAAAAAAAAAGCTCAAAAATTTCATCTTAATTTTTGGCTGAAAACAATTTTAAATTTTTCATTGAAATCTTCAAGTATCATCGTACCGCTATTCAAGGATTAGAGTAACTCAGAGATAACATTAATATCAATTATAGATATGGATATTAATAAATGACACCGTCATAAGACCGAGTACCACAACCAAGAAAAGTTGTAGGGATAGGCGTTCTAGCCTCTTTTTAATCGAAATGCTAGCATATTGGTATTGAAGGATTGAGCCTCCCATAGCTCTCGTCAGGATATGACACTCATAAGATTTATTAATTTACAACTGTACGAAACTAAGCCGATAATGATGTTTAGTAATTTGTGTTTGTTCTTTCTATTTTAATTTAATATCCATTTGATAAAAGTAATAGTAACAAAGTAACGAACCAAGGAAATCTATTCTATTACGCATAAATTAGTTACTTTTTCGAATAGATCACTTCATTATTTTCTAATTTGATGTTTCAAAAGAAAATATTGTCATTTCAATTGATATGAATATTATCTTTTGATAAATTAACCTTGACGTGCCGAATTATTTAACCGACATCTTGCGTCATCTTACATGTTTAGAGTAGAAAAGAAAAAAAAAACACGTTAACGAATGGCATTCGATCTTTTATATTCTTCTTTCCCATAATATTTCGTTAATTTAACTTTTCATTTACTTCCTTCGTTTGTCATATAGACATTTCATTCACAATCATGTCGAAACAAGCATTTGAAGAAGCCAATGAAGCCTTTGTTGATGATAAATATGAAGAAGCATATGAAGTACGTCATTTGATGAAGAAAATATCTGTGTATTATGGCAATTAAAAAAAAATTTTTTTCTTTTAGCTTTATACCAAAGCTCTTACTGATGACGATAAAACTGATAGTCATTTTACTTCTAAAATCTTAGCAGCACGTGCTCAATGTGCATTGAAATTAAAAAAATATGCTGGTAAAGATATATATTTTTTGTCAGATTTATTGAACATAATTTTATTCCTATTAGATGCATTAAATGATAGCAATAATGCTATTGAATTAGATGAAAAAAATATTAAAGCATATCTTCGTAAAGGTACAGCATTATGTAATCAAGATTTAAAAGAAGAAGCTTTGAAAACATTTGTTCGTGGTCTTGAAATTGATTGTAAGTATATTATATTTTATTGAGTTTATTCATTTAGTTTGTTTTTAGCTGCTGATGAACAATTAAAAGTATGGAAAGAAAAATGTGAAAAAGAACTCGAAAGTAAGAATGTCTTTTTTTTTTTGTTCAAATTGATAGTTTTATTTTAATTAAGATAAAAAACAACTTGCAGCAGCTACTACTGAAAAAGAAAAACCAGCAGCAACTGCTGCTCCTGTTCCACCACCACCAGCTAAAATTAAGTATATTTAAATCTCTTTTTCTTTTTGCTTTTTTAATAACTATGCATTATTTTCAATAGACATTCATTCTATCAAACAGACAGTGTTCTTACTATACAAATACCAATTAAAGGTCTGAAAAAAGATCAAGTTCAAGTTCAAACTACAGATACAACTGTAGGTATTTTAATTCGTGTCCTACAACCGAGTCAGGTATTCGTTCCAGCTCTGAGCATCAGTCCACCTGCATAATTGCAGGGTCAGTTCGAGTCCTAAGTATGATCTCATATCCTGACTTGACCAAGCAATTAATGAAATCATGACATGTCAAAATATTTTTACCTTTTTAAATTGCTAATTTATATAAAAAGATAGAAGTGAAAACTTGAGTAATTTTTTGTATTTGAGCACAGGTCACAAAAGTGAAAGGCCATTTTTCTTTTACTAAAAGAATTTGTTTTTAATGAAAATTCATCTATAGATGATGATGAATCGTACGATGAAGTAGCTGAATATATACGGAGAAGAAGATGAATTATCTAAAAGATGAACATGTCTTCTCATGATAGAAAAAGCATTCATGTATATATCTAAAAGTATATCGTTTGGCATCAACATATTGTATTCCATTTCAACGTCATTAGTAACAAATAAGTGTATACTTAGTGAAATGGATCAGATTTCAAAAGCAACAAGACATCAAATAAATCCTGAATCACTTGATTCATTTGTTTTCTTTTTGTAGAATTTAAGATGATCTATTTTTTGTTGCCATTTATGGAAGAAACTAAATATTATACATTTTCATATAAGATAAAAGTTTGAAAACCGTACTATGACTGTAAAAGTATATGCCGAATATCGGCTACTTCCGTTCGGGGTCTGGTGGCAAATAGTTGTACTCGTTCAGGACACTAATTTTGATTAACTATGACTTAATAATATATTTAAATTTCTATTCATTATTTAAGTTAAGTGTTGGAACAAAAATTCCTTCAACAGGCAATGATTATTCACTTGAACTTGATCTTGCTTATCCTATTGATTCATCACGTACGAGTTTCAATGTAACAGGCTCCAATGTAAGATCAATATTTGTATTATATTTCATTTAAAAAATCTTATTCTTTTTATCTATTCTATATTGAATTTAGATTGAAATAAAATTGTATAAACGACAGGCTATTCAATGGACTTCATTAGATGCACAATCATTAGTTGGCAAAACGCAACCACCGGGTAAAATACTTTATTTTTATGTTTGAAGTATGTCTTTTCGATTTTTTTCCTTTAGTTCCAATGAGTCGACCAGTGGCAGAAAAAGCTCCAAGTTACCCATCATCAAGTCTACGAGCTAAAGATTGGGGTCAAATTGAAGCACAAATTAAAAAAGATGAAAAAGATAATAAAGAAGATATGGGTGATGCCAATACGTATGTTGTTTTGATTGTTTTTTTTTTGAGTGTTCTTTATTAGTTGTATATTTTTCTTTTTAGAATATTTCAACAACTTTATCGTGATAGTGATGAGAACACTCGTCGAGCCATGAATAAATCAATGGTAGGAATTAATATCTTGATTTTTACTAATTAAATTTAAAAAAATTAATTTTGTAGTCCGAATCAGGTGGTACTTGTTTAAACATGAATTGGGAAGAAGTATCCAAAGGTAAAGTTACCTGTGAACCACCTGATGTAAGTTGATACTAATCTAAATTGTTTTCAAAAAGAAAGAATTTTGATTTGTTTTTTCTTTAGGGTATGGAATGGAAAAAATATGATTCATAAAAAAAAATAAAATGTACGACAACAGAAAGAGACAACTGATTTTAAGTTTGTTCATCTTTCAGCGTAATGTTCCTTCTTTTTTTCTCTATCTTCTGTTGTTAACGTTATTATGTGATATGAAAAAAAAACGGTTCATTTTATAAATAGTTTAAGTATATTCTTACTAGCTATCGATTATGTTACTAACAATATGATTGAAGTTTTTTTTGTACGCAGGAAAAAACCTACAACAATAAACAAGAGATTTTATATGATGATTTTGCTAAATTAATATTTTTTTCATGCATACCCTTGAAATCAAACCGAGTAAGATATTATCGAAAGATAAGTAAATCCATAGTATGATCTATTATTTTACTTTCAATATATAGTGGCGGATAAAAGGTTAGAGGTGCCCAATTTTTGTTTTCTTCTCGGTGATAATAGCTGACAAGAATCTGAAAGGATTCTCTAATAGAATTGGCAGACTTAAGGACTTCAGCAAAACTGCTTGGATGAGAGCCTACGAATAACCAAAACCAACTTTCTAGCTTCCATTTGAAGCTTTGTGGAAGAAAGATTTTATTTGCTCGAACGAATAACTCTGAGCAAGATAGGACGTCTCCGATCTGTAGATGACTTTCCTTCATCGAATTTAATTTAATTTAAAGAAGACCTCAAAACATCAAACATGGCAAAAACTTTGATGTTTTCAATAAGAAGAGAATAATCCATCTTGAGTCTTATGTGAATTGATCGCGGTTCAATGGAAGAACGCCATTGAGAAGTCGCAGATATATTGTTTTACTAAGAATTATTTTCTCTATTAAGTAAAATTTTTTACTAAAAAGTTTCGAATAGAAGCCAGAAAGTTAGTGTTGGGGATGTTGGATTTCCGCAGAACTCCATCTAAACAGTTGTGTTGAAGTATTCGAGTCTGCCTATCATTATAGAGTATTCTTGCAGCTACGCAAATATTTTTTCAGATTCTTGTTCGCTATTACCATTCAGCAGAAAGCTTTAAAATACAATTGCTCTAAGTTTATGTACGCCATTATAGTTATATCTTTGGGATCATGTTTTCTCTGGAATATTTATTGTCAGGTCACATGAATACAGTTTTATAGTTTCAAGATACGTCAATTGCCTCTTTATTGTGAACGATCGTGACACATCTATGAATACATAGATATGTTTCGATTGTGCGTACAAGACAACTTTTTATCACTCACACCAGCTAGAATAACTCTAGATAACATAGTACTCTAATATAATAGAAATATGTGTATTTTATTTTCTTGAAATTTGTGTGACTTTTTAATGCTGGTTGAATATATCAACGATTATAACATTTCACAATTTTCATTGTCTGAACTATTCATTCTTTTTGTAACAAGCCATAAAACAACAGGTTTCTCAATAGGTCTAATTCGATTCGTCATATTAAAACGTGACAAACTATGAAATAGACTATTGTTCAAAGAGCTCTATCAATTTTGATACATTTCTATGCTTTTCTTTACCATTCAAGAACAAGGAATGTAAAATCAAAAAGGACTTGGATTCTAAATGCATCAATGAGAATATGGTTTGAAGTTTCTTAAAATTTTTCATGGTTTGCAAATTCTTTCACTGATACCCAAGCCTAATTTACGAACAGCACCACATGACTTTTAAAGTATTGTGAAAAATAAATATTTTATTATCATCGTTGTAGAAACTTATCAGAACTGAGATCGACATTGCAAAAAATTCTGGTTGTAACCTCAAACTAGCCAAATCAGTTATGCATGTATGTAAATTATGATAAAAAAAATTGCCAGGGATGGGGATCGAACCCATGCTCACTATTGTGAATTGGATCTTAAGTCCAACGCCTTAACCACTCGGCCACCCTGGCATGGTATAATGTAAACTTCTGTGTTCTATACAATTGTATTCAGAAATGTCAAGGAAAGAAAAACTTTTTCCTGCGCATATTTACATGGCAAGCAAAAAAATATTGCCAGGGATGGGGATCGAACCCATGCTCACTATTGTGAATTGGATCTTAAGTCCAACGCCTTAACCACTCGGCCACCCTGGCACAACATCTTCGGAACTCTTAGTTTACCGAGATCTTTTCGATATCAGAAGCCAACCGAATGGGTGATTCGCATACTTTAAATAACAAGAAAAAAAATTATGCTAGGGATGAAGATCGAACCCATACTTATTATTGCAGATTACTCATAGATGATGTCAAAACAGAGAAAAAAACGTATCACTTCGAAATCATTTTCAATTGAAAATTCAGTAACGAAAAAATTGAAGAAAGAGTTTACTCAATTATACAACTTCTTCTCTAGTACACAAAAGTTCATTAATTAAGCATATTACAACATGTAACTATCAAAAAGAGCCAAAACGTATATACACTAACATTAAATCTGTCACATACGTTGTACTTTGCGACACATTTCTCTCATTGAACTTGCAACACAGTTTGATAATGTCGTACGAATCTACTCATCAGCACGTCCGTCAATTTTTTGTGCAAAATGAAATAACTACCACTTTTTTAGTCTAATTGGAGTTAGTCAAACCTACTCTGCGAACCCAATACGCTAAAAACCTAAGATACAACCAATCCAGATGGATTTGATCCCGATCAAACCACTTCAAGACAGTCCATTTTTGAAACATCAAATAATCTCTGAACATGTTCTCGAACGATGACTAACCAAGAAACAATCTAAAGGAAAAGATATACGAAAATGTATAAGTTCATTATGCTCAACTGAGATCGTTACATGTAGGTATATGCGCCAAACAAAGCGATGAATAAAAGGTTAGTAGATAAATTACAACCCATTCAGACAGCGATACAATGCTGTTCTAGAGTCTCCGACACAGTATCATTTTTATTTGTGCTGTAAACAAGCAGGTAATAGCAAAGAAATAAGAAAAACGGAAAATACATGTTAATGATGAGTACTAATAGTACTAGAAAATAGAGAATACTCTTAATTGAGTGAATAATTTTCAAATATATCATTGAATTTAAGAATGTCGAGAAAGTCTAGTTGAAAGACAGCAATATATTCATAGAAAACGTCTAAGCCCCCTGAAATTTTTTTAGAACTCTGTAGCCCGACTCAATCTTGTTGGAGAAGGGATTCGAGTTGATTTGTTCTAATACAGCTTACTGATTTCTAAGAAGTTTTCCACAATTAATTTAAGAATCAATATGGCATAAAGCCACTGGTTAATATTATGTACCGAGTGTGTCGAAATGCTTATAGCATTGCTCATTTTGCATATATTTCCCTATAGGTAAGTCATAATATCTTGAGTTCTTATTTTAAGAACTTTCAGTCGAATTCTCTACAAACTTCTGTTAATCCTAATTTAAAAGAATAGAACCGAATTTTTTTGTAGATCCTATAGTATAATCATATGAATTGAACCTACTTCCCATACATTGTTCCTATTAATTTGTTTTTCCCATTTGAACTAACACTTATAGTGTAAAATAGAAAATAAGTAATAGAGAACAGAAAACAATATTATAGGAATGCCTGCCTGCCTATACGAACGCAACAATGAATTTCTATTTTCTTGAAAATATGATATTCAAGAAAGTCTTAAATTCAAGTTTCAATTTTCTAATTAAAAACCTACTGTCGTATCCATATGGACATATCAAGAATGCGGAAATCGATTTCACATTCTAAAAATTTCTTAGAAAATAGAATGTCTATTAGTACTTTTCATCTTTACTATAAATTATTCTTCCACCTCTATACCGATTTTACTGGTAACCTTAACTCTTCTAATAGACCAAAAACGCTTATGCAATTAAAAAAGAATTGGGCACTACTCGAAATATTATATTTTTAAAATATCAAAAGGAAAACATTATTATCTCACAAAGATTTTTGTATTCATATGTTTAAAGGAGAGTGTAATTTTATACAAAAGTAACATCATAACTAGTAGAGAAGTGGTCTTATGTACTTAATTAAAAATGTAGAAGTTCTAACCAAAGTATAACTATATAAAATGAACACTTTTATTATGAGAACAATGTCTCAAAGTGAACAATAAATTTTGAACGCAGCGACGATATATGAAGAACAGCGCATCGTTAAAAAAAGCCAAATATCGGAAATGTTTTCAGAAAAAAAAGATTATTTATTATCTCTGATGACGAGTAAAGATAATTTATTGGTTGTTTTCATTATTATATGACAAATTAATATGCTAGCTGCACTTTATGTAACTCATATTCTCACTGTAGTAGTGACGAATCTAAGGTGTATTGACTTAGTTTTGGGCATTTTCTGCTGAGAAAAATTCAATAATACTTTGGAATAGAAGAACAATAGTCCCAATCGCCTCCACACCCCCCTCCAGATGCAGCACTGCACTGCAGCTGCCGGACAAACAAATGATCTCTCGACACCGTCAGGTGACTTGTATATGTAACTAGACAATGGTTGTACAGTCGTCATTGTTTCAATGATCTTCTAAAAAGTAATGCTGATTTTTCTTCTTTTGTAAAATCTATATTAATTGCCTATGATATGGGAATTAATTTTCACATATCTTTAATAGTTATTGTTGTTGATTTTCCAATTCGTCCGAAGATAATTTTTTTCAGAAAATCGAACTGAAACTCTACTTTATGGTAAAAGAAGCATTTGTTGCAAATTATGAAATCGTTCGATAATTAACTCTAATTTGAAAAAGTTTGAAGTTTTGCTAACTCGATATTCTGGAAAGTAGAATTTATTTAAAATTTACAGTGTAGCTGTCAAAAAACAGAACTCATGATTACACAACTCGTGATACCGTCTGATAATTGTGTATATATGTTTATATGAAGTTTTCTGTTGCTCATTCTTTCAGTTGAACAGTAAGCATGACGACATTTTCTCTCTTGTTTATTTCTTGTCAAAAAAGTATTCTATAAATTTCATACATTACCAAAACATGTTCATTTTTGCACTATTTTTAAAAATCACTTATCTCTTTCT